CGAGAACTAGGATATAGATCAAAAGTAATGCTACTCGATATAGGGGAATTGGGGCTCTCATAAGATATACGCACCTTGACCTGGCTGGACATTAAATAACTGTTATGTATGAGCAGGATGAGCGACTCGGCGATACCTGTCGTCCACAATGCTCACGATGAGGGACGGAGAGCAGCACTGTCAACGTACCAGAAGTACCCGACCGGAAAATACGGGCCTTGCCGGACTCCTTTCCCTTGACTGCCAGCGTTGGCGACATTCTCGAGAAACAAGAAAGAGATGGGAAGAAAGTCGTGGTACGCAGCGTCGATGAACTTCAAAAAAGGTTTAGTGAAGGAGTCGTCTTTGCAGTGAGAGTCTGAGACACGAGCAAGAGATGGGTATGACGTCGGGAACCGCGCCACTACTGTTTGCCGAGCTCTGGAACGGGCAGCGTGGGAGATGCAAATTACCCCGTTTTGGAAGGCGAGTAGCGATTTCGTCCACGTCCACAACCTGCTCCTAAACGGACCAGGTATCTACGAATTCGTATTCCATTCGATCATCCGACTAACAGTGCACGCATACACAGACAAAGACAAAGACGAGGGACTCCCCAAAGTTCAAACCCCAAGAAAGAAAAAGGTGTATACGGGTAGAAAGAAAAAGAAAACTCAGAACAGAAAGAAAAGCAGGGTAGGTCAGGACCCGACAGGCCTAGGACTGGTCAGGATCCGTCCGAGTCAGGACTCAGGACTACGACTGAACTGCGGGAGAAGCGAGGAGGGGAGAAATGATGATGGTGATGATGATGATGATGATATAATGTAGATAACAGTGATAGTAGCAGTACAAGGCGAGCGAGGCAAGGCATCAGGCATCAGGCATCGATGGGTCGTGCAGACTTGGACGGGCATGGGAGGCATGGGCATGGGAAGGGTAGCAGCATGGAGAACGGAGGACGGAGGACGGAGAGGGGAGGGAACAACAGACGCGAGGGGAGAACGGGACGGAAAAAGCAGGGGTGCGGGAGATCAAGGTCAAGACGTGGAAGATCTAAACAAGAGGAAGGAAGAAGAAGAAGAAGGCGTGGGAGCACACACAATAGAAGGAAGAATAGGGATATATAAACAATGATGAGGATAAAAGTGAGTAGACTAAAATGCTATGGATGGCTGGATGAATGGATGGAAGGTGGAGTGGAGGGGTGAACGAGGAACGATGCACGGGGAGAAAGGGAGGGATAAGCATCAAAGCATCACAGCAGATGGAACCAGGAAAGGACGAGTGAGTAGAAGAGGTCATGAAGCCCCTGCCCTCCTCTCCCTCGTTTTTGCCGCCCCCGGCCCAAACTTCTCCTGAAACGAGATCAACTCCTCCATCAACTCCTCCATCATCCTCATCGACGACGTCTCTTCGCTCGCTCCCCCACCCAGTCTCGCCACCTTCTCCTGCAAAGGCGACTCCACCAACGGTGCTCCATCTTCTCCGAAGACCATACCCTCATCCGCAGGGAGAGCCGTATTCTCCTTCACAACCGCCCTCAACGCTTCCCGCCTTTTCGTCCTCTCCATATCATTCGCCTGCTCCCTCCCAACCCAATCAATCAGCGCCTTCACCCTCTTATTCATATCTCCCACGCTCATCCTCTTCCCGGGCCACTTCACCTTCACCCCCCTCTCCATCGTCCTCTCCATCGACTCTCCCCTCCCTGCATGCCCGTGCCCATGTCCGTGTCCGTGTCCATGTCCGTGTCCCAGCCCAAAGCCCGTCCCAGTCGAGGAACCGAACCCCGAACCCGGCACTTCGAGCGGCCTCGGAACCTCCGTCGGCAATATATGTTCCAAATGCGCCAGATAATCCGGTAGGTTCCAAGACGTGAGCAACGACTGCTGCGAAACAAAATACGCATGCGAGTTCAGATACGCTCTCGCTCCCTGTCCCCCTCCACCTCCCACACTCCCTCCCCCTCCACCACTGTTCGGACCTCCACCTCCACTGACAGAGGAATTCTGGGCAGCGGCCTGAGCCCTCGACGACGGCGTCCGCGTCAAGACACCAGGTGTCCCGGGCCCGTCTTCCGCACCGGCGTTAAGGATGTTGTTGTTACCGCTGGTCGCGTTATTGGCGTTATTTCCTCCTCTGGAAGCGCGCGCCGAGTCTTGTTTAGCGCCAGCGCTGCCGCCTCCGCCGCCCGCTCCACGACGCGAGGGCGTGGACGTATTCTTCGAGCGTGCGTTGTTGTTGGACGTGCGTCGGGAGTTGCTGGGTCCAGCGGATGAAGAAGCGTTGGCCGGTAGATTCGCCGCTGTACCTAAATATGGACCCACACATCACATCACCAGCCACATCAAACATCACGTGTCAGCAACGCGTTCCGAGCACTTCAAACTCAAAACAAAGTGTGCACCAAAAAGGAGGGAGATAAAACACGAAACAAAGTCGGGTAGGTGGGCACAGGAAAGGGAAAAAAACTCCAACACACCTCCTTCCTCGTATTCGGCCGCCGCGATTTCTTGCTGTTGCTGCACAGCGGACTTTCGACCTCCTCTCCGCCGAGATGCGGCAGCAGCCTTGGGGGCCGGGGGAGGCATGCTGGCAGATGCGTTCTTGTTGGTGGGGATAGGGGCGCTTGGCGTCACGTCACGTTGCTCCTGCGCTGCGCTGGACGGAGCGGGGACGGCGGCGGCGGCGGCGGTAGCAGCGCTGATGGCGGCGTGATGGTCTGAGGGCGTAGAGGAAGACCTCGTCCGCTTATTCGATTCGCTAATGGTAGCGAGTGATGAGAAGAGAACGGGCGAACGGGAGAACGAGCACGGCACGGGGTATCGGGGTCGAGGTCATTTCAGGTCATCATGTCATATGTAGAAGAAGGGGAAGGAAGAAGTCAGCGCGTGAGACTTTTTGGGTTGGTGCGTGGCGAGGGGGCGAGTGGGTAATAAAAGAAAAAGAGGTAGGTAGGCAAAAATAAAGCGGTCAGGGTACGCACAGGAACGCATCCTCCTCGGTCCTCTTTCGCTTCTTCCGTCCGTTGGGCGCCTCCATCGATGGGCCAGCTCCAGGACCGGGCGTAGACGCCGACGGTGCTGGTTGCTGATCGTCATTGGCGTCTCCGTGCCCGTTCACACTGCCACTGACAGAGGCGGAAGATCGTTTGGTATCGCGAGCGGCTTCAATTGCGGTGGCCTCCATGATCGCCTTCAGGCTTTCGTCGTAGGCAGCATCGCGGCTGTTCATCGTATTGCGGCGTTTGGGGGGTTTGAGCAATTGGGTGGGCGAGTGCGATCGCGAGTTGCGTTGGACGGAGGTGGGATTATGGTGGGATGCGGCGGAGGAGTGACGAGGGCGTTTGGCGAGCCTCCTGGTGTGGGGAGGATCGTTGTCAGGATGTTTGTTTTTGAGAGGATGACTTCGGTGGCGCGTCGGGGATGACGGCGGCACAGAAGGGGGCGAGAACGAAATAGAGGGGAGGTTGATTGGGAAGGAGAACGTACTTGAGAAGGTCTTGGTGAAGTTCAGGTTTGCATTGCTCACAGTAGTAGTCGCGGTTTTTCAGCTCTTCCGCGTCGTTATAGCCCATACAGAGACCATGCTGCCAGACATTACAGATCTCGCACATTACCATGAACTCTCCTGCATCGGCATCATCGTCGCCATTGCCTGAACAAAACAAGACGAAAAAGTCGAGATGAGAAAAGAGGGGAGAAAAGACGCGAATCGCGAAGAGAGCAAAAGTGGAGAAATCGACGTACCGGTGCTGCCGCAGACGCACCGCGTAACTGAGTCCTCCTCCGGCGGAGCGTCGAGGAGATCCATGGCCACGTCCGTGGGCGTATCGATCTGAGGAGAGAGAAACTCGACTGGAATCTCCTCGATGACGAGTCTATCTTTTTCCTTCCCCTTGCGCTTGGAGCGACCGTTCTGGGCGGCGACGGAGGGGGCTACCGTGTTTGGGCCGTTCTTGTGGGGCTCGTCCAGAGCAGTGTCGTCCGTTCCGTCGCGTTTGTTGCGTTTGTTGCGAGACGAACTGTTGGTGGATGTGAGTGCCGGTCTGTGGTTGTTGCCTTGAGCGTTGTGGGCCGGGGCGCCGTTGTTGGTCGGGGTGTTGGCGAGGTCGGGGGCAGAGTCTGGGGATGTCGAGGTGGATGTCGAGTGTGACGGTGCGGAGCGACGGCCTGAACGACGAGTTTCGCGAGGGGAGAGCGGGGGGCCCATCGTCGCCGTCTGAGCCATGGGTGGTGAAAGGGGAAGGGCGAAGGAGGGCCGTGCGCTCTCTCTCAGACAAATGACCTCCGCGATCTGGTCACCAAACTCTCCCACGGCCCTTCTCTTCCTCTGCTCTTCCATCTCCTCTCCGCCCGCCCCCGCACCCCCCCGTCCTCATCGTCCTCCCTCTCTTTCTCCCTCCCAGCTCAACGGTACGAACGGCGAGGTCGATGGCCGTCGTGGGCTCTCCGGCGTGCCCCCCATGTCCCCTCCTAACCCCGTCATCCTCACTCCATCTATCCCGCCCCTTCCCTCTCATCCCCTGTGGCCCTCCAGAGCTCCATCGCTCGAAGAACCCATCTGCGCTCTCTTTTCTCTGTCGATGTCGGTACGCTCTCTGTCTCTCCTCCCCTCGCCCATTTAAACCCGCATCGATTGGCGACCTCTGCATTTCGCGCGCCGTATCCGTTTCGGCTCCGATCCGATCACGTGAGTTTTGCATGATCTCGCAACGCGTCGCGTCACGCGTCTTGACCATATTTCCGCAACGCGCGATGGACGTGTCTTTTTGGTACGGGAAGAGCTATGCGAAGATTTGGTGGTGCGTCGTCTCTGTCTTAGTCTAGCTTAAGGCGATGGTGGGCAATTAGGTGGTTGTAGATGGAGGGGGTGGGCTGGTATGAGGTGGGAATGACATAGGGCCATCGTGAATGCTCGTATGTTTAAGTATCACTGCAATTAGAAATGAAATACCCGTGTCCACAGTCTCCTCTGTCGAGCAGTCACCCGAATGGCAACAGCGAAGAACCTGCATATCGGCACAACGAAAGAGACTCGTTTGGAAGGGCCCGTAGTCTGATAGCCTGGAAATTCAGCCCATGCTTCATCGATGGGACGGGCTCCCAATATTCATCTTCAAAGCGTACGTTTGGCTGGCTGGACACCAAATAGTAAGGTATGTTAAAAATCCCTCGATCAAGATACGTATTGATGTGCGAACATGCGCATGGAACGAGTCAACGTTCCGTGCTCGTAACGGGGTTGAAAACACCCTGGCGTATGGCGTGTAGCCCAGCGAGTGTCGTAGTACATAAACCTACCGAATAGAAGGCTGCCAACCCAACACGAAAGGAAAGCAAGAATAATCTCGGAGGTTGAGACTGACGACGGGCCACACAATACTTCGACGATCGGGAATAGCCGGGTGCCACAACGATTTTTCCACTGACCATGATCGAGTCAACTTTGAAGTTGAGTCGTACTTACAGCTCTAACCGTCCTGCACACAGTCTATCGTTCGCCTCGGCAAAAGTAACTCTACAAAACTACGTATCTGACCTGGATAGACCTAGAGCAAACCTGAGCACTCATAAAACGGAGCCTGCTAAGCCACAAACCCTCCAAACATGACTTCCCAAACGAACGAATACAGCTCGCACGCCCCCGAACCCATCCCCACCCCATCCTCATCCAGCACATCGCCCTCAACACCATGGCCCCGTCTCGGCGCACACAACGTCCTCCCATCCGGCCATCCCGACTACCTCCGCCTCATCCTCTCCTCCAAAGTCTACGACATCCTCTCCGAGACCCCGCTCGTGCATGCGCCCAACCTGAGCGCGAAGCTCGGGAACCAGGTGTATTTGAAGAGGGAGGATCTGCAGGAGGTGTTCAGTTTTAAGATACGGGGGGCGTATAATTTCATGGCGAGTCTGACGGAGGAGGAGAGGTGGAAGGGCGTCGTTACGTGCAGTGCCGGTTAGTTGTGCGTTCTCACTTCTCATCTCAACCCATCCATCCTCCCATTCTCTCCATCCAAGAAACTCACACAGAACAACCTTGGTCCTGGTTTTGATTCCGTGAATAATGCAGGCAATCACGCCCAAGGCGTCGCCCTCTCCGGCTCCAGACTCGGCATCCCCTGCACCATCGTCATGCCCAAAGGCACCCCCAGCATCAAAACCCGCAACGTCTCCCGCCTCGGCGCCAAAGTCGTCCTACACGGCTCAGACTTCGACGAAGCCAAAGCCGAATGCGCGCGCCTCGCCTCCGCGCACGGCCTCATCTTCGTGCCCCCCTACGACGACCCGCTCGTCATCGCCGGCCAAGGAACAGTCGGGATGGAGATCCTGAAGCAGACGCCCGATTCCCAGAGCCTCGATGCGGTTTTTGCGGCGGTCGGTGGTGGGGGGTTGGTTGCGGGTATATGTGAGTATGTGAAGAGGATTGGGAGTCCGGAGACGAGGGTGTTTGGCGGGGAGACGTTCGATGGGGACGCGATGGAGAGGAGTTTGAGGGAGGGGAGGAGGGTGACGTTGGATGATGTGGGGCCGTTTAGTGATGGGACGGCGGTGAGGATCGTGGGTGAGGAGCCGTTCAGGGTCTGTAAGGAGCATTTGGACGGGGTCGTGAAGGTGGATAACGACGAGATCTGCGCGGCCATTAAGGATATCTTCGAAGGTACGTACACCACCTCTATTCTCTGGCCTTGTCTCACGATCTACAACGTCTGTTTTCTATCTACCTGCAGAGACACGGTCCATCACAGAGCCCGCAGGCGCACTCGGACTCGCATGTCTAAAACGTTACATAGTCGAAAACAAGCTCGTCGGCGCAGGGAAGAAGTTCGTCGCCGTCGTCAGCGGTGCGAATATGAACTTTGACAGGCTCAGGTTCGTCGCTGAGCGTGCAGAGCTCGGTGAAGGGAGGGAATGCCTTTTGACCGTTGACATACCCGAACGACCGGGAAGGTCAGTCCGTCCGTCCCCCTTTGACGCTTTCATTTCGGTCGTTGTGCGCTATCGCCGTCCGATTCATTCATACTTTCCGAGATCTGTGACTCCTCTCCTCTTACCGCACACCATGTTGTTTTCCCTCCTCGCATACTACCTTCCTCTCCCTCATCTACTCTCAAACTAACTCACCGACCCCACAGTTTCTTCGCCCTCCACACAATAATCCACCCCCGCGCCGTCACCGAATTCGCCTACCGCTACTCCTCCTCCTCTCGCGCGCACATCTTCCTCTCCTTCAAACTCGAGACACTCGACCGAGCCTCCGAAGTCGCGGATCTGCTCGCGGCGATGGAGAGGCAGGAGATGAAGGGGTACGATATTAGTGATGATGAGATGGCGAAGACGCATGCGAGGTATATGATTGGGGGGACGTCAGATGTGGGGGATGAGAGGTTGTTTAGGTTTGGTGAGTTTTTCTTTCTTTTCTTTGGCTTGCCGTTTTTTTTTTTGGCGTGGTTGCCTTTTTTGCGTGGTTGCTTGCCCGCTTGCGTGGGTTTTTCTTGTTGCACGCTTGGGCGTGTATGCGATCGGGACTTGGGACTTCGTTCGTACGCCGACAACGCGCGAACGAGCGGGCGGATGGGTGGCGTTCTCGCTTGTTCATTCCCCGTCTCCTCGTCGCTCGCCTTCCATTTACGCCTCGCCTCCATACCCGCCCCTGCACTTGCATGTTTCTCTTTCACATTTCCTTCCGCGGAAGGAGAACGCAAGCAAGCATATCCAACGCCAACGCAATGCAGTGCAACGCTACGTTCTTTCAGCCCTGACATTTTAGCTCGTGATGCAGGCTACTTGGCTAGCGTATCCTGCCTTGCGCTGTCTTGCATCCGAATCATCTGAATCTTGCTCAACGTCATGACATGATATATTCGGGCTTGTGGCACCGCGGTTGCGGTGCGATCGCCTGTGCAGCTGCTCTGGGTGGGGTCGAAATCGAACTCTATGATACTCAACTACTTTTTGTGAATGATATTCAATCGGCGGTTCCGGCTCACGGCTGCGGTTACTTACGGCCAGGGCCGTGCGCGCTACGAACGCCACATATCGCGTTACGAGCCAATCTGATAATGATAATGCTATGATTGCTGCGTCACCTTCACTTATCTCGCATTTCGCATTAAAACATAAGAGGTACTTTGGTGACTGAGGAGCGGGACGCAGGTTGGAGTGGTCATGACTCGGTTGGTTGGTCGATTTGCGATGCGACTAGGTCACTTGTGCCAGCTAAGTCGCTCTTGGCTTAGCAGCACCAGCACCCTGTGGCTCCTCCTCCTCAGCACCAGCCCTGAGTGTGTTCAGTAGGCCCTGGGCAGCTATGTAATGCGTAATGTGTACGAATGTCGTGCAGGGATTTGTGGTCACATCGCGAGTGATCGGAGAGGAGTAGTAGTGCGGATGGGTCTCGAGTGTCTATGGTGCTGTTCACTTAGTCACCACATAAAATAGACAACCGCCAAATTCGTCAGTGCGGCATCGAAAATCCAATTTATTGAAAGAAAATTCCTGGGCCTTGTTCAAAAAACCTGGGCTTTCCGGAAATCAATAAACAATTCATTTAAATATTATTATTTGGCGGGGGACCGCCAAATTCGAGCGGTGTCAATTTTTTAACTCCTTCAGTTTTGGATATTTTCGAAATCTGTCTTGGGGATTTGTTCCTCTTGTCAAAAGGAGCACTTTTACAAGACAGATAAGAAAATAAGGACGAAATGGCCCGCCTATGTCCGGTTCTCACGCGCTGTTCGCTTTATGCGGTGACTAAGTGAACAGCACCATAGCCGACTGTATATCCATCATCTCATCATCTGGCCATCTAGGGTCTCTGGATCTTTGAGCCTGCATACCTCCGCATTGCAGCCTGTCGTGCATCTCGGTCATTCGTGCACCCCCTCCTGTTTATTCTTAGCCCGTTTAACTCGTATCTCTTTGGTTGTGCTTCGTTTCCTGTGTGCCGTGCTGACACTTTTTTTGTGAATCGGTGCATAGAATTCCCCGAACGACCCGGCGCGTTGCGAAAGTTCCTCTCGTCACTGCACAAAGGATGGAACGTCTCGCTGTTCCACTACCGCAATCACGGGGCCGGTAAGTCCGCGTTCTAACTCATTCCTCTCCCCCCACCCCTCCGTCCGTCTAAATCTCACAACGAGCCGATCTGACCATTCGTATCGTTCTCCTTTAATCTCCGCCCCCTGCATGTGATATGGAATACGGACATGGACATGGACATGGACGTTGAACCCTGCCCCCGCGCGCACAGATCTCGGCAAAGTCCTCGCTGGCATCCAGGCTCCACCGGAAGATTCGGAAAAGTTCGACGCGTTCTTGAAGGAGCTCGGATATCCGTACGTCGAGGAGACGGAGAACCCGGTGTATAAGCGGTACATGCGCTCCTAGAAGCACGTATGCATTCCGGGCGAGCAGGCAGGCAAGGAAGGAAGGAAGAAAGGAAATTCGTAAGGTGACACTAGTAAAAAGTCAAACTAGTTACTAGTAGCGGCGTGCAGTATTACATACAATAATGATACATCGCCTCGGCTCGAGCTTCGAGGGTGGGAGGGCCCAGAGTGAGGGAGCCGAGAAAGATGAAGAGATGAAGAGACGTGGAAGCGAACTGGAAGGAAGGGAGAACATAGATTGTACACTGTACAGACAACCGAGTCGGAGGCGAGCACGACGTGTATGTATTTACCTGTATTTACAGGTACGTAGACGGGGTGAATGTATACAGCCAGAGCAGTGATCAAGAGTAAGATGAGAGTGTATGGGATACAAATAGGTGAGGATCATGAACAGCAGACCGAGCGACCGAAAGAGCAAAGGAGGAAGAAGAAAAAAGGCAGAAGAAACTGAAAACCACGCATGTACTATGTCTGAAATCTGAAAGTAAAGGGAGATGAAAGATGAAGATAGAGGAAAGTCGTGATCGTGATCGTGAAAATGTGGAGGAAGAAACCGATTACATGACAGCAGCCGTCCGCGGCCTCTTCCTGTTGACGTTGAGGAACTTGACCACTTTAAAGTTGAACACCGAACGGACGTTCTCCTTGAACGACCGTCTCGACGCCTCGCTGCTCGTCGGCGACACAGGCGACACAGGAGTGATCGTACCAGAGTGGGGTCTCTTGAGGATCTGGATCGGCGCGGGAGGCGCCTTCCTGCGAGGGAGAGGTACTGTCGTCGTCAACGTCAACGTCGAGACGTCTGAATCCCGAACGGCCTCCAGCGATTCTATCGCGTTGATCGCCATCGCCGTCGTCAATCCCCGATTCCCAATCTTCACCCCTGACGATCCATACTTGTATACCCATCCCGCCTCCCACCCTCCATCCTCGCTCTGCAACCGCAACAGCAGCCGCATATCGAGCTCATCCCTCACACCAACCGTCGCGCATGCTAGAACGCGCATCGCCAGTGCCAACGCGTCCCCAGCCGCCCCTATCCGTTCCCGCAGCCGTTCCTTCAAAACCGGCTTGAGCTTCGCGTGTAGCTTCTCGTCGTCCGTGCTCTCGAGTAGGCGACTGACGAAGTACAGGAAACATTCTGCCGTCTCGTAATAGCGCGTTCCGTCGAGGTACGCGCGGTGTTGGAGTACGCCGTGTACCCACTCCAGAGTGGGACGAAGTTCGCTTCCGCGGCCGTGTGAGTAGAAGAGGCTCAGTACGTTCACGCAGACGACGGGATCGATGCGAGGTCGTCCGTGATCGAAGTATGTCTGAAGAGGATCCGAATTAGGTATATTGATAATGAAAGGAGGAGTCGCAAAGGGCTTACCATGACGATACCGTCCTCATTGCGGTATTGCAGTATTTCGTTCATTACTAGTCGAGCCGTCTGGTCGTCCGCGTGAGTGACAGTCAGCCCTATTGACGTCGTGTCAAGGTCGTATGGGAATGTTTCAGTCGTAAGTGCGGGTGCCTCTGCCATCGCGGGGAAAAGTAAGGTTCAGTTGGCGTCAATTGGCTGGGAAGATGGAGTGCGTTACCTCGGAAGAAATTCCACTTGGTCGGATGATGTACAAAATTTACAAGAGATCTATTCGCGTACCCTGTCAGTTATGACCGGCTACAAAGAAGCCAAAGAAGTAGGTACGCACCTGTCTTTTGTGGCCTCCAAGATAAGTAACTGCGCGAAGTTATCCCCGATCTTCTCGCCGGTATCCGTTTCAGAGTCGAGCACCCCGGCTCGCGTCTGGAGAAACCCTCGTGCTCGAGCAACAGGGTCACCGACCAGGTACCTAATCGCCCTCCTGACGTTCTCAGGCCTGTCCCAGACGATGCCGTGAAGGCCGAGAGAGCGTGCAGAGAGGACGTTATCCGGTTTGTCGTCCACAAACACCGTAGTGGCGGGGTCAGCCTCGATTTGATGAAGAACGTGCTGGTTATTACCGAACAAAGAGATCATTATGCGTGAGAAGGCGCTACGATAACAGCTGAGCGAGCATGCATACCTTGAAGAACCCAACGTTTGGCTTCCGCATACCGGCAGCCGCAGACGTGAAGATGTCGTCGAAGACGTCCCACCGTGCAGGCTTCCCCCGCAATACTTCGTAATCGGGTTGAGAAATATTGGACATGGCGTACACTCGAAGCGTCCCTGAAGACTCCTCCTTCAGCGTACGTATGAATTGAATGAACTCGTCGTTGGCCTCTAACGAGGCACATGCATCATCGATGGCTCGGGAAAGCTCCATGGGGCCCAGAGAGTACTGCTCGCTGAGGAGGCGGTAGCATTCTTCTTGAGATATCCGGGCACATTCGTAGAGAGCCCATGTAGGACTGTGTAGAATGGCCTTGAACATACGGGGTGGAATCGACGTGGTGGTTTTGGGAGACCATGACCAGAGAACGTCGCCGAGATCGAAGATGAGGACCGAACAACGAGGTGAGAGAGACATGATATACAGCTTTGTACAGTGAAAAGAGATAGAACCCCGGGACAAGAAAAGACGTGATGGAGGTCGGCGTGGATTGGGCGCAACACATGTGTACACGCAGCGGACGAGGGCTTTATATCCCGGCTGAGAATTGACAATACCGTGCACTAGTAAGCTCAAATTGACCGGGGGTGCCTATAGAAGAAGACGACGGAAGAGATATGCGGTAATAAGAAAACTGAATATGAAATATGCAAGATCACCTCGTGTGGGAGTGGGTCGGTCGATGAAGAAGGGCTGCTGTGCCCCGACCGCCGAGGGAGAAGGGAAAGTTGGCGAAAAGCCTGGTCAGGAACAAATGGTATGTATAACACGTAAAGCAGAAGATACTAGTCTCAATACAAAGGGTAGCCTCGAGGACCTTTGCAGGAGGTGATGATTGGCGACCAAGACAGACTAAGACTTGTTGGGTCCGCTCTTTCCGCAAATTCTCAGTCACGAAGCGGCAAGCGGTCACATTCATGTTAAAGTCCAGAAACTTGAATGCAATGGTTCATGACTGGAACTTCTAGCTGATGACGAGACTGACGCTGACGAGATATACTGATGCGAGTTGTGCAATTCATGTATGTTCTTGACCTGATGTTGGCCACGCAAACACGAGCCCGAGAGCCAGCTGAGCACCGAAGAAACTGTCGAGCGTGAGGAGGTCGGAAAGACACATTGAGGTGCCCGGGATTCCAAGTTACCGCGGCAGAGCGTGAGAAGTCCAGGAATCAGAATTGGTTCCAGCAATTTCAAATGACATAATGAAAGGGTCAAATCTGGAATCTGACGCCGACTCAACGGCGCACTCGACATCGCTACATCGCTACAACCTGGCTGCAACGTTGTCGATGTCTTTGGCGTTTTCTATAACGACGTTCATCCAAGCCCCGCAGAAACATCCACTCCTATTGATTTCTAATAGGCAGGTTAACCTGTCATGGTCCCTTTACGCTCTCGATAGCCTCGGAACCGAGATCGGAATGCCGTACTATCGATCCTGATCTATCCAGAGCAAGTGGCGCTGGTGAACCTGGACTTACGCCTTTTGGATAACTAACACGCTCTGCCGTATTTATGGTGGCTCCAGGAGTAGTCCGTTGGTCGTTGTATGTACCCTTCGATTCTCGTCATGCTTTCGTTGTCGGTCACTCAGTCTTCTTTCCCGGGGCGTCGGATGTTTCAGTATTCAGTAAGTTTCCGGTGTTCAGACCAGCTGCATATGTGGTAAAGTTTCTCAACAAAAGCTGTATCGGTATACCGGTGGCTTTGCGTCTTCGGGAAGTACCTCGCTCGATGGACCGAAACTGTCAGAAAGCTATCTTTCTCACGTTGTACAATATGGTTCCGGACATCTGAAGCTTCCGTTGGCAAATCAAATATTCTGGTACCGCAGGGAAGCATATCCCGGCGCGGTTGACTAGCAATATTCAGACTGTCAGTCCTACCTATAATCCAACCACCGTACCATCCTCAGATCCCCCGGAAGATGGGTATTCGTAACACCGATTCTATCTACTCCCAAACCCGTGCTTACAGCCACGACCCACGCAATGGAATTTTGGTCCTTCCGTTTCTTTCGCCTCTTGTTTATGAGTACGTTCTTCCTTGTTAGGAATTATAAACCCAGACAATCGTCTCGGCCATACTGAATATCTATCACTTCTAGGTCTAGTGGCTTTTGCTTCCATGGCTTGCGTTTCCACTTCTCTCGCGATCTATGATTCCTTCACCCCAAAAGCAAACATCATCGTAGTGACATTTGTCCCGGGAATGTGCTTCCTGCTGGCCACAACGGCGTAGGCGTCTTTAACAGTATTCTGTCGGGTAACATGTCACTAACTCGGTTTTATTATAGTATAACCGCAAAATATCTTTTCACGAGCATCGTTCCCAGGATCCTTGTAGTTGAATGTGCGTGGTGTGTTTGTATGTTGCCGTTTATACTAGGTGAGAAGTCTTCTCAAAGCGAGGTATTGGAGCATATATTGACGGAATATCTTTACTTAGTCTCCGCCCTCGTTTGCTCGGGCCTAAGAGATTCATTCCGTGGCCAAGCCGGCCACGTTCCCTTTGAGGTTATCCACGCGCTATGTTGGGTGCTCACCGGCCTCTGTAAGTTTCGATTTATCTCAGACGCACTAACCATAGCTCCTTCACTGACCTCGCTGTCTATACTTAGTGACAACTTACGCATCCATGGTCATTACTTCAGCATTTTTCACCGCCTTCCTCGTCGACGAAGCTGTCTGGTATCGCGACATGTCCGCCCGTCCAGGCCCACTTCCATTCGCTGTTATCTGGCACAAGCTCCATAATCGTACCGAGGACATAGCGCACCACTGTCTTCTGGGCTGTAGTTGTTCTGAGAAGATATCACCCATCGCGCCAGAACATGCAGCGGCTCTACCTGCGTTGGGTCCTTGGGGTATGATGAACCGGACAACATCAGAACTGCAGCTTCCGAAGAGTGGAAGCATTCCTGTGTTGATGCCCACGGCAATGGAGTGTCAGAGTCATATCAGGATAGGCTTTCAGGTTTGAGCTGGGGTTTCTGGGAACTTGCTGTGCATAACTTATTTTGAATTTTATTCGTGCGTTCTCTCGAGCTGTTATCGTGGACACCCTCGCCACTACATGGCGGTGCACTCCTCCACACACTTCGCCGTATCGTCACTTATGCATCATCCTGCGGATAGCCACGTCAGAATATAGCACACGGCCGAAGACGGCGAATGGGGCGACCTGTACGTCCGCATCGTTCTCTGGCAGCGCAAGGTGGCCCCAGCATCTCCTCGCCACTAGTACAGAAATATCATAGCTTTCCCATTATTTGTCACTGCGAGTATATATCCTGGTAAACAGAATATCAGTACACAGCTCGAGATAAATGCTGATAAAGTCCCGCCTGAACCGCGAGGTAGCCTCGAGGATCCGAGGACAACTCTGGAATTTCAATCAAATATACCCACAATCGCGATGTTTATTCATCGATTTCGTTGACATTTCATCATTATCCGTGATTGTCGTAGTCGGGCTGTCATGGATCACTGCTAATTGCGCACGATGCGGTAGCACGCTGCAAGTGTAGGAGCACCAGATCGAAGTGTCACGAATTGGACTAACGAATGGGCACGAATCAAATCGGAGTGGGTCTTAGATGATGCCGACACTCAAAGCAAGCCACTGATATGGGGTTCCAAGTAACTTGAGGTGAATGGCTGGCTTATACGCACGCTCACGCTCACCATCGAAATGGCCGAGAGAATTATAAGCCAGATTGCGAGGAGTTGTGTGGCGCGCCACATCACTGTACATGTCGTTGCCGCCAAAGTATTGATCCCCATTGCTTTCGACAGCCCTTTCTGTATTCACGGAGCGTGGGTGCACATCACGAGTGCAAATCACGATTCACCGCTGAACAGGACCCGTGGTATTGCCGAAAGGGTCCCGATGAGGCTTAACATAAAATAAGTATCTCGGTTTTTCTTCAAGGTGGACTCCATCATGAAGGACAGGAACTTTCTCGGTAGAGAGCAGCAAGCAAATTATAAACGGTTCTTTGAGTCAAATCATGAAACCTGCCTATTTAATACTCATCATAGAGCCGCAAATACTTCGGGCCCCTCCAATGTGATCATGCTCTCCAGCGATTCGCTCCGCTGTCGACGCGAAGTTTATCCTGGCATGCCGTGGCATCAGACAAAAGCTGGTCAAGATACAGTGAATCATCCAGGAGAAAGTGCCCACCAAACTCACAATGTACGGTAGCTTCGTCTTCATGTTCTTGGCATCCTTCATAGTCGCGGGCAGCGCGCAACAGAACGAATATGGTCAATGTGGAGGAGATGGATGGTGAGTTTCACCACAAGTATCGATGTTGTGATCGGGACAGGTGTTGATACGGTCTTATGTCTACAGGTCGGGCTTGACGACCTGCGTGGCGCCCTTTACCTGCGTTGAGGCAAACGAGTGTTAGTCAAATTCGGCCTGAACACTGCCAAAAGGGTTGCGAACTAATAGCTGATTTGTGACTGTTCAACTTGATGCTCTTCAGACTACTCGCAGTGCCTTCCGGGGTCGGGAACGGCTTCGTCTTCGTCCGTCCCCGTCGCCAGCAGCGCACCAGCCTCGAGTTCGTCCGCCACAACGGCACCCACGTCTACCGTGGCGTCGACCACGACGTCTTCAGCCGCAAGTCCTACCGGTTCTCAGATCCGCTCGGACCAAGACCCCGTTTTCCATTTCTACCTGCAAAACCAAGGTGTGCACTCTTAGCAGAGATGATGAAATGCGAGGACTGACCGGACTCTTCCGAACCATCTTATGTGGCACCTCAGACGGTGTGCCCGTTCTAGGTCCTGAAGACACCTCAGGCTACTTCGTCATAGACGGCACCATCGCTCTCAGCAGTACCACAGGCGACTCCCCTCTCTATCTCAATGTAGACGAATCAGCTACGGCGTCGTACAAACCGTTGACGTTGAATACGACTGCGACGACAACCGACTGGGGTTTGGAAGGCGATACGATCATCACGACGGATCCGAGACAGTTGAATTTCTTGGTATGCGCGACCAGTGACGCGAATGTGTGGAGTGTCTATTTGCAGGAGGGGAACGATGTGCCGTCAGGAGAGACGTGCTCGAATGATATTTCGCTACATTTGCCGTGTTTGTGTTGAGATGTCGTCAGAAAAATAGGTGATGGAGGCACGATTTTGTATACTGCTTACCGTTAATTGATGCATTATCCCGACCCCATTGGCTACCCGATGAAAGATTGATATGGGCCTCCGTCAGTTAGTTCCCTAGAGAACCACCCTCACAATCGATTGGACACTCAACCATAGGACTTAAGACCTCAAAACAGAATTGGCATAGAACATATCACCTAGTCGAGATAACAATGGGTCAAGCCATATTGATCAAGCGCCACCGCGAGCGGTGGGCAAAAATTCAGAATACAACAAGATCTCCACTCGCCGCATACTGAATCCATAGTACTGGTCAGTGGACCACGCAGATCATGAAAGAAGTAGATAGTAAGTAGATATCGGAAGGAAACGGACGAAGGGCCTCGCTGATGAGGATGAAATAGAAGCCTCAACGGAGGCAAACATACACGGAGGAATCAGACGACGCCGATATGATATTGACGTTTACCCCACATTTGTCGTCCACTTCAAGAGAAGCTTCAGTGCCAACAGAACGTGACGCAAGGCCCGCGTCCAAGCCTCTTCTTGGCTGAACTGAAGCTTGACGGAGGCTTCTCCTATCTTGTCCTTGACGATTCTGAAAGGCAAGTCGCTCAGGGTCAGACATGTCCTAAGAAACAAAGGTGATGACAACAAGCGAGAGAACGAACTGGTGTGGAAACTCTACGCTTGGATCCTGCGACTTTGCCCAGTCGATGATCTGCTTCAGGCACTCGAGGAACGCTACCATGGCGAAGTCGAACCGTCGATTGTGGAGCAATCGACCAAGGTGCAGATCACCAGAGCCATGAAGCTCGTATGTCGCCTTGTCGCCGGAGATTCGCTCGATACGAGAGAAGGAACCCATGGGAACAAGACGGTAACTGCACATCCGGGACAACATAAGATTAGTCACGACGGCGCAGATAAATGAGAGACCAAAAGACGGTGGAAGGACACCCACTTCTCGAACGTGAAATCAAGTTTGCGGGCGATGGTGTAGAGCAGAAGTAACGTCTGTCCCCATGCTGCATTGATTTCCGCCCATTCCACCTTTTGACAACACGAGTATCAATATATTTGTGTAAAAGGTAACAGAGGAGGGGTACTTACTGGAACTCCTGGCACTCTGCCCAAACGGAGTCCATTAATAGTTCCGAAGACACCGTCGTGCCCGATGCAAAAAGCATCGTTGTAAACGTTTGTACGCTCGAGGCGATCCAGTGTGGCCGAGTCCGCCGCATACGCGGCTCGTAGCGCAGCCAGCTGTGAGTTCTGTTCGGCTGATTTCAAGAGGTGTGCATTGTGTGCTCGCCAGAACCTAGTGAACGTTGTCTCAATAGAGGACTGAGAGTAATAGTAGCATAAGACGTACTCTTCCTCCTCTTCTTCTAACGCCTTTTCCTCCATTTCCAGCGCCCTCATTTCATCGGCGAGCTGCTCCCTCTCCCTTTCCGCCTCCCTCAACTGATCGACAGCAATCCTCTCGTCCTCCTTCAATCTCTCAATCCGACGTTCGGCCTCCTCCTTCGACAATCCATCCTTCTCCCGCTCCCTCTCCTTCCTCACTTCCTTCTCATACGCAATATATCCATCTCTCTCCTTCTTCGTCTCCTCTAGTTGCCTCGTTAGATTCGACATCAATATATGTGTGCATTCGGAGCATAGTGGATGGTCAACGTCCGTACGGGTCGATATGAGGTTCAACAACTTTTGCGTTGACCTGAGATGATGCGATAAAGGTGAAGGATTCGAAGGCATTGAATTGTGACGATCGCCTTGCCCGTCTCCTTCGCCACCGCTCCCACCAGACGAAGAGCCTCTCCCTCCACTGGCCCCATTCAAACCAATCCCATTCGCATTCCCCAGCGCCCTGCTCCTGTGACCCTGGGGTGATGAGGGGTCTGTTGACGGAATATTTCTGATGACACTATCCTGCAATAGTACGAAGCTTTCGTTTGGACCTAGCGCGCGCTGTGGTTGTTTGCCCTGTGCGCGAGGAGACAAGGACATGCCATGACCATTGGGTCTGACTCCATTGGCTTGTGCAGACGCTAGCCATGCAGCTTTGACGGATGGAGAGGCAGGTAATTGAGCCAATTGGTCGGCCTCAGACGAAGGTGGATGGTAGCCTGTGTTGAGATGGGAGGGAAGGGAGCCTACGATCATGTCATAGGCTGACGGAGCCAGGTCGACGAGGGACGAGTCTAACTGTCGATGGTAATGAGACACATCCTGGTGGGGATTTTGAGTCTACATACCTGTAGAGGGGCCTTGCACTTCTGACATACGAACGCCATGACTGCTTTCCTTTGAAGGGCTACAGGTAAGTTGAGGATGTGTGAACTCGTACACCCTCTCCTCTCACTGTCTCGACCCTTGGTGTGGCCCAATAATACTCACGCTTGTGCCACAGTGGCACTTTGGTGGCCCCATTCAGCCCACCATGTAAACCACGTTCGGCGTAAACGCGTTGATACAGGATGATCAATTCAAGCAAAGCATATACTACACACTAAGAACAGCACGCAAGGAATGACCGTCCAAGAATACGCAACAATCCCTCGGAGTTGTGCCCATCTGCCTCAGAACCCGCTAGCGGTGACCCGCAACTGATCAAGCTTCTTCAACACCTCGCTCACCGTCCTATCCAACTCTCCCGCGATCATACTCTGCTTCGCTGCCGGCAACCTCGCAAACGTCTCACACAAGTCACCATCCACAACAGCCTTCACAGGCACGTAGTAACCTCTCCAAGCCAGATGATCCCTGCCTACCAGACTAGTCTGTTCCGTGCGTATGTGCTGTTCGAGCGTGGATATGAAGTCGACGTCTTCCTTCGAGACGAGTGGCACGAGCATTCCAATCGTACCGTGAAGACCCGTATACAGCAAGACTTCTCTCCCACCAGCGACGAGCGAAACCTTGTGGATCGATGTGACCAAGTCGCCGACGTGGAAGTGGGCCAACATCGCAGTCTTGTGAGGGGCTCCCATGAGTATGCCCTTTTCGTGCAGGATGCCCGCTCCCGTAGGGTCGTCATCGACTTGGTCAGACACTTTGCTGTCCAGACGGTTGATGAAGATATTGCCGAATCGATCTCCTGCGGCGACGGTAGTGTAGTCAACCATGGTGGAGCATGTGACCCAGCGCGCTTGTGTGTCGTCAGCGAAGACAAGGAGCTTGTTTTCTGGTGCTTTGTAGACGGCGTATGCGATAGATTCTTGCATGTCGCCAACTATGATACGCGAACCCTGAGTGTTCAGGCTGATGATAGCGGAGGCGAAGGTCTGTGAAGTGGAAAGAAGTGAGCACCGAAGCACGAGTCTGGTGCGAAAGAGGAAGACTTGCCTTGCTCTCAGCTTTTCGCAGAAGTTTCTTCTTACCGATATCATAGATCCTTAGCGCCTTTCCAATACCAGCAACAAGTCTCCCTTGGAATGCAAGCAGTGACATCGGGATATCATCGGTTTCGGTCTGTGAAAGCACAGACCAATCAGCATCGCCCATGCTAAGCCCGAGGAAAACTATTCACCTTATGCAAGAGCTCGAGTCCTGCTCCATCATCCACGAACTTATATGTCCGTAGGAACCCACTAGTACATGACCGAGGAGCTAAGAACGTATCTTGCGCAGTACCGACCACTAAATGGTACTCGTTATTCCTCACGGAGAAAGGCACTATCGCTAGTGAGAATGCGGCCTCGTTGTTGTCAATCGGAATCTCAGCCACGGATTTTCCCTAGTGAATGTCAGTCAAATGATAATACCTCAATTTGGAGGAAGAAGTTACCTCAGCAGGGTCGACGATGCGGATACACGATGCCCATGTACCCGCCGGAGCTTTCGAACGTCCGAAAACTTCAGCCGGCAGCTCGAGCATTTCATCGTCTACCATTTTGCCTTGAGAACGCTGCGTTCTGACGTTAGTGCGCTTGAAGACCCCGAAGTGTAATTGGGCACGAACCAGCTCTGCCACTTTCTTAGCTGTTGCATCAGGGCCCGTGACTCTGTGGTCGGCCTCTATGATATAGAAATAGCTGTTCGACGGATGTGAGGCGAACTTGCGCGGCGTGTAGCTCAAGGGAATTGAGTCCTGCTTGAGTTTCGTCCCAAGCTTGGGCATTTGAAAGATCCTAGAGAGTTCCACGTCAGAATTATGCTTTACTCGTGCAAACATAGAGAAGAGAAGGGAGAGCTCAGTAGGAACAATTGGTATGTATAAAGAGTTTCGGCATCGGTTCATTGAATCCGTCCGATCCCTTGGAATCATCATAAAACGCACTGCAAGGAGAGCTGCAATACTCACCTCAACACGCTCCCAGTGATCCCAATCAGACCTTCCGGACAGAGCTCGGCAGAGAAACTCCAAGCAAAGTCGAGGTTATCAAAAATGAGCGGCGTGAAGTGCATCAGGTTCTGATGCGTGTAGTTGAGCCATGTTCGTGACGAGAGTGCGAGGATGGCGGGTTGATGTTGGATCTGTACTCGGATCAGGCGAACAGGCCGTGTACCAAGGAACCTAAGGATAACGATAAATATGTGAGAGGGGATGTTGAGGAGATGAGTGCTTACCTTGTTCGAGTGTCCGTTAGTTGGCCATTCACTGGGTCCAGCACCGTACGCAGCAGCACACCATTCTGAAGGCCAATATTCACGAACATCGTGGGTTGGCTCTTGTTTATCCCTGCGTCCAGCATATCCGCGATACAGAGGGCTGAAGGGGGCGCCGTAAGCGCTTGTAGACTGATAGTCTCGAGCGTGCTCTCCGGATCGAGGGAGATGATACGAACAGTCTGATCCTCACAACCTACGGCCTGGACATACAGGACAATGCATCAGCTAGGTCGCTTAGGTCGAAACGAATAAACAAACCAGATATGGCGTCCTCTGCCTTCCTTCCGGAACTTCACCGATGCTCAGGGCAAGCACGGTACTGCCCATGGCCTTCCGATCCTGATACTCATTAAGTTGTCCATCCAAATCGAGCTCGAAGTAGACTAGCTCCGCAGAGCTCAACGCAACGACAACCTGACGTTTGTTCGTTGTCGCCGAGACGATAGTCTTACCCTGAGGAACTCGCCATTCGTTGACTCGTCGATCAGCAAGAACATGGCGGATACCATGTGGATGAACTTGCAACAGTGCATCCGCGCCGATTTGCTGAACCGCGAGAGTAGGTGCAGAGGACAAGAAACCGGTATCTTGAACTTCCTCGATGGTCTCGCCGATTGAGAGCACGAGTGTACCGTTGACGAAAGAGAGAATGATGTATGAGTCATAGGGAGCTATGCATCGATGATCATGGTAAGCGGGAAGCGAAGGAGTGCCAGAACGGAGAACAACTTACCATCCTCTCTTGTTTTTGTTGTCCACACAGCGTTTGGAATACCGGGCAGATCCGAACTGACCGTCTCCTCGACCTCCAAACCGTGACGTAGCGTACGGAACGTACTACGAGCGCCTCGTCCACAAGCAGTGAAAATTTGGGGAGTATCAGAGTTTGGCAGTAGATTCATGACCTTGGAGTCGATCACCGGCGCCAGAGACTCAAGCTCGTCAGCGAGTGCGAGATTATCCAGGGGGTGTGGGCGGAAGTGCGCTCGAGGTAGTGCTGCTGATGGATCGGCCATTCCGAACGAAGGATAATCGGTTGAGCTGAACTCTGGCTCGTTGTCATCGTCGCCGAGCTTTTGGAACTGGTATAGTTGACTAGCAAATTGATGTCAGCTACGGGCAACGCTCAAGATAAGATAACTATGCTTACTGGTTTCCGAACTCCGACGCTACAAAGAGGAAACCAGATTTTAGAATACACAAGCTGGAGGCGACAGGCACAGTATCAAAGTACTTGATCTTCACCGCCTTGACCTCCTCCTCTTGGTGCTCAATCGTAACCTTGTACAAGTCACCCTCCTCGCTCTGCAATAAGAAGAAGAAGGCTCCCTACAATAACAAAGGTGAGAGAAAGGTCGCCTTTGGAATGCACTCTGATGACGGACCTTCATTTTGTGCATGACGGCAGAAGTGATGATGAGCCCACGGTCGGGATCCTCGAGAGGGTGTCGTCTTCGAGGGATAGGAACGCGGTGTTGTGGGACGTCAGTATGTCGGTATATGATGTGGTCTTCGCAGCACACCAATACACCGGAGGGGCCATCATAACGATCCGATGATGCGAGCTGACCACCAGGAACTTGTACGAGCAGGTTTGCTCGTGGGTCGGTTGGTTCGCTCCATTTACGGACGACGTGATTAAGTCCGAGATCGAGCTCGTAATATGTTAAAACCTACCGAAAAAGTTAATTTGACCCAAGAGGTAGACAGTTGGGAGGCGCGCACCTTGTCAGCGTTGTTGAACGCCTCTCCCGTAGGATCCTGGTCCGACTCTGTATAGTCCACCTCCAGAGCAGCGAACATCGGGTTCTCGAAGCCTACGTCAAGACCAACAATGTGATGGATGATGGCCGCATTTTTATGAGCTTCCAACGGCGAAGAGATGGTCAAGTTGGCGGCCGCGTCTCGATTGAGGATGTAAACGAGCTTGGCCTTCTCCACAGCAGCGACCATAACGCTACGTCCCTTGGGGTCGGTCGCAAGATATTGGCCAGGTACGATCCTCCTTGCACCCGACTTCCCGTATGTCTCCTGGTGCACCTTGACGAAGCTACTAGTCTTGGGGTCATACTCAAGGATGACGATACGACCTGAATCCGAGCCTACTATGGCGTAGTCTGAGAAAACCGAGTATGTGAACAACGAAAATGAGAACACTTGATACGTACAGAGGCTCACCCTTAGTGCCGCCTGTCAACCGAAAAGCAGCGAGCGAGCGTATTGAGCCAAAAACGTCGCTGGCGACGACGGGGACAAGTTTTCCGGTCTGTACATCTGGTCGAAGTAGCTCGAGACGTGTCCCATGGGAAATGATGATTTCTTGTGCTCTGACTCCAGAAAAGTTACCGACGATGGCTTGGGTAGCTGCCGAGGGTGGCTGGAGAGTCAAATTATACAAATGCATAACCGCAACGAGCTAACGAAAGCCTTGCTGACTGGCAATAGGCAAGCTGAGGCTTGCGTTGACCGAGAAGTTGAGGACGACGTGGGATGGGGGTGGTTTGAAAGACGCGTAAACCTGAAGTGGAACGTCTCTTCAGTCAGACGCGCTCTGGCGTCCCCCGGACACCGCCGAAACACGCCACAAAAAGGTCTATTCGAAAGGGTTACAACTATAACTACAAACTATCATAAATACAGGCACTTGGCTAGATGATACAACAAGTGGGGGAAATTTTCCGCTATCCTTTCGCCTTCCCAGGTTTTCCTTTGGCTTTTGAAGTCTTCACAGTCTTCGCTACACCCACCTTCCACCACTCCTTCTGTTCTGATTCCACCCCGCTCATCCGACTGGCATCTGGTTTTCCTTTCTTTCCCGTAGTCCTTGCATTGGTGCTTGCCATCGCCTTCCTGTCTGTTTCATTATCTTCATCTTCATCTCTCACATTCCCTGCTCTCGCTTCACCCTGCGCAGCCCGGATCGCCCCTCTACTCAAACACCAGTCAACGTGAGCATTCAAGGCCATATTATCCGCAAACTTCTCATCACCACAGATCGGACAGATCATGTCAGCACTGTCAGACTGTTCGGTGAGATGCGTCGTGTGAGCACCTGTGGACGAGGATGCGGTGGTAAGATCGTTCTGCCAGTCCGCCACACTAACTCTCGTGCGTCCAGGAACATCCGAGCGAGGGTTCGACGATGTTATTGTGCTGTGCGGCTTCGCTGAACGAGAGGCGCTGACGTCCAGAGGTTGTGAGGAGGGTCCAGGAGCCGAATTCGGTGGTCGTGGTCTGGTACGCGGTGCCGTAGAATCAGGCTTCGTAAAGTTAGATGTGTCCTGTACGTGTGGCTGCATATCCCATCCTTCCAGCTCGAGTTCTTGTTCCTCTTCATGATATCCAGGCATAGAGTCTTCATCCACCGGATGTTCATCACCATCTACTGCAGAGTATTGAGCGATAGGTAGCTCGTCGTTTTCCGGTCCCTCCATCTGATGGTGAATGGTTCTCTGTCTCTTCGCGGATGAGGATGGACCACTGGTGCCGGCAGACTCAAAGAACTGGGAACAACGCATCAAGAAACGTCGAGAGACTATCAACTGGGCCAAATAAAAATAGCTTACACGCTTGATCCCCGTCGCCGGTTCTTTCTTCTTCAAGTCTTTCAACTTGGTGACTCGGAGTCCGATAAGCCTGAGCTTGAGAGGCAGTTCTGGAAGCAAAAGATCTCTGCCTGTCGCGAAGAGATCGTCCTTCTTCGTGATCCATCGGTTGAACGACTTTGCACGAGTAAAGACTGATGATACACCCATGGTATTCAGTCGTGACTACAAGAAGTGCAGGGGGAAGACTGTACCTTGATACGTGTCAAGTTTATATTTCAAGGTGACCGTCCGTCCAGTCCAACCACCTCTCTCCATATCCTCCTCTAGCTCTGTCGCAACCTCATCCAGCTTCTGCAGAATCTTGTCTTTGTCACCAAGAGTGTTGAAGGTCCTATCGGAGGGTAAGCATTACCTAGAGGATGACACCCTGTAGGAGAATTACCGTTCGGAACCTATGCTCTTCCTTTCTTCCCTCTCCCAAGGTTGAACCACGTTCGACGCAATCCCCAAGTGTGTTCGCAACATGAACACGAGGCCGAAGTGTTTGTCCATCAAAGACAGTACGGCGCGGTGAGTGTAGATATCCCCACAAGTCTGTATAGATATTATCAGGTTGAAACTACGAGGGGACTAGACTAGACACGACTAGACAAAGACTGCACGAACCTTGATACCGATGGACTCTAGCAGCCGTTCATTGACTCGACCGACGCCAGGAATCTTTCGTATGGACAAATCGCGCATGAATTCGATTATAGCCTGCGGCTCGTGAGGCAAACGGAATTGCCCATTGGGTTTGTTCTGTCGGCAAAGCGGTGAGTATAAGAGCGGTACTGGTCATGAGCTCAGTCAAACAGGCGGACCTTGTCGGAGCATATCTGTCAATGCACCGCATCATCAATACGAGCCTGGTCAGTCATGATCCATTGAGGGCAACGCAAATGCGACGCGGAGCCTCACTTTGGCTAACATCTGAGTCAATGTATCAGCCCTAGAACCATATTATATGCGGGGAGATGACCACCTTATTTGCTGCAATACCTGCACTGACAGTCAAAGTAGTCTCGTCAACCACCTGCTGTCGCATCTGGCGCACACACTCCTCAGGGTCAATCCCATGGTCTCTGCAATATTCTGTGATACTGTTAGATTAATATTGCATGAGCATAGCCTGACCAACGACACCTTGGTTAAAGACACGTACTTGAGATATCCCTCGTCGACACTTGCGGCCAACATATTCGGGTCATATTGCCTAAATATGCTCATCACTCTCTTCGACATCTCACTATACCGTGCCATGTTTATAGGCACGAAAACCATCTCCGGACACAATTTCTGTGCGATGAATCCCGGCATACCAGAACGCACGCCAAACTTGCGAGCCTCGTAAGATGCCGTGGTTAACATGCCCTTTCCGACCTGGGAGGTAAAGGGCGTCAGGTTATGTGAATAGTCTGGCACGATCAAGAGCCCCAAAAACAGATCAATGTCGTACCCCGAATGGCTTTCCAGCGAGCTCCGGGTTGTGCAGCAGCTCGACGTTAGCGTAGAAAGCGTCCATGTCGACGTGAACGATGTATTGGGAGAGGTCTCGCTGAGCTTCGATCTCAGCAAGCTATGACAAAAGGTTCAGTAAAACAATGCGAGATCTGGGCCAAGAAATAGACACACCAGATTGTTGACCTTCTGTTCAATCTTCTCTACCCAAATATGTCGGTATTGTTCAGCATATGTGGTAAAGCGGGAGACTGACGAAGATCCACCCCTCGAAGGGCCTCATCTCTTTCCTTCAGTATCCGCTCTATTCTCTCTGTCAAATCCTTATCCTTCCGCTTCTCATTCTGCAGTTCAGATGACCGCCACGCCAGGACGACGCATTAGTATGACACAGAATATTGATGAGGGCAGCATCGAACGAGCCTCATAGAACGCAGAGCCTTTAGATGCCTCAGCAATGATTCGATTAATGTCCGTTTGATCCTTAGCAAGTCTGTTGAAGAAGTAGCTTGAGGTAAACCACAGCTCGAGCAGAAGTCATATCGTTCAGGCGTACCCAGCTTTGGTGGTGGATGGACCAGCAAGTCGCTTGACAAGGCTAGCGGTATCTTGAGAAGGCTCTGGCGCCGCCATGCTGTTTTCACAACAAACTAGGATTGAAAGGATCCAAAGCAGAGCAACGGATTCGATACGAGCCAGATACTTATGTGCTTGTCCAAATGAGAGCCTATAATTGGGCGGCGGAAACTCATGAACGCGTCGGGCGCGTCGCTGAGTCATTCCCAAGTCACACTCACGTGGCTGCGTCGCGTCGCGTCGTCGATTCACCCTGACACGGTGGCTCACGGGTCTTCCATGAAAGGGGGTTTTTTTTGACAGAGAAAAAAAGGAGTTTTTTGGTCAAAATTTTGGAGGCACCAGCTAACATACTCAGCTGCTGATGTTAGTATTCGCACTAGTACTACTGTAGTTTGACATGAGCAAACGGCTGGTGTCAGTGTGGCGTGGGGCCACAGTGATAGCCCATTGCCCGTGAGCGCGGACGCAAGACGAGCTGAAACGATATGAGAGTAGGTGTACTAGTTAACACGTTATGCACATACTTTCGAAGTGCAGGAAAGTGCAGGAGGCAAAGATATCGAATATTGTGGACCTACAAGCATACACAAGCATACACACGGGCGGACCGAATTCAAGGCCCGCCCCCGGCCAATGAGAAGCCGAGACCTCCACCACCTCCTTCTTCAATCTATCCAGCACCATCGCCTGCATCGCACACCACCACAAGCCGCCCGTACTTGCCACAACATCCTTTCCATTCGCCTCAATCGACTTCCAAGCGAAATGTGAGTCGCGCCTCGTCCCTCTACCCACCTTCTCTTCGTTGACCATTCCATCGAACTCACAGTCATACACCTCATCACCTGCCTGTATCTGCCTTCTCACCTCCCACTTCTTCCTCAAAAACCATGGACAACCAACCCCCCGCCCCGCATTCAAATCAGCTAGGTGAAGTGACACTTCATCAATTCCATACTCTTCTCTGGCTGATAGTCCTTCACTTCCGAATACGCCAAAGGCATCCCTCCAAAACACTGCCGCAAGTTCGGCAAGCAGCACGGTAAGTCGAAATCCACAAGGGTCGTGACTGGGCGAGGACTTTAGGTTGAAGCTGATGATACCGATGACTGCAGCCAACGCGCGTGAAGAGGCGGTCAGGATACCATCGTCAGCAGAGGCGCTGGCATACCTGTTCAACCTACAACAGAGAGGCGACCAACTCGGTGAGGCCCTTCAACATTCTTGGACATCCTCAGAAACTGATGCATAGGATACACTGTAGTCGCAGACGGATGGCATGACGCCGCGCCAAAAATGCGAAGGAAGGTAGAGCAAATCCAGAAATCTCTTGGTAAGCTATTCGTCTTCAGCCATCTATAACGATCAACGATTAATATGGAAGGTCCGTAGGTCCTTTAGGACGACTGAGCATGAAAGACTGCGCCGGGGGAGGCATTGCGGTTGGACGAGCTGACGCTGGGGCTAGGGGTGAGTATCACGATATGCCGTGTTGGACCCAACGTCGCTCACAGTCTTTCCTCCACCCCAAGGAACGAAGAGAAAAAGAGCTCCGGCGGGGCCTCCCACTCGTACGTCGGACAGGATCAAAGAAAAAGCTATGAAGAAGGCCGCCGTTTCACTGGCCAACGACGGCACCTCTGGGACCCCTGTTCCTCCGCCGAACACAGTGGCCAATGTCGCCGGAGACTCTGGTGCTCTCAAAGCGACCATGCAAACTTCTGCAAGCGGTGGGGAGCCGCAGACTAACAGCTCTGATGCGTCTCGTGCGGTGACAAGGCAGATGAGAGACTCGACGGGCACCGGGCAGATTTCAAAGCCACAACCGGCAGAAGAGGAATTTACGGTCTCCAAGGAGAACCTGCCAGCATCAGGACCAGCCACCTCGACGGGAATAGCTCAGAATCTGTCTCCTGGTCGAAGAGTTACGAGTGGCCACAGGCCTGCCAACCCACTGAATCCGACCCAGGAGAACTCCACGGCCGAGGCTTCTCGCCCTCCTCAAGGAGTAGACGAGACCAAGGAGCCGTCCCTTAAGAAGAAGCTTAAAGTTTTTCTAGCCGTATACTCCGAAGATGGTCGCCGGGTTTTGGTGGACGTCTCCAAGTAAGGACGCCGTGACCCGGAGCAAAGCCAGTGGTCAGCCCATGGATGAAGACTTCGAGATCAAGGATTGTACTATACCGCGCAGAGGATACGGAGGAGTGTACTAATAACATATCATAGCTGTGTTGCGCAGGAGCCTTCAGCGTCTTCAATGTTGTACTGTGGACCAAGACGACCGTGGTTCGAATGTACTTGATTGTAGATTGTGATTTGCAGGGTGGCAGGTTGTCGTGCGCGGACGAAGCTCCAGAGAATTATATTTATTTAATATCGACGTCTGTAGTCGAGCAAAAGCAGCATTGAGGCAGGAAACTCGGTCAAGACGCTGAACTTGGAACTGTCTTTCGCTTCTCCCGCATCCTCGGGGCCACTCGGCACCTCCTGGCAGCCAATAAAATCATCTAAATTGTCTCTCTCAGCCGTGACACTGCCACGCGATGATCTTTGATGCTGCCACATTTTGTTCGATTCTTGTTCGATTGACCCCACGAGCACAATCAAATGTGGGCAACCTAGTTTGTCACTGAAGGTTCGCAGCATCACCTCCGTTATCACTCTCGATCATTGTATGGAGTCGTACGTTGTCCTTAATGCCACCACTCCATCGAAAGCAACACGACTCAGCACACCCAGAAGTATCGCAACAAGCACACGAAACGCACGTCTTCCTGTTCCCAGCATGATGACATGGCTAGTCAACTAGTCACGCCCCCAGTAGCTGATTCAGCCCGAGAGAAGAATGCGAAATTCCAAACATAGATCATTCAGCTTTCCCTGTCCAGATTATCTCACATATAAAGTGCGTGTCCTGCGCTCTGTGGGATAACATATCATCTCTCCACTTTCGCACTTTCTTGACGCCCACATACTTCGAGAATCTCAAGTTCTTCGAATCATGTCTACCACCGAGAAACCTTTGATGCTTTACACGGGGAAGACCCCTAATGGGTTCAAGGTCACTGTGTTCCTTGAAGAGTTGAAGGCGGCGTATGGTGGCCCGGATTACGAGTGCGCTCCCTTATGCATCCCTATCATGCATGCTGAGGATTGACTGACATGTTTCATCGTCGCAATCAGCTGGATGGGCATCGACATTTGGACGAACGTTCAGAAGGAACCATGGTTCGTACTTTATGCCCTCTCCACTGTCTTGTCCCAATATACTCAGAATGACCTCCCGCCATCCGACCAACCTTTGTACCTCAGGTTCATCAAGCTCAACCCCAACGGCCGTATTCCCACCCTGACCGACCGCTCTCGGGGAAACTTCAACGTCTTCGAGACCGCAGCGATCCTGCTTTACCTCGCGCAGCACTATGACAAGGAGGGCAAGTTCTGGTTCGATATCGCGAAGGAGGCGGACGATTATAGTGAGATGTTGCAGTGGATCTTCTTTGCTGTGAGTTCTCATGACTGGGTGACGGAACGATCTGATACGAATGTTGATGTTTTGATTTAGCACGGTGGTGTGGGTCCTATGCAAGGCCAAGGTACGCAGGCCGTAGCGTAATATGCTCAGGCTCACGACACTGTACTCACTGGTGTTGCCCCTATCTAGCCAACTTCTTCACGCACTACGCCAAGGAAGATCTTCCTTACGCAAAAGAGCGTTCGTGCAACTTCCATCCTTCTCTGACGTTCGAGTCAGCCATTTACTCATCGGTCGTTGGCAATCAGGCTACCGGAACGAGACCAAGAGGCTGTATGGTGTGTTGGAGATCCGTCTCAAGGACAGGGATTGGCTCGCTGGACCCGGCCGCGGAAAGTATAGCATTGCGGACATCAATGTTTGGCCCTGGTACGTCTACGCAATTTCCTGCTCCAAGCTGCCGACAAGTATGGCTGACAGACTCGGTGGTTGGTAGGGTAAGAATCCATGCATACTCCGTCGTCGACACTTTGGATGAGTGGCCTAACCTCAAGGTCAGTACAATGTTTACTCAATATGCTTTTGATAATGTATACTCAACGAAATTTGCGCTATGTTGTGGGTGATGATATGTAGGCATGGAAGGAGAGAATCGCGGCTCGTCCTGCGGCTCAAGCTGGTATCGATGTTCCTCCTGCCGAGAAGAAGTAAAGCTTTGCGTTCACAGAATGCAGCGCAGGTCTAACAAGGTTGTACGGATAGAAGCAGACTCTAGGTAGTCGTGATGAAGCAATGTCAATGTCATAATTCTTGTGTTTGAACGATAGGACATCAGAACAGGCTGGCCACACCGGTCTCGTTGCCTCCAGAGATCCGGTACCGTAAATACCGTGGAAGAGCTTCTCCTACTCTTCTCCCGACCCTGCGCAAATAAGATCTGTAAAAGGTGTTGGGCCACCGCCCTTGAATCCTGCCCTCAGAAGTATCGCCCACATCCAGTACTCTTCTACTTGCGATGGGTAGGGTGCCACAGCGGAAATGTAAGGGACGCCACCTCATCGCTGGCCAATGAGCGCTCGCGGCACGGCGCCGACATCAGTCAGTCAAGTCGACCAATCCAGTGCCGCATTGGAGACCCACAAACTCACCGCCGCAAAGCACTCTGTCATCTCATCAGCACCTCGTCCTTTCACTCTTTACTCTTCGCCGGTTGTGCAACCCTCTCAATCAACCCCCACTCAAAGAATAATTCGTGAAATATGTCGGGAGCAGCGTCGGCCGCTGGAGCGTCCAGATTCCAGGCATTCATGAATCACCCTGCAGGTGCGTGATGTCTGCTATCGTATTGTGCCAAATACCTAGGTACTAACCTCATGCCTTCTCTTGTGTCTATCTTCATCTCGTGCCTGGAAAATGCTGCGAATTGAACTCGTCGCGGGCTGGGGTCACAACTGGGATGACGGTTGGGATGAACAGGGCCGAAAACGGTGTTCTTCTGGGGACCAATGATGAAGTGGTGCTTGGTTATCGCGGGTGTGAAGGATCTTGGGAGGCCCGCTGAGAAATTGAGTGTGTCGCAGAACGTTGGTGCGTGCGCTTTCTTTTCTTCGTCTCTTGCCTGTTCGCTCGCGGACGAGGGTCTTGCGAGTGCAGAACGCTGAGACTTCGCATTCGTCAATGGGCGTCGTGAACCGTGTTTAGCGCTGGCTGCTACGGGCTTTATTTGGGTACGATACTCGATGGTCATCACGCCTGTGAACTACTCTCTCGCTGCAGTGAGTCCTCTTATCTCACTGGGATGCTTGTCTGGGTATCGGACGTAGTAATTGACTCTGTTGTGACTCTGTGAAGGTCAACTTCTTTGTCGGCTCGACAGGGTTGGCACAGCTGGCGCGCATTGCTCAGTAAGTCTCCACGTATATCTTGGTCTGCGGCCGTCTAACACCCGACTCTGCCTGTGGTGCAGGTACCGCTCGAGTCTGAAGGAGGAGAAGAAGATCGCTGCTTGATACTTCGACGTCTCCGTTCTACCACACTTATTCTATGCGATATTGTCTGTATTTGTGCAATAGACTTCCTCTGCATCCCCTCACGCCACCGCAAAAATTGCGTATAAAATACATGAGATCACGTACGACGACTTCGACCGGTACAAAAGCAACCAAGAAAGTCTAGCAATGTATCCGTGTATCATTACCTCGAGCCCGAACTGCCTTGAGCCTTCGACTTCGCCTTTCTTGAAGGCTGCTTCCTCGTCCCCGTCCTCGAACTTCCCTCGCTCTCTTCACGACCCATGTTATTCACGTATCCCTTCGCCATCTCCCACCAAGTCCCTGCACCTAGCGTCTCCGCAAAACCATCCACAGCCTTTCTCAGCTCTTCACTCACGTCCTTCTTGTCCTTCCCATCGGCTCCTTCTGAGTATTGCCAATCGCGATGACGATCAAAGGACTCCCAAGCTTTCGGACGAGTGCCACGTTGCTGTGTTCTTGAACGCGAGCGTGAGGACGTCGATCTCGAATTGCCAGCAGCGTTCTGGCCTTGTCCGTTCATCATGTCGAGTACGAAGCCCGTCATCATACCCAGTATGCCACCTCCGCCACCCGCGCCACCCCATCCTACGCCTTGCCCTCCCTCACCTTGCGTACCCATGAAATACCCCGCACCTGCTGCCAGAGCCCCAATTATCGTCCCCCACTTGACAAACCAGACCCCTGTCCTGATCATCCATGATGTTGTGCGGTAGAAGCTGAGGAGCGCGAGATAAGACGCAAGGACCATGATGAGTGGTGGCAGAACTGTTTCGGCATCCCATTCCCAAGGCCTGGCGCGCACGAGGTTGAGTATGAGAGAGATGAGGGCTGTACATAAGGCGAGGATATGGGAGAGTAGGAGGAACAGAAAGTCATAGAGCGGTGGTGGGAGGTGGTCGGCGAGGAAGTCGAGAACGGGGTCGAGGAAGGGGGGTAGTGTGAAATCGGAGGGGTTGAAGGCATCCATTCTGCTAGGATGCCCGAGTATTTTCGAGGCTTTTCTATCGATTTTTGCGGACGAGCCTGGGTATATGTCTGGTGCGTGCGACAGCCTTTCCGAATGACTGACGCTCACAAGCACAGGCGACCTCGTGGCGAATTGCTATGGATGGACCTCGGTTATTCCGGCCGGCGATTGTCAGGTAGCGGACCGATGCAGGAAGTACCTTTCTTTTCCCTGCGCCACCTGCCTTGTGCGGGGCGCCGCATTACCATTTGCAGGTTGATTCTAGGCATCAAACATTTCCGCGGCTCAGCGGCGTCCGCTCGGCGCGACCCGGGTGGCATTTTCGAGGGTCACCATCACGATATTCATACTCAGACGGCGTTGGCCGAGATGCCAGCAAGAACGTATAAATATTGGTCCCCCTGTTTTGCTTCCTCCTTCCCAACCAACCCCCATCATCCACTCACCAGACTTCCGTCAACCTATCCCCTTCATACCACCTGTACCCACCTCATACCTTCTTTGTCCATATATCTGCCATGGCTTTGAAGAGGAAACTCGACTCTCACTCCGGTGACAACGAGCGCAGTGTATGTTTTGGTATACTCCTTCTCTAAGACGCGCTTATACCTATCTATCTCCGCAGACAAAGCAGCTCAAGCTTGTCCCTTTCCCTACGTACGAGCCAGACAATGACGTCTGCATGTTTGACGCGTCTTCCGACCAAGACCTATTGACCGTCGACCCCCACCACGGTCGTTTCAACTCCACCTCCAGCGCTGTCTCGTCTGATGCCGAGTCCCGTATGTCTTACAGTCCCCTCCCCCGTGCTCTCACGTTTTGAAGCTTACTTCCAGCGGTATATCCTGCGTCGTTGTCAGCTCTCTACCCACCATTCACCGTCGCCCCCGGCCAATTCTTCGCCCCCAGCGGCCGTGTGAATACTGATTCTCACAATTTCTCGAGGTACTCTCCTCCTCCTCAGAGGCCTGTCGGTATCTTCGAGCCCAGGCGGTCGTTCTCTCACAACGGGTTAGTCTCCCTCAGACTTATGCAACCGGACGTTTGTCATTTTACAAAACATCTCTAACCATATTCCACCACCTGCATATATGCGCCCGATAACGCCATTCAGTTCCTGCACTCAAATTCCGAAGCTTCGCGTCGCCTGCTCTTCCGGTGTACAAGGCCAGAGGTCCATGTGGAGCCACTGCGAACAATGTGGCGCCATCGAAATGATCGACCCCGACTACTGATTCGACTTCGACATTTAACCAGTCGCCACTCGACAGCCCTCCCGACTAAACATGGCCGACTTCGCCTCCTGCTCGACCATTATTATGCGACTGTTTATTTCCTCTCTATTGCGTTTGCTGCTTCTTGTGTGTAACATCTCTCAGGCGACATTACCGACTCCATCATCCTACCATCACCTTCTTGCTCGACCACCCTTTCCCTCGCCTCCCCTCCTGTCTCATCATTCACTCTGTCGACATCTCCCATCCGGCCGACTCATCTACAAAACCGACTTCGACTTCGACAGCGCGCCACCGCCATCGCTATCACCGCCACCGCTATGACCGCCACCGTTTCTCTTGCTTTCCTCCCGTCCAATCCCCTACATCATTTTCCACTGCCTGTATCGTCTCGTCTCGTTTCATCCTTTGCCAAAAGCCCGAAAATGTCAACAATTGCCCGTTTGTCTGCCTGTCTGTTATCGTCTCGTTCCGCCCATGTCTCGCTTTCTTGGACTCTCATACTGCTACTACATCCGCCCACCATTCCATCCCCATTCCCAAGTTCTGTCTCACTCTATCTTATCCGCCGCTTCGTTCACGTTCCAGATTCTTTCGACATCCGCGATTACTGTACATAGATTGCTTTCCCCTGTAACTTTTCCCCCTCGGTTTTGCTCCGTGTTTGACAACTGTGATATATTTTGGGTCTTGCCCTCATGGATCTCACACTGTGTGAGCATGCTCGCAACGAAGCTGGTAAATGACTGCTCAACCTATGATATCTAAGTTATTCATGGGTAGTGAACATTGACACAGAAAGGCCAATTAAAATCGGTTTGCGGGTGCGCACGTTCCGAGTAGACAAGAGACAAGTCCCACGAAAGAGCATGAAACAATCATGAAGATAGTCACACAGCTGTCTGTCAGCTCGTTGCGTGTACTGCCTGCCATACTATCAATGGCCCTTCGTTCGGACAGTGTGAGAACACGCCCAATTCCACATCGTTTTCCCCATTCAAGCTTTCATAAAGCATGCTAAATCACACCTAGACCGTCTGCGAAGTCATTTGAGTACATTGAGTACAATAATGGCAGCGGGAGATCGAATGGGGAGGGGGGGTTTCGGGCACTTTGGCGGGCGCGGCTGTCCGAACGGCGGCGCCACTGCCCCTAGGACGACGGCCTTCCTCTTGAGCAGTCTACAACAAAACCGCGTAGGCATGTACTAAGACTTAGGTAGAGTAGGGGGCATCATGTGTGCCAAATCTTGTGGCAAGAGAACTCGTACTGCGTGAGCTAATTTTTTCGCAGTCCGGACTCATTGTCCGAACGAAGGGCCAGTGATGAGTAGTACGAATCTACGGTCGGAGGTTGGAGTTGGAGATGAAAGGCTCGTTGCCGCACCCATGGGAAAAGACTCGCCAGCATCGCGATACCGCCCCGCAGAGTTACAGGACTCGCACGCTCTCGCACACTACATATGTTTCAGTCGTGACGAGACATGCGTGAATGTGAGATTCATAGGAAGGAAGGGGCCGCGTTGCGAGGAACTGTCGGAGGGTGGGTGTAAATAAAACAGCATCGACCCCGACGTGTCCCCACGGTTCGAAGGACCGCCACCGCCACTATCTGTTCGTGTCAACTTCCAGACAAGAACTTGAAGAAGTGACGCTCGTACATAAGTACGACGGTCCGAAGCAGTGCAAAGACGATGATGCTGAGCTCGTTTGAAGCAAGAGGGCGGAACGAGATGCCGAGTAAGTATCATCGACTGCACTGATAGGCGGAGCCCCTGGGGATATCGACGTGCCTGTAACAGCGCTGAAAGAGATTTCAGTACGTTATTGTGCATATGTTCTGAGCTCTTCCAGAAGAAATTCCAGGCGAAACAATGTTTTATGAAAGAATGCGGTGAGATGCGGTGTCGGAGGACGTGTGGCGCAAGTACGTTGATTCACGAAGACTCGCGGGTGCACGTCTGTGTGGTCTAACAATAACCGGAGGGCGGCGATGCAACAGAGGTGCGGGTTTGCATACGTATCACTCATCGATGGCAAGAATGTTACAAATATGCCTGAACATTCAAGGCCCAGGGACAGTGAGGAATGCAGCTGGTCATGGGCCACACTGGCAGTGTCCTGCGATGACGCTGCAGTAAGCTCCGACTCGGAGTCAGTGCGACCACAGAAAACGAAAGGGGAGGGCATATTTGGAATATAATAGACGTGCTTGATCAGCACTGCTTGAGACCGTGATGTATTTCTCGCATGCATTGATGTGGCGAAAGCGGGTGGCGTGAGAGGATGCAGGGTGGGGCGAAAGCGGTGAAAATGCCAGACGATAGGTGTATAAGGAGCCAAAATCTGAGAGGCGTCGATCCCGCAGCAGAACACGGCATGGAGATTGTCGGTCGTCTCGTTAATCGGGAGGCTCACTTACCTGCTATAAGTATCACTACTGATAGTCCTTCGCTATTGGATAATGTATTGGCAGTACTAGTATTTGGTGGAGGCTAAGACAGCAGGCTGAGAAGAGGAGGTACTCTAAGGGTATGATGGTCAGCGGGCTTCAAAGAACAGGACGTTAGAGCGACAGGTGTAGGTTCTCGGTCACCTTGATAAAGTGCATCAAGGCAGCAGATGATGTGAGCACCGTGACCGGGCTTGACTTTATAGCAATCCATCAACCTATACTGACGTCTCCTCTGAATGACCGCCCTGTGCTGGCAAGTATAGCATGACTCCACGACAGAGTACCGAACGAGTGTTACCCATCATCTACCCTGAGTTGATTCAATGATGGAAGTGGGGCTTCGACTCCCAAGCGTAGGACAAGGAAGGAAGGGACTCACGACTCGGTATCTTATGCCTCAGTGCATACTAACTTGATCGCGTATGTGCCGATGTCGTTTTCGGACCACAGTTTCCCTGTCGGAGCGCTGTACGGGAGGCCACCGGTTCATTTCATACACTTGCCCTCCGGGCGCCACCTGGTCCCTCCTATGGGTCGATTAGCAACCACTGCCTTCAGCTGTCCATTATATTCAAGTTGTATCTTCTGGCCAATTTGGCTTCACGGAATGAAGACGGCGGGCCAGTCTCGCGCCAGGGCTTCGCCCAGCCTCTTTGTGGCCCGCCTCTACGCGCGGGGGCTCCGCCCCGCGCGATGGTCTGCGATCTTCTTTGAAGAGCGTGATAAAAATTACTAGCCGCTAGTACTAACGACCCACTCTTCGAACAAGTGGTGGATGCCACGACCATCTTTCAGTGTTGTTTCAGTGGTGAGCTTGCGCTCGGCTTGAACTTCAGTGCTAATGCACTTGAGTACTGTAACACTCCCTGAATCTCGCCACAGCTGCAGGCCGCGAGGTGAGAGCACAGTGCCCACTTTTTTGCGTCCTTTACATGAAAGAATCTCGACATCCAGAATACGGCGCAGGGAGGCACTGCTAGTGTAAGAGTCCTTCCCAATGGGGCAGGTCGACTGGAATCTCGTCGTTTGGGACATTCGATGCGTGGGAAGTAGGTCCTAATGGGGTAGGAGGGGGGTGTAGACGTCGTTAGGTCTTTCGCTCGCGTGGTGGTATGTCCCAATGGGGCAGGAGGGGGGTTTTGAGCTCGTCAGGTATCCCAGAGCGTGGGAGGAGTTGTCCTAATGTGGTTATTTAAATCATTGCAAGACCTGATCCCTGTAGGGACCAGGAATATTGCAGCCACTCTACCCCTCACACCTTACTCAAAGTATCACAGCGTCTCACTGCATAGAATCTTCCGCATACATTGCCTTTTACCATCTACTAAACTCTCAAGCACTGGGACGACCATCATTTGATGCTATTGAAGAGAAGGACGCAGAGACAGGAAGTGTCGTCGGGATGCTCATGGTCTCATGGTCTCATAGTGGTTCGAGTTTCTTCTATTAGCATATGCTTTATCCTCGCCCATCACACGTACCATATCACGCGTACGTATGGACAAGGCAGTCATTTGCGAAGCATATGCAGCAAGCAGCTTCGCTCGGTAAATTTTAGAAAACGAGAGGGTACACCGTGACCTTACGCTCATTATGATACCCTTGTTTAAACAAATGCTCTTTTATGTAAGCGCGATGACTAGACTCAAACAGGCTTAAATAGACCAGAGTTCATGAGTAGAAGTTGGACGGAGGGAGATGTGGAAAATTGACAACGCGGGGATTGCTTATCGTTCTTTAAGTACAAGACAAAGGATGAGACATACCGTAAGTATTTACCACGTTATCCCCTCTTGGCGAGCTTGTTTTCCAAGGGTTCCAAGAGCCAAGAGGGCGTGCGGGAGAACTCGGATGGTGTCACAGTAAATATTTGTCCGCCAGTTCGTTTGAGAAGTCCTCAGAGATTGGCTTGGAGATCGATGCGGCATTCGTTTGGCTGTGGTTGAGAAGCAGTCGCCAAAAAATGTGTAGTGGCGTAGCCCTTGAACCTAAAAACTTTCAGGAGATTCCTGAGGATATTGTGCACACTGATGAAGCTGATATAGTAGCCTACACCGCCCACCGGACCTGAGATCGGTTCGAGATCAGCCGAAATAAGGTCGTATTAAGATCAGCCCGCATATTGGGCGACTCTCATTCGAGACTGATAGTCGCCTGATGGTCGAAATGAGGTCGGATTGAGGTCGATTCAACCCTCAACCCGGATCAGGCCGCACATGTTTTTTCCTTCTCAGGTACGGTCGGCGGTGTACCAGGGCGTAAGATGAAGCAGACATTGGAAGCAGTGTTATGTCTACAGACAAAGAACGGTTCTTATAAAGCTTGGCCCATATGGTGGACGATTGCCCCAGTCGACGTCGTCGACGTTTTCTGGACTGTCTTGCATGAGGTCTACTTTGGAGGCTAACGTCAGAGCTTGTCCTCGACTTGTCGCCATGGACCTGTGAAAATTCCGAGATAAAATGACGAAGACCGTAACTCGGACTTCGTACCGCTCGATCAAATACGTCATCCCCCGCCGGCAAGCCCTTGTCAAAGCCAGTTGTTGTCTCAGCCAAGTTCCGAGGGAAGAAAAACATAGCAAACGGGCCCGATGTGACGACGAAAGCTCAGGCACGAACATTCGCCGCAAACGCTTACGATATAGCTCTGATCATGAGGTTTGGCGCCGAATCCCGATAGAACAAAAGCTTAGAATGTTGACGTCACACTCAAAGCATCTCCCACAGCATAGCCATGACGGCGAATAAGCGAGCGTATGTTAGGTGGAGTCACAGCGCGGGCGACCCAATGCACTCGGTTTCGAAAGGCGAATCCTCTTGAAGTAGGCACATCAAACAACACAGAAGTGGGTGAAGCCGCCCGTCCACACGGATTTGCAGAAGAACTTCCCCTGGGGAAAGCGAGCGGGGAAGGATGGGGAAAGGTGGAAATGCGGGAGACTGAATCGTTTAGCCGGCTAGAAGTGCGGGGCTCCAAGCGCAGCGAACAGTAAGACCACCCCAAAATACGTAACACGCTCCGGCTTTAAAATTCTTTCTATCATCGTCCCTTTCTGAGTCCGTAGGTAGCGCGTCTCCAGACACAAATATAAAAGCGAGCCTGGGAGATGGAACTCCACGACGCACTCGGCTCCTCCTTCTCCCCTTCTATTCCTCCTATTAATATTCTCCCCCTCTAACGAAATGTCGAAGACGACGGACACCGCCAACGGGTCCTTGTCCGAGAAGAAGAATCCCTCAGCAGTGGAGACTTCGTCCTTTGAGGAGAAGGGAACCACCCGACACATCGACAAAGTCGAGATCGACGTTCATGCCCTTAATGTCAAGCTCGCCAATCCTCTAGCGGGTATTCCTCATGACGAGCTCGTAGCCGATGCCGAACGGTTCGCCATCGAGCACAACATGGCCCACCTCGTTGATGAGTTCCGTAAGGGCGCTCTCGTCGCGCAAGATCCCACGGCTTTTGAGACTCTCGACCAACTCTCCGAGGAGGATAAGAACGTCTTCCGAAGGGAGCTTACTAACCGGTGGGACCAACCGAAGACGCTATACTACCTTGTGAGTTCCTCGATCTATTTTCAGGTGACTGACACGGAGCTCACCATTCTTCTTCGACTTTTGGCAGGTCGTTCTTTGCTCTGTCGCAGCTTGCGTGCAAGGAGTATGTATCTAACGCTCTTCTCGTCATCAACCCTTATAACAAATTTTCTAGATGGACGAAGCTGTTATCAACGGAGCAAACCTCTTCTTCGCTGATCAGTTCGGGATCGGGACCAACTCACCAGGAGATCCAGGGCGCAACCAGTGGTTACTGGGTCTCGTCAATTCAGCTCCGTACGTATCTCTCGCATCTCATCACCAATGCATATGTTGAATTTTTTCGCTATCCAGATATTTGTGTTGTGCCTTTGTCGGATGTTGGCTCACAGACCCATTGAACCGCTACTTCGGCCGTCGTGGAACCATTTTTATCACCGCAACCTTCTCCTTCCTCACCTGTATTTGGCAAGGTGTCACCAACTCATGGGAACATCTCTTCGTCGCACGGTTCTTCCTTGGACTCGGTATTGGTCCCAAGTCCGCTACTGTACCCGTTTACGCTGCCGAATGCGCTCCCCCGGCTATCCGTGGAGGTCTGGTCATGATGTGGCAGATGTGGACTGCGTTCGGAATCATGCTGGGATATGTTGCCGACCTGGCGTTCTTTAAGGTCCCCGACAAGCCCCATATTACCGGCTTGAACTGGAGATTGATGTTGGCCTCTGTGAGTTTCCCACGCCACAATCGTCTACTTGGAAAGAACGGGGAGATTCAAATGTTGACCATCATATGTTAGGCTGGCATCCCCGCATTGGTTCTTCTAGTCCAGGTCTTCTTCTGTCCTGAGAGGTATGCTATTCTACGTGCCTTCCTGCGAAGTGAGAAACTGACAACTATTCCAGTCCTCGATGGCTCATGCTCAAGGGTCGCTACAGCGAAGCCTTCGACTCCCTCGCTCGTCTTCGTCATCACAATATTCAGGCCGCTCGTGATTTGTACTGTGAGATCATTGCCCGATATAGTGTCGTCGCTCTTCACCGATCTGTCTCGCTGATCCCCGGTCGCGGCAGATATCCACGTTCAACTTGAGGCGGAGAAGGAGGCCGACCAAGGACGCAACCGTTTCCTCGAGCTGTTCACCATTCCTCGCAATCGTCGTGCTACCTTGGCGTCCTGCACCTTGATGTTTTTACAGCAGGCACGTATAGGATCCCTAGTTTCAGACTGAAATTACCCACTTCTGACCTTGCGCTTACATTTCAGTTTTGTGGCGTTAACGCCATTGCTTATTACTCCTCGAGTATATTCACTCAGTCTGGCTTCAACAACATCCAAGCCCTTCTTGCCTCCTGGGGCTTCGGAGCTCTCAACTTTGTCATGGCCTTCCCTGCAGTCTGGACAATCGATACCTTCGGTCGGAGGAACCTTTTACTTACGACATTCCCACTCATGGCTATCTTCCTCCTCCTTGCCGGATTTGCCTTGTATGTTCAGTTTATCTGGCTTACGCACGGATGATTACTGATGTTTGTCAATGCAGCTTCATTGAAGACCTTCATGCGCGCGTAGGTGTCGTTGCCCTTGGGATTTATCTCTTCACCTGCGCGTATAGTCCAGGCGAAGGACCGGTACCGTTCACTTACTCCGCAGAGGCGTACCCTCTGTATGTTCGTGATATTGGGATGTCACTCTCGACGGCGGTCCTATGGTTCTTGTACGTTGCCTTTGTCTCCATCTCATGTTTTAGGGCGCCAATTGACGGATATTTCACCGTTCCAGTAACTTCATCATCGCGATCACAACCCCTCGGCTTATCGGGGCCTTCAAACCACAAGGAGCCTTCGGTTGGTACGCGGGCTGGAATGTCGTTGGATTTTTTGCTATCCTTCTTGTCGTACCCGAGACAAAGGAGCTATCACTTGAAGAACTTGACCAAGGTGGGTCTCCCAAATCTGCCCTACCGGCTCCTTCATTCTCACCGCTTTTTTTCCTTTGTAGTCTTTGCCGTTCCCACACACATACACGCCGCTTATCAGGTCAAAGCTCTGCCACACAACATCAAGAAGCATATCTTCCGGATGAACGTCGAGCCTATGCCTCCGCTGTACGAGCATGAGGAGGGGATGCAGAAGACATATGCACCTGGAGGTGTCGGTGCTGCTTAGTCGACCTCATCAGTGTTGTTTTCTGAATTACTCTCACATTTTACTTCTTACTTGGTCTGCCTGTCATGAACCTGCTACGATTACGACGGGTTCGCCGCCTGCTCCGAGCCTCATCATTGTTATCAATGCTTTATCCTATGTATTTCTAGAGGACTCGGAGTCTGTCATGACTATATGATACATTCGACTTTCATCAATTATATACACTCGGTTTCAAGACTAGCAGCTACGAGCTCTGTGTTGTTCGAAATCTGGTAGCCAGCTAGTCAGTCCTGAGCCATGTCCTACGTGATTGAGATTCAGACTCGTCAAGTGTGGCGGTGGCAAGAAAGAGACCGAGCGGAACGCATTCCACGTGGAGCGGAACAAGTGCTTCACCTCCGTGTTCCTGCTCTCCCGAGTCTTCCGGTCATCCAGCTTCAATTTCAAGGTCAAGTGGCCTCAATCTCATCCGATGCACGCTTGCGTAGCTCGCACGCCGGCTCGTGCTCGTGCTGTTGCACGCACTATCACTGGGCCTCTGAGTCATAAAGCATATACATCGCCCACAGTCCTTGTGTTTTCCTCACGAACGTATGCGTCAACTGCGCCTGGTCTTCCTTCTACCTCTTCATCTATTCCACCGCCAATATTACTCAAGTCATCAGAAGCTCCACGTTCGAATTCGACCTCTGCTTCATCTTCCTTGACGCCGAAAGGTCTTCACAATACAGAGGCTTCGGGTTCGAGACTGCAACATGCACATCTTCTCACTGCGGTACACAATGCGCGGGAACTACTTCCACGTATTTTGGACCCCGAGTCGGAAGAACTAGAGTTCTGGAGCTTGGCGTTGAGGGTTACTGCTGACGAGCTTGCTGGTGTTGGCACAGGAAAGGAGAATCGGCTGAAAGTCGTTGGTGCGTTCTGCTGTTTCGCTTTGCGACATACATCAACCGAGCATGTTGTTACTAACTGGGGGTGGAATGGACATATATAGTGTATGGAGTTGATGAGCTTGCTGATGCTCAGGCTTTGGTGGGTGCGTTGCTGGAGGACCCGTTCGCCAGTGAGGCGGAGGTAGAAGCTGTTCGGCACCGATGGGAAGGAAGGCAGGAGGAGGGTCTGGTCGTGATCGAGTGCGTTGATTATTTCTCTATTTCCAGATGTTACTGAACGAGAATTATATATTTGAAGGCATGGGACTGGCTTTTCGGGAATCGGAAATCCATCGAAGGAGGCCAATCAAACCGAACCCGTTCACCTCTCCTCGTCTTTTCTGAACGCCTTTCCCGCTCCAATACAACTTACGGAACTCCAGACAGTGCCAAGGAACCAGCCTTCTTCCCAGGAGTTCTTGCGAAAGCTGTATACGGCCGATCTACCAATAATCGTGGTTAACCCTCTCAGCACGCCCCTGTCATCACTATACCCCTCTACGACTCACAGTTCCTCACCCTCGAGTACTACTATGTCTTCAGACACAACAACTCACTTCCCCTACCCTCTTCCTCCTCACTCACTCATTGTTCTCACTACCGCCCCTCCCATCTCAACCTCTGCTTCCCGACCCGTTACCCCCCAATCTCTCCCGCCCTCACTACAACAGACCCTCTCCTCTCTCCTGCCTCCGACGTCACATTCGCCGTTGCACAAGCCAGACAGTATCTCCACGACGCTAGGTTTGCGGATTCTGCTCATCGATTCACCGAGGGCACTTCATGCCCTGCGCGCGTTTAGGGCTGCGCCCTCGAGTCCCTATGCTGTCGATAGATACCAGGACGACACACTCGCTTCTGGTATCAGTGCACTCGGGAGGGCGATCAATATCCATCTACAACAATCAGGCTCACAAACTTCGTCTGGCTCGGACGTGTTGGATAGCGTTCAGGCGCTCAAGACGAGAGCGTTGTTGGTCTCTGCACTTTCGATGATGGAGCGGGAGTTGGGGAGCGCGAAGGACGAGTTGTATGTCGCTACGGACGTCGTGCGGACTTTGAGGGATGCTGTCGGGGAAGCTAGGCTCGAAGTTGAGATGGGGATCTTTGGTGGTGCTGCCTTCGAGCGTGAGGGGAGTTCTGGCGCTGGCGGCAGTCTCGGCGAATCCTCCGTTATTGTGAGGAATGAAGCGCACATGAAAGGGATGAAAGAGGGTGAGGATAAGATCGAGGCTGCGATGAAGAGGGCGGAGGCGGCTGTGAAGCCAGTTGTCGATGGATTGAGCTGGTGGAGGACGTTGTGGAGGGCGGATGAGGTGGGTTGGATGGTTAGAGGGGCGATCAGGGCTGCTTGGGCGTCGGAAGTCGAACGTTCCGTGAGTACAAAACATTGTCCATATCTCGCTTATGCATCGAGTTCTATGTTACTGACTCAGTAATACACTACAGGTCCTGCCATCACTGTCCACTCTTCCTTCTACACAGAAGACACTCACAACACTTACCCAAACACGACTCAACACCCTTTCCCATCCCAGCGCTCTACACTCCCCCATCCTGCACAACGCCCTCGCCCAACTCACTTCCTCACCCTCCTACCCCGTTCTCCCAACCTCCCTCCTCCAACCCCTCTCCGCCCGCCGCACCCAACTCGAATCGGGACCCACAGCCCGCCTCGAACGCGCCGCCCAAGCCCTCGTCCTCCGCACCGGTGCCTCCGCCCTCGCCTCAATCGGCGCCACACTAGGATGGTTCGGGTGGCACGCGGGCGGAGAATTTCTCACGGGGGGTTTGGCGTGGCATATGACTCAGTTGGAGTTGGCGTCGGTTATGGTGGGCGATGGGGCGGGTACGGCGGTTGGGATTGGAGGTGTGGTGGGGCTGGCGGGTGTTAGGTGGGCAGTGGGACAATGGGAGAAGGAAAGGAGAGGGTGGTGGAAGGATTGGAAGAGGGTGAGTGATGGGGCAGGAAGAGATATGAAGGTTCGTTGTAAATTGCGATTTATTCGCCTCCACATGAAGTATCTGACCAGCTGTGATTTTTTTTATTCCGACGCAGGTGGAGTTGGATAAGACGATGGAAAAGCAGGTGTTGATTGTGCCGGTTACAGCGTGTGAAGGCGTCGAGGCATTGGTAAAGCGGAGGAAAGTTGAGGTTGAGGCGCTTGAAGATGAGGTAGAGAAGCTAGAGGATGCATTGAAGGAGACTAAGTGAATTTGAACGAGCTTCAGTCGTTGCTTTTATCTACATATTGTTATTTGAGGTGGACTGTTGACAGTTTATTCTTTGAGTTGTAGAGGTGATTCATCCGAGCCACCACTCTAAATTATCATCGAGCGTAACGGTCCAAGAACTGAGTGTAGTTCGCCAGCATTGTCAATTGTGCTCATGGAGTATGTTTCTTTAGGTCGCGTCTCTGCAGGAGAATAGTCGAAGTGCGGTAGGTATTCTCATAAGTACACCGTGGTGTCTCACTCTCGCTATGTAGGATCGTAAGCTCCGGTGAATCCTGTATTTGGCATATATAGCCGCTTCTGGATGGGTTTGAATGGGTCTGGTTGGCGGGTGTCAGAGCGGGATCTCAATCTGCACGAGGCTCGAGGAAGATTTCGAGCGACGTAAATTACGACACAGTGGAAATGATCCCATGTTTTATGGAAGGTGTCCGTCTCATTCTATCATTCACGCCGATTCAGAGTAGGTGCGAGGAGACACTAGTGTCCTCAAATTATGGCCACCAATTGAAGAGCTCCTTCATGAAAAGCGTACTGAGCTGTGAGAATAGTGCTCGACAGCATAGCAAGGACGATCCTCTGGTCGTCTTGGATCGTCGCCACTCTATTTAGGTGCGATGCGGCCGTTGCAAGACCCGTAATCACTCGTGAAACAAGGCGCCTAGAACAGGTACTTCGGAGCGCTTCGGGCACATATCACGAGTCGCACGAGATAATGGCGAACGGTCGCGAAATCATGCGGGACGTGCATGAGAATGAGAAAGACAGCAGGCCAGTCCCACGATCTGGTCCGAACAAGCGTTATCGCGATACTCAGAGATGAGACTGGAATTCTTTTGCACATTATAAGCAGGATGCGACCTTGACCGGGACGAGGAGAAAGGTCAACAGCAAGTTGGGCGACGGTGGTTAGGATCCTAAGCGAATCCCCAAGAAGGTGCGGAATCAGTCAGGTGGTGATCGAGCGTGAGCGACCGAGCATAGAGTGGGAACATTGAATAACGTTTATATGGGGCGCGTGAGCGCGGAGAACGAAAAGGAAGACAACAAGCAGACAAGTAGGAACAACCTGGCCGTCGAGTGCAAAATATCGTCGTCGCCGTCGCGGACGATGCGCGGAGGACCTGAAGGTGCGGGGTACGCGGAAGATTGGAAATTGGACAGTAAATGGACGGGCTGCGATTGGGCGATACGGCACGTGCGGTGCGAGGTCAGCAATTTGAAAAATTTCCCCGCAAACCGTGACAGTCTCCGTCGCTGACCGAGCTTCGAGCCTGCACCAGGCCTCCTTTCAAAAGCGCGCGTCTCCTAGCTCTGGTAAGTTCCCACCTCTTCTCCCTACCATCACCACCGTCGTCGCCGTCGTCGCTGGTATAACATGCAGGCCTTTGCTGCATCCCTCAGGGCTCCCGCTCGCCGTGCAGCTTTCCCCGCTGCTCGAAGCATTCCCAGGGCAAATCTTCGTCAATCATTCCGCAAGTATTCGACCGAGCCCACCCCTCCAAAGTCTTCGAACACCACTCTCATCTTCGGTGGTCTTGGTGCCCTCGCCGCCGGTGGTATTCTCTATACCCTTCTCTCCGCTGACTCTGCGGGGACTACCGCCAAGTCGGCTGCTCAGTCTATTAAGGCCGCCACTAAGTTTGTCCCTTCCAAGGAGGACTACCAAAAGGCATGTGGTATTGGCGTCCGTATGTAGGTCATATCATTGGCTAACGGTCGCGGAATGGATAAGGTCTACAACAAAATCGCGGAAACTCTTGACGAGGCTGACGACTACGATGGTGCGTTCGAAGCCCGCATGTAATTCCTCGACTTTCCAACTCTGACCCGTATGCCTCAGATGGTTCTTTCGGTCCCGTTCTCCTTCGTCTCGCCTGGCACAGCTCTGGAACATACGACAAGGACACCAAGACCGGCGGAAGGTATGCTCGTCATATACAACTCTTATATCTTTCCCACCCTCATCCCGTGCGCCCGTAGCAACTATGCTACCATGCGTTTCGAGCCCGAAGCTCTGCACGGAGCAAACGCTGGCCTTAACGTCGCCCGTGGAATCATGGAGAAGGTCAAACAGGAGTTTGACTGGATAAGCTACGGTGACCTTTGGACTCTCGGCGGTGTTGCTGCTATTCAGGTAGGCTTTCTATCTCCTGTATGTGAACCGTCAGTATTTACCTTCGTCTACAGGAAATGTCTGGCCCCAAGATTCCATGGAGACCAGGACGTATCGATGGACATGCTGACAATGTGACCCCTGATGGCCGTCTCCCTGATGCGTCTCAAGGCAACAAGCACCTCCGCGACGTAGGTGTTTCCAAGCAATATCATTCTATCGAGTGCCCTAACATTTGTTCTTCAGATATTCTACCGTATGGGCTTCAACGACCAGGAAATCGTCGCTCTCTCTGGTGCTCACGCTCTCGGCCGCTGCCACACTGACCGGTTCGTGGCGTAACTTCCGTTCGTAGTCTGCATTCCAGCTTACATGTGTCTCTGTCTCTTCCTGCTTAGTTCCGGCTTCGACGGTCCCTGGACATTCTCTCCCATTACCTTGACTAACGACTACTACCAACTTCTCGTGAGCGAAAAGTAAGTTTCCATACCGTTCATCCTTGGTCATTTCTCATCATGTGCTGTCACTAGGTGGGTCTGGAGGAAGTGGGGCGGTCCCGCTCAATACGCCGACAAGAAGACTGGGTCCTTGATGATGCTTCCTACCGACTATGCTCTCGTCCAGGACAAGTCTTTCAAGAAGTGGGTCGACGCATACGCGAAGGACCAGGATCTCTTCTTCAAGGAGTAAGTCTTCATTTATACCTGTATGTTTAGGTATAGGCTGACCGGCGTGGCTTTTCCAAAGCTTCTCTGCCGTCCTCGTCAAGCTCTTCGAGCTCGGCGTGCCCGAGTCTCAGTTCGTCACCTCTGACCGTTGGGAGATGAAGACTCTCGACGAGCAGAAGGAGGCGTCCAAGTAGACTTTCGATTTCTTGAGTTCGTCGACCCGTCTATAGTCTCGCTCGATTCGACAGTTCGTCTAGATCTATGTCAAGACCGGCCTCCTAAATAATCGTTCCCGAGTTCAGTGATCCACGTGAATGAGCATGCATGCTTTAGACGAGAGGAACATCGTTGATTAGAGTGTATGGTGGCGGTAGCCACTTCATGTCACACCGTATTCAATTTTTTCTTGACCTGAAAATAGGATTTCTGGACTCAGGGACCCTCATTCCAGAGTAAATCCGCCATTTCGAAGTCAGGGGATTTTCCTAACCCTAACCCTAACCAAACGGCCAAATTTCTGGTGAAGACCCACACCAGGAACCCTAAGTACCCAAGATATATTGACTAAAAAAATTTCATGATGTGTATATACCTGGAACATCGTGAAGTCTGGTTGTATATTTGCTTGTACAGTCTTCAAACAGACGTTGGAGAAGACTGGCAGGCTACGGTGGTGGAGTGGCGGGGTGGCGGACGACCACACGTGTGACAAATCATGCCCAGTATGGTAATGTCACACGCACGTGGTGTGACAAACGGCCAAATTTCTCTGACGAAAACCCCCCCGGAGAATTTTTAAAAAGTGCACCGACCATCCTCTAGATACCCTCCCTGGGGTCTTATATATGAAGCAACAAGCCGCCAAACCCCCGAATCCGTGTTCCATTAAGCAAAGGGTTCCGCGGCACAAGGCTTGCCATGAAGTGGCTACCGCCACCATAGAGTGTATAGAGCGTAGACCGATGTTTCCTTGCCATATGGTGCGGTTCGGCTTTACACTTACGTTTTCATATCGGGTGCGGTGGTGACGGTCTGTTGGCGGGGATTAATGATTTTATGCTTGCCTTGCTCTCTTTACTGAATACTTGCTGTGCTTTCGGCTTCCTTTACTCACTCTGCTCATCGCGTCCATTTCTTTATTGTCCCAATGAAAGAAGAAACATATCTGAGTGGTTTTGCAGGGTCCAGCACAACGCGGTGTGGCCCGGCTTTACTGTGGCGTGAAGTAGGAATGAAAGCACATGACATCATGCCGCAATTTCAAAGCTCGCTCTCCTAAATTTGCTTTGGTCCGTTTTCGACGCCGCTCTCCTTGCAACGGAAACACCTCTTTGCGTCGACGAGCTGGAACATGGATGGACAACGTCTCCCCAGCATAGCCGAGATCTGTGTACTGGTAGGAACAATGACGGGCTCTACATCTGAATCTTCCGCTGAGTCTCTTCGCTCCCGACGACTCGCACCCGCGCCGCCGACTGCGCTTTTATCTCTTCACTGGCACTTGCACATTCTGAGTCTCAAAAGCGCTAGCATCGGGATGTGTCTTCGATGTAGCATTTCACACGGTGGGTAGAAGCATCACGACCGCCCGCAAAGCACGTTCTTCGATCGTGTCCGTCTTGTGTCTTGTCCGACTACGACTGCTACCCGATTTGGATGTTGAATCGAGACGCCGTCTCGAAGGCTTGAAATTACTATTGATACTGTCTGAGGTTCCTCTGGGTCTTTTGATTTCTAGAATCCATAGACTTCGTCGTCCATAGGCTAGCAGAAACGCGGCGTATCGGGCCCTTCAAGGTCCTCGACCACCGCCTTCTCGATCCTCCCGCCGGCCAGTCTGAGACTACGTCTCAGGAGTACTTCTATATAGATAATTTGACAGCCTGAGGCTCGTCAGCGTAACTACCCCAGACTTTTGTTGCTGTCCTCGCCTCCTTTGTTCTTCGTTGGCTTGAAGTCATCTGTTTTAGCTTTGGTAGCCTCTCTTTGCTCCTCACCTGGAGTCGAAACTCTTCAAGAAAATCTTCTCTTTCGGTGGCCGGTTCCTTGAGCTCAGGGGTTGGGTAAAGATTCCCCAACACTCTACCTCTAGCTTAGATGAGCGACGAAAGTTCATCGGTAGAATATACCGTTGGGTATAGCGAGTCCGTGGCGAGGAAACTGTGAGTTCATTACTGCGTTTTGGACCAATTGTTCAGATTCATGTTCTTCAGAGCCGCTGCTGACGTTTCCTTGTTAACTCGCATGTCGTCAGGTATACTCCTATTGTCGTTGGCGTATTCATAAATCTTTTCCTTTACGGGATCTCTATCGCTCAGGTCTTTATGTATTACACAACTTCATGTCAAAAGTGAGCTGCTTTCACGAGTTTCTGGTTAGAGGGTAGTAACTGACGACTTTCGCGATGCAGAGATGCAAAATGGATAAAACTATACGTGGGTGGAAAAGTCTTACGAGTCGTGTCCAGGCTGTCTCGTTTTCCCTCTCAATGTCGATTTTACCTTAGGTCGCAGCGCTTTTCCTGATGGACACGACGAACACCGTGGCCGTCTGTGAATTTGTCTTCGATAAACTTGTTACTCATTTCGGTGCGCTCAATTTCACCTTCATTTGGCGTGATAAAGTTCTCATGAAATGTATTGCGGCGATTCTAGGCGATGTTGCGTACCTACAGACCGCAGGGTGGGGTGAGTCAGGGTTGATTACTATGGGGAAAAAGTCTGTTCTTAACTGACATGGTCTTTCTAGCATTCCCTCTAGGTAATTCACCGTGCTTCCCCCTTGTAGTACCGCTAATACGACGTCTCATTCCTTGAACTTCTAGATGCACTTACAGTCGTGAGTTCATGTCGTTAGTCTTTCCCATCCGAGTTTTAACGACCATGCGTACGACAGGGAAGCCTTGCAACCATGGTTCAGCTCTTCTTTGCCTGGAGAGTGCGAGTCATCTCCGGAAGTAACTGGCTCACTGGCCTGATTGTGGTCGTCTCTGTGGCGTCTTTCCGTGCGTGCTCCTCCAAGGTCACATCAACCTCGCTAACCATGTTTATCTCATATGTGGTTTTGGATCTCACCTGCAACAGTGACGGCAATTGGAACCTCAGTGGCCACAGCTATCATCCAGGAGTTTCCCAAGCTGCACAAGTCGAGGCCGATAGGCGGCACCTGGTTGGCGTTCTCTGCCGTCTGTGATATCTTGATCACGACGGCGCTGGTAGTTTCTTTGGTACGTCTGTCGGCCTTCCATTCAGTTTGCTTCTGACCAGGCTCACTGATGGATCTTTGTTTGGGGGGAGTAGCGCAGATTCAGGACGGGAATCGACCGAACCGACGGTGTCATTGCTAGGATTGTCCGAGGTGAGCCCTCTTTTTCTTGACGGGACGTACGTGGTGGTGTTCGATGACTTACATGTAACCTTGATAATAGTCAACATGGAGACAGGACTCCTGACTGCCATTGTCGCAACCGTTGATTTCATTGTCCTCTTCGCTTCCGTACGTACACCATATCCTTCGTGCTCTCTTTCGTCGCACTAGGCTCACTGCTCTCACCTGCGCTCCACATAGCCATCAGTTTTGTAAGTGCATTTTGCTCCACTCGTTTCCTTGTCAGAGTAGAGCCTTATCGCTTTCTACATCCTCAGACACCTGGGCTTCAACATCCCACTTGGAAAACTCTACGTCAACTCCGTCCTCGCCACTCTGAACTGGCGCGCCAGAATGCCTGACGATACGAACGTGACGGCTTTCGATCCCACTATGACAGGTCCTCTGGAGATTGCTCGGGTCAGTCTTTCAACGTGTACATCTGTGTCATATGTATTACGTCCTATTGTTTGGCTCATCGTCCTGCTCGGTTCTGCAGCCTTCAAATACGATTGCATTTCTCACACCGGTGCCGACATCGAGACGAGTGAGTTTAGTTCGACTAATACACACACCTCCCTAGGCAATCAATATCAAAGCGGACATCATGCTCATCTTCTCCACCCTTCGTCTTCTACAATATGACAGATATCGCTCAACGAGCCACCAGAGTCACTCGAACTATCGGTGGAAGACCGCGGCGGAAGTAGCATCGACAAACAAGCGAGTACATTCGATCTTCAAACTTCCCTCGAGGCAGGGGACCACATACCATATATGTTTCGCGAACGATCGCGACCGGTTCCTGCGAGACGTGACAGTAGCGTGCAGACGGAGTCGGATATGAGTTCGGAGGGGGTACGTGTTGTGAGAGACGGTACCGAAAGGATCAACACGTGGACGCGCGAGGGATAGGTGTCTCTTTTCTTCCTGTTGTGCAGGTTTTGTGTATTTGTGTATATCACTATGCGGACTAGTTGCGCTTCGTCGATGATTTTGACCCTTGTATTTGTATTTACATGCTGTATCATATTGTGTTGCATTATATTGCACTGTAGTTCATCTTCAACTCCGCCGAACAAGCTATTCCTAGAGTGGTTCAGGTCAGAGGCAAAACATGGGTGTAGTGGTCCCCGAGGAGTCGGAACAAAATAGAATCGGTTACATTGGGTAGCACATCGAGCTATCGTACATACATCGCTGACGCCCGTTCAACATACCGCATGAACTCATCAATCATAAGCATAATATACGTGACGCTATAATTGAAGAGAGGACAGGACTCACCTCGACATTCATAGGACCTCTTACAAGTGGTGATCTCGACTATTGATATTCATGACGATTTCGCTTTCGAGTTGGATGCCCTCGCGGGGGGATGTGAATCTTTCTCTGACTTCGGTTTCTTCGTCGTTGCTGTAAGAGCGGCATTTTAGTCCGAAGGGCTTTAGCCTTTATAACACCTGAGATAAGAGAACTGACCATCCGAGTTCGAGCTATTGGTACGCGAGGCGTGCTCGGAGTAGACCAAGGGCCCTAGCGAGCTGCGAACAGGGATATACGTGATTCCCGGAACAAGATGTAGAACGAGGGGATGAGGTGGGATTATCAACGGCCTGTACGCGTGAATGTCCAAGTTGTAGACATAAAGAGATAGAGCGTACGGAGATGCGGAGAGGAGCAATGCCTCTTGTGCATCGCATGGTGGTACGACTGCGTCTGCGAAGAAAGGCATAGTAGATGAGACGGTGCTTCCGGTATAAGTAGTAGCCTGGGTTGCCTCTCGCAAATTATAGGGATAGTGAGATGTACGACCAAGCACTGGTAGCCCGCGAGCCAAAGAGGTAGGAATAGGGGTTGACAAGAGCTTAACTCTGTGAGGACAGAGTGGTGAGAACAGCATCAGTTGTGTTACCAGTTGTCTATATAGAGTTCCGGTCATAGCGCTAAATCTGTGCCAGTCACCCAGTGGGGGACGCCGAACAAGCCCGAGCTAAGAATATCGGTGCGCCACTTGCGCGTAGATACAGCATATCGCGCGAGATGGCGACTGCTGGGATATGCGAAGACTGGCGACAGAGGAGCTGAATAACTCGATAAATAGCAAGTTTATAAGCTTGGACGTCGGAGCCGGCCTGGAGAAGTGTACGTTTGTAAGGCCGCGAGATAAGACAAGGAAAAGGGTCACGGTCTGTTGCGCCTGGTCATCTACTCTAGCCATACTAAGGCTGTGATCACCTTGCCCGACGGTCCATCCGACACCCGTAATTGCACGCTAGAACGATCCCCGAAACCAACATGCGCGAACATCTTTCTACTTATGTGGCCCCGTTGACTGTGGGGCTGAGTCCTCCCCCAACCCCCGCCTTTCCTTTACGATTGACTCACCATGCAGGCCCTGTCACTGAGGCGCCAGGAAGCACGGACCACTTCATGTAATATCCGGATACATCGTTCTTACCCTTCCAGACACCTTGTGAATGGTAGGATACCATGATACCCGTGCAAGACAAACTTCAAACCGGCCTGAGGGTCGTTGATTAGTATCTCCATACACCGTGTGATGCCACAAGGTATCGGAATCAGTGTTCAGGAGACTTCTAACCTTGATTCTACCCGTGGTGAAAGGTCGAGGTCGATTGTGCTCCTCGAATAGTGAACGGCCTTGCGCAAGATTTGCCTTATTACAGCCAAATACCGCCTCGGTGGCCAGCATGTCGGTGTAATAGGTTCCTCTGCCATGTACGGCAGGGCGCGTGCTCCAAACTTCGAAGGCGTTGAACTTGAAGCGCCACTCAACACATATGCCTGGCCGGCGAGATAGCATGACTGTGGACGTTGCAGAGGCTCTATAACCACCGGGCACGGCATGAGCAGTTCATTCAGAAAACTGAGGTCGAGTGAGTAGATTGCCATGATGTCGATCTATATTTTCCCCCGGGTAAGGTGGCTGCAGGAGAGCACTTCCAGTTCGCGATGGGAATAAGTTGTATGAGTTGGAGGCACAGCACAGCATGAATGCAAGGATAAGGCCTGAGGTTTAATGTCAAAGTCCATTAAACTGTAGTGCTGTCATCCACGCGTTTGAACAGGGGCAAATGAGTGTGGCACGTTCAGTTTCACGTTCAGGTAGTTCACTCACCATATGATCCAACGTGTCTTATGCATGCACAACACTGATTCCGAACCACGCAACATAGCTGCATCGTACAGAGGTGTACGAAGAATCATCGACCATGCAGCCCTAATAATTAGACCAATTCCTCAATTAAAAGACACCGGGAGACTGTGCGAAGTCGATTCGATAGTCTGCTGTGGGCACAAGTTGTCCGGACAGTGCTCTGTACTAGCCTGTGTTCTCCTTGACAAGTATCTCCGCCAAATACTATATTCGAAGGTTGAGTGAGATTCTAAGTTTCGACAGTTCAGATATTCGGGATACGGTAGGGTGGTGAAAGCTGCCGAATAATATTGAGAGTCCCAGGTATATCCTCCGCATACAAGCCAACTCGAGTAAAGCTCTGTAGGTGTTCGCGTGTTGACGCGGTGGCGGCAAGCGAGGACCAGTGCCAAGTCAATGAACACCGCAACGGCGATGGTCAACCGCCTGAGAAAGATCGCATACTCGCGCCTATTATCCGTCCAACGTCGCCAGCAAACAGACTGTCTGAGCGAGCGACTTGGATGCTGTTGTTGTTTGCGACCGAGTATCAGTTCAGCGTTGTGGGAGCGAGGTCAAAGCGTGCAAAGCAAAAATGAACAGGGATGGTGTTCTATTTGGAGAGCGCGTTGTCCGCGTCATTCCTTCCTCATTTATTTTTGGTCCGACCCCGAAAGTAATACCAGGCACAGCGGAGAGGGCAACGAGGTCTCGGCCATTTCCCTGGCCCGCGCAGTGGACTGCGGGAACACTTATCCCAAACTCTTTCTCGTCGCGTTCCATCACTCGCTCTTTTCTCTTCTTCCTCATCCTCCTCCTCCCTCGGCGCTCGACTCACCTTTTAAACACTCTTTCAGAAGGAAAATCACCCTCAATCCTCGCCCCCAATGGCACCCACTTTCCTTAACGCTTTCCTCGCCGCCGCGATCGCCACCGCGGTCTCCGTCAAAGCCGAGTCCCATACCATCAAGTTCGACAACCAGTCCGTCTTTTTCGCTACATTTATCACTCTTAGTCTTCTCATCATGTCTTCATTCTGCCCATGTGAAGGTGTGGTACCGGAACTGTGAGTCACAGTCGAGGCCTGTCACTACTGACGAAACAAAAATTGAATCTTCACTTTCCACGAATTTAGCCCCAATTGCTCTTCGGCGGCACGGTTGTTTCTACCGGCGAAGACTACACCTACGAAGGGGCTCTCTCTTCCGGTATTGCCTACCTCCAGACCGGTATGTTCTTGCAGACAAATGACGTCGTTCGCGCGTATTCAAAGGATGTGACTTACAGGCCCCTGTGGGTACAACGGCGAGTACTGCACCCTCGTCGAGATGACGCTCGGAAACTCTGCATGCGAGGGCTGTGGCTCCAGCTCCGATATCTCCCTGATTGACCCGTCAGTGACTTTCTATCTGCAGCTTGGGTGGTCCTCCTTGGTCCCGCACTTGAATACTGAATCCGCTTCATTCTATTTTTAGCCACGCCTTCAACGTCGCCGCCGGCTTCAGCTACTTCAACGGATGCGATGGAACTGGCGCTTACTGTGCGTATCTGGACCTATCTCGCACTGTCTTGGTGTCACCGTCTTATTCCCCCCATTGAACAGGCTCAACCGCGGACTGCTCCACTGCATTCTTCAAGTCGGATGACAACCAGGTTCAGGTCGAGTGCGAGGTACGTGTTTTCGCTCCAAACTGTCATCGCAAAGCTGATATTCGTCGCTACCATCACAGACTGATAACGTCGGCCTCTTGATCTCCTTCTGTGCCGATGGAAGCGGCAGCTCTTCCTCCAGCTCTTCCAGCAGTTCTACCTGGAGCTCCTCTAGCAGCAGCACTCCTACCTCCACCTGGAGCAGCTCGTCTGCTGCCCCCACTTCTTCTGACAGTGGTGTCAGCGTCTCCGTGTCGCTCAGTGTTGGTTTGGATGCCGCTTCGGCCACCTCTTCAAGTGCCGCTGCCGCCTCTTCCGCCGCCCCCACGTGCTCCACCAAGCGCAAGCGTGCGAGCAAGGCCCGCCGTGAATCAAAGCGTTCGACCCACCAGAACCACAGCCGTCAGAACGCTCGCCGCGCTCACGCCTAAACTCCCGCATCACCCTCATCCCACACCTCATACACTTTGTCACATACCACGTTTACTTTCGTTTCTCAAAACTTTCCTTTTCTATCCGTTCGCTCGAGTTTTTGCATGAATGAATGCTTGCTTTTCTTGTTTGGTCTCGTCTCGGACAGTGGCAAAGATATCGATATCCCTCGTCGTGCCAGGTGTTTTATCTCCTATATAGCCGCAATCCCCTCTGCTATCCTTATATCCTTACCCCCTTCCTTGGCCATACTTCATAGCTACCGCCGCGGCTCATCGCTGCGCGTGTTAGACTTGTTGTTGGTCTCCGATAGGTGTTTAGTCCTCCTGCTTTCCTTCTTTTAGTTCTTTCTCTGCGGTTTCGGTGCTCACACTCTACGCCATACTTAGACCTTTCGCTGACCCGATTTCGGGGGCCCTGGATGGAGGCCACGAGCTGACTGCTATACCACAATTACTTTTGCTCTTACTGTGAGTAAGCTCGGGTGTCTGGCCCTTTCCGTTATTCGTGTCTTGGGGTGTGCGTCACTGGCTACGTATGTATCAGCTGCCGTCCCTATGTACCGCTGAATCCCGAGTTCTACCCAGGAGGTAGTTTGTGGGTTCGTTTGTAGTCTTGATGCTGCTGGTTACATAGGCATACTTGACGAATGCGATCTGTTGTTGTTCATTTTTTTTTAGCTTGTTTACTACCGTATCCTGCCGAGTGCATGCTGCGTGATAAGGTCGAAGCCGTGGGCGTGTGGCGTAAAATCTAGACGGTGCTCTCGAGGGTGCGCTAAAATTAGCCGCTGGCGAACCACTGACTCGATGACGTTCGCCGGGACTCCTTTCGCCTCAAAGTTGCCTCAAAGCGCTCTTGAATACGAGCACCGGGCAACTCTTCCCCCAATCGTTCTGGCCTACAGCGTTTGCAGCTGGGCACACTGCTAAGATGCCGCTCCCACGTTTTACGCCCTATAAAACGCTCCCCAGCGGCCTTCGGTGCGCCCAGTTTTCTGTTTCTGCTTCCTCCACAGTCCGATCGTGAGCTGATTATCTTTGACTTTTATACCTCCGCTTTTCTTCTTGTCGTACGATCGATATAAGCAGTGCGAGCTCATCTACCACCACCTCTCTTCGACGCCCCAACAACGCTAGTGCTCGTACTATGGCTTCCTCTTCCTCTTCACTTGTCAGCTTTGGGCAGCAGCATGTTACCAAAGGTCTCGGGCGTGTCGTCGAGGATGTGTTCGAGAAGGGTGAGGGGTCTTATGTGACGATGAAGAGTGGGAGGAAGATGTTGGATTTTACCTGTGGTATTGCGGTAACAAACCTTGGTCAGTTGTCCTTCCGCCATCTGCAGCAGTGAACACGAAACTAACACATTCAATGTCTCGATGTTATCAACAGGACATTGCCATCCAAAGGTTAGCAAGGCTGCCGCTGATCAGTGCATGAATATGGTCCATGGCCAGGTGAGCAACCCATCCTGCCCTTCTACCCCTATGCCATTGTACTCATCAAATGCAATAATCTTATCTGTGCTCCATGGACCTCTTAGTGCAGTATCGCATTCCACGAGCCCTATCTCAAGCTCATCGAAAAGCTCATCCCCATCATGCCCGACAAATCCCTCGACTCTTTCTTCTTCTGGAACTCAGGCTCTGAGGCCGTCGAAGGCGCTATCAAAATGGCCCGCGTAATCACAGGCAGACCAAACATCATTGCGATGCAGGGTGGGTACCATGGACGGACGTTTGGAGCTATGGCAGTTACGAAGAGTAAGACGATATATTCGTTGGGCGTGGCACCGCTTATGGTTCGTGCAGTAATCCCTATCTGTGCATTTTGAGTGCACGGTTGGAGTTACACATACTAATTTGTGGTTTGCTTTCTTTAGCCTGGAGTCTTCGCGACACCCTTCCCGTACTGGCACCATTTCAACGGCAAACCTTCTATGTCCGAGGACGAACTCGTCCGTCAATCGCTCTACCAACTGGAACTCGTCCTCTCCCAACAATCCGCACCAACCGACACTGCAGCCATCCTCATCGAACCTATCATCGGCGAGGGTGGTTATGTCGTCGCGCCTCCAGCTTACTTGAAGGGATTGCGTGAAATTTGCGATAAGCATGGGATTTTGTTGATCATGGATGAAGTGCAGTCAGGCTTTGGCAGGACCGGTAAGTACTTTGCGTGCGAGTGGAGTGGCGTCAGGCCGGACATCATGACTGTGGCGAAGGTGAGTTGATTTTTTTCGCGTTCCTGAATCCATGTTGAGGAATCGAGCTGACAGGTTGTTTTGCGACCAATGTAGGGTCTGGCTAATGGATTCCCGCTCAGTGCTATCATTAGCAGGAGGGAGCTTACGGATCAATTGAAACCTGGTTTCATGGTACGATCCTATCTCGCAATTTCTTCCTCGCCCGTTCTAACCAATGGTTTGTTCATTCCTCAGGGTGGCACCTACGCCGGTAATGCTGTCTCCTGCGCCGCCGGAGTCGCCGTCGCCGAAGCCTTCGAGGAAGAAAAGATACTCGACAACGTCCTCGTTCGCTCCTCCGAACTCTTCTCGGCCCTCAATGCCCTGGCCTCCAAACCCCACATCAAGCCACACGTCCTCGAAGTGCGCGGGAAAGGCCTCATGGTCGGTCTCGAGTTCGCTTCGCCGTCGCACTCGGCGTACGACCCGGCGGTGAATAAGAACACGCCGCAGAACCTCGCGAGCAGGGTCGCGAAGAGGTGTGTGGAGAAGGGGATGTTGATTTTGACGACTAGTGTTTATGAGACGGTGAGGTTTATTCCGCCGTTGAATGTTAGTAAGGAGGATTTGGAGAAGGGAATCAAGATATTCGAGGAGGCGTTGGAGGAGGTCGTGAAGGAGGGTTGAGGGCTGGTCATGAACGAACATGGGAGAGTCGGAGCGAGAAGAAAGTCGGACGGACTCGACGAAGTGGCGAATAATGTGCGAACTCATATCTGTAATCATGAGCTATCTTGGTTGGATGTTGGTTGGTTTTTTCATGAATTGTATCGTACTGATGTCTCCGTCTGGATTGCTGCTGCCCAAGGACTTGTCTGCAGAGAACGTGATTCTCGAACCGATAACTCATACACGGAATCCTCCTGTACTCTGCTTTCGAACCATGTCACATACGCAGTGAGTGTGGCGCCCCAAATGCTTTCACTGTTGCTCAAGGACTGCTCGACGTATGGGCCTCGATATGATTATTATATTCAGTCAAAGAGTACCACGGATGTGTAGCTTGCCTCACAGCGTTTAGATTTTAAACTAGGTTACACTACTTATCCTACTCTCTCTAACTTTGAGGATGAGTGTAAAATGTGGCGCGCCACCCATTATGACGCACAAGGAAAGTCCGAACATCCGAACATGCAAACCCCGCGGGGCGGCACACAACGTCGACCCCGTTTCCTCCCATTTTTTTCTTGCTTTCTTTTCCCTCTTGCTCTTAATCGCGTCTATCTGAGAGCGAGTATTATAAGGCGCTTACGAACAAAGCTCTCGCTCTTGTAGTCTGCTTCAGAAACAGGATATTATCCAATCGACGCTGGACCGTCTCTAGGCCAATATCAGCCCCGCACTCACCCCGGGGGAAAGAAGTCCCCACATCCCCTCACGGCACTCATCCCCACACTACTTGGTCATTCCCAGCATCCATCGCACCGCCGAGAGTCTTGACCACACCCCGGAGTAGTTGTCGTTGTACCAATGGCGTCCAGAACTAGCGCCATGGGCTTTACGACATGTCTCCTGTTCCTTCTTCAGGCGCTTGCCCCGTCGTATGCCTACATTCCCGCGAAGGCTACGAACGATACAAGTGTTGCAACTACAAATGTATCTACGTTGTTTTTGCAGTGGTTTGGAAACGGGTGCGTTCTTCTCTTGTTTGTTTGTCTGGGTGAAAAGGTGCCAGACTCTGAGTGTTGTGATCTTATTGTTTTTGGGTGCTTGTTGTGGCGTCTGGACGCTTTGGGTGATTAGAGAGGATCAACATGATGTCTCATATCAGCTTGTGGGATCAGGGAGTAATGGTATCAGCAAGGTATGCCTGTGTTCAACAAGCGGATGTACACAACTTATGAGGCCGGTTTGTTGATCGCTTGATATATCTCTCTGATCTCATTCAGGGAGCTCTTGTCCATTTCTCTGAGGATGTAGTCACAAATGACACGAGTGTGTAGTTCGACAAGTAAACATCATATCTCGATGTCTTACTTTCCTCCTCTACTTTCTTCTTTAGCCAATACCCCGTGGATCGCCCTGGTTCAATGCGACGCAAACGCAACTCAAGCCTCTCAGGAAGACGACATCTTCACGCTAGCGAGAGATCGAGGGGCTGTTGGAGCTGTGGGTTTATTATTGGTTCATCCCACGCCCATTGTCTGATCCCTCTTGTTTCTCATTCTTCCCATAGCTACTGTTCTCCGAGTGGTCAGAGGCTTGCAGCATCAACGCAGAATATGCCGACCCTGCCAATTTCGACCAAGTGATGGACATATTCTCAACTCAGTCTCTGTCGTCTTGGAGGTGCGTGAGCTTGTATACACGTCGGAATATTCTGAGAAGACTCGCGACATCATTCTACACTACTGACTTAACCTACTATCAACTCAGAACGATTGAAGGCACATTCGAAGCTATCAATGCCACTGAGTTCGGGATCTACAACGCACAGAGGCTGAACGACTCGCGAACCCAGATCGGTGCGGACATCACCGCGGGATTCGTTACTTCGCCGGGATACATCATGGGGACACTCGCTGCATATAATGCTACGGGCGATCCAGGTATTGAGGTGAATGGGACGTCAACGCAGAATACGAACAACAGCAGTAGCGGCAGTGGATCGAGTAGGACGACCACGGCGATGTAAGTGACCAGTCGTGCATAGCACGTGTATATATTGCATGTTTGCTGACTGCAACGTGTGTGGCATCTCAGGATTATCCTGTATGCTATCACGGGATTCGTCTCCGCCATGTTCTGTGCGGTCATCATTACTGGGGTAAGCTGCCCCTTACTCTCATACATGGCGCAGTTTTTTTGACACTGACGACTGTTACTAACAGGCTGTCCGCGCAATTCGCCACCCCGAGCGTTACAGAATGGCGACTGCGGACGTCACAGGTGGACCAGGGTACAGTGGACAGGGTCGTGGTGGCGCCCTCACTCGCGCGATCTTGGATACGTTCCCTGTCGTCAAATGGGGCCGGACGCCACATGACAGCGAAGCTCGACCACCAAAGGATATAGAATCTGGCGTGGATAGCAAGCATGACCTTGAGATGCTGGAACTGGATGATAGAGGGTCTGTCATCTCGAAGGAAGGGGAGGAGGTCGTCCACCATGACGCACATTCTCAACCTGCTGAAGGATCGGAGTCACTCTCGAACGACGAGCATACTGCTATCGCCACGGGCGCCATCCTGCACGACGATACAGAACGCTCGGCTGACGAAGAAGCAACGGACGGTGCTGCATCCTCCGCGATACCTGCTGCTCGTCCTCGTCCACGAATCTCTACAAGAGACGCTGCACACGCCCAGTCTCAAGCCACTTCTGGTTCCTCAAGGCAAGCCTCTACAGTAGACCCAGTCATGCCAGCCGCAATCGGCAACGAAACTTGCCCCATTTGCATTGTCGATTTCGAAGAAGGCGATGATCTGAGGGTGCTGCCCTGTGAAGGGAAGCACAAGTTCCACCAGGCGTGTGTCGACCCGTGGTTGCTTGAGCTCTCGACTTCGTGTCCGATTTGTCGACATGGTACGTGGGATATTTGTTGCAAAACCCTATAGACGCTTATTGACTTTTCTTTGTGGCTGCCTGACAGACTTCCAAACATTGATGACGATGCTCTCCGGCGATGAAGACGCGCCCCTTGAACCTCCGTCAACGATGCATTACCGAGACAGCGCACCAGTAATCATACCACGCTCGCCCATGTCAGCATCAGCATCCCTACCCCACACACCATCTCACCCGAACTCGCCGAACCGATTCTCGAAATACCTGAAACTTGCACGCAGACGGCACAGGAGGAATGCGGCGGCGAACGCCAATGCTGCTGCACCACCAGTACCAACACGGCCGCAGAACTCCAACTCGCGGGACAGTTCAGCGGGTGGTGCGATGGCCGCGGACCCACTGCCCATTATGCCTGAGCTGGCGCTGTGATATTGTGGTTATTTTGCTTCCAGGCTTCTTTACTTATCTAACGATTCCCCATGCTTTCCCTTTTGCTGTGCTCTCTTCACCGTGTAGGTTCTGAGTGGCGCGTTGGCGTGGCGTGTATCAACATGTTATTGACCTGTATTGTGTTTTTCTGCGAGCTGGCTGTTGACTGATTATCGGACAATGTCTGTCGGCGAAGGCTTTCGATATACGTTTTTGCTTCTGGTGTTTCTGTAGTATAACTGTAACATTATGATTCATCCACTACCGGGTTCTGACCGTACACTGCCAGGCCAGCAGGCCCGCCGTTCAGCAACCGTTCAGCTCACTTCCCCGTTCCGAGGCGATCGTTGATCAACGCGGGATCGACACCTTAGACCCAGATGATCGGAGACGTTGGGACGTTGGGCATCGAGGATTACTTATAAGCACGTCGGTAGGAACCACACTCCGGTCAGGATTTGTTGCAACTGTCAGACTGCGTGAGGTCTGGATTATGAGTCGGCCGTAAAGTGGTGGGCGGGCCTGGAAATGGTCATCGGGATACAGATACACCAACGGAGGTTTGTGCGACCGTCCTCATGCACAGTTTCATCTCCGGCACATTCAACGATGAATGATTCGCCACACATAATTATTTGTTGCTCCACGGCTGTCAAGCAACAATCAGCAGTCGCCGCAGCGAATGTAACCTAAGGATATCGCTGAAGAAAACGAACTTGTTGTCTCCTTTTTTTTTTTTTTTTTTTTTTTTTTTTTTTACCTCTGTAGGCGTTAGTCTTCTAAAGACAATCAGGGACAGGGACGGTCGGAGGACTTCAATTGAAAAAATGAAAACGGAGCAGCCCGATCGTACTCGTTCTTGGTTCGGGACTGGCCGAGCGGCGATTGCCCGACGCCGACGCATCGGAAGTGTGTTGGACGCCATGGCATTCTGCTCAGCTTTGCCTCCGTACTGCATATCGACGGGACAACCCTCGATGTCTTTCGTGTCTTCCAGCAGTATCATATTGATCGATTTTCCGTATCGAGGTTCAGGCTCTCGAGCTTCTTTGAAGGTTCTTACACGAAAAAATTGCTCTACGTATACACAACCTCAGGCTCGCGGCCCTTCCGAGTCGTGGACACATCTGTTGCTTGTCTGCGTTGACAGCATGCGGGGCCGCTGCGGTTGATAACCATGCCATCTTCCTGATGCGGCTTACTCTTTCTTCAATTTCCGTCCAGAAGGAGTGAACGTCTGTCAATGCCCCTGTCTCTTTTGACTTACCCCATACAACTGGAGTAATGATGGAGCGGCATCTACCATGAAGCATTCCGTTTTTCAATCACTTTAAGGGCCTGGCTTCATGCAGGATCGTCCTTTTTCTCTTTCGACTCTCCCATTCTTCCTCTGCACCTTTTCCTTATTCTTCCTGGCTAGCGACGACTTTCTTTTATCGTGAGTCGATTTGTCTACTACTGGATGTCTCGCTGACCAGCTTAGCCGCATTCTTGCACCAGCCACATTCTTTTTACTTCTGGTTCTCCCAAAATCCATCAAGCTAGTCCAAGCTTAAGTCAAGGACAACAATGATCCCTGCCCGTCTATCCCGCCACTCGTGCGTCTTACCCGCACCTTCCACCTTTCCATGCTCTGATTATTCCCCTTGTGAATTAGTCGGGCAGTCCTGTTTCGCGCGGCATGCATCCTCTTCATCTTCATCTCCTGCATGTGGCTATGCATGCGTGCCTCCGACTTGAACGAGGGAGACCGCTTCCATGAGATTTCGCACTACGAACAGCTCATCGTAGAATCGCTACCCTTCTCGCGAGCATCGCGTCACATACATGATTCGCGACCGGTCGACCCCGTAGAGCATCATGCACGGGAGCAACCGATGGCGCATGCAGTCAAACCGATTCACCGCGCAAAGAATATTCAGCAACCGCTTGTGGCGTTTTCGGAGCCATCTACACCACCGCACTCGCCGCCACCTACGCCGGGACTCAGTCAGTTTCTCTTTTCTGACACGGATAGGAGTACGTGGACGAGCGAGAATAATAAGATGATTAGGGGATTATTCCAGTGCATCGAGCAGTCGAATTGTGAGAAAAATCAGAAAGACGGTGCGTCGAACATCTGTCACATAGAAGGATCTGTCTCTAGGTCTGACTTATAAAATGGACAGTTGTTATACTGGGATCCTATCATTTCCGGGGTGCGCTGACTGGATGGACAGGAGGAGAGGATATTTGGTGAGCGTCATTTGTTAGCTTACTTATTGATTGTACTCGTACAGTTCTAACGTCGCTCTGTGATTTCTCCCGTAGGGCGAGGTCCACAGTAAGAGTTCTCCCTTTCTTGATATCGATTTTAATTGACATCTAAACAGGTTCAAGCACTCAAGAACATGCATTACACCGTTCTGTATGCTCTGAACCTAGACCGCGCGGTACAGCTCTACCAGATATTCCCCCAGCTCGTCAAAGCCGTCCTTGTCGAAGGCTCCGAAGTATGGGACTGTTACAAAAACACAGAAAACTGCATCGAAAACGAGTCAAATCCTCAAGGCATCCCTATCTGGAAGCTATTCACTGTATGTATCCTTCCTTCCGCGTTTTCCTCCTCCGTGCTGACTTGTAAATATTGAACTTGAAGTTCTCCTTCTGGGCTCAACCTGAGCATCCACTCGGTGCGCGATGGACGCTAAGCCCCGAACCCTACGCACTCGATGGCTTCGCGCCAAACACCTACCTCGGCTACTCCATCGAATCTTCCTGCCTCGCTCATCGGTTTGTGCCTCATGACGAACGACCCAACCAGGCGTACATCATGGCCAAACGCCTCGCGTATTTCTTGCCCGGACCAGAGCGTGCCTGGGATCCGGAGTGGTATGCACGGGTGGCCGAGGGGATGCATGTCCAGGGCCAGGGACAGGGGCAGGAAAAGGGGCAGGAAAAGGGTACGGGCGTGGATGTGGATGTGGAGTTCGTGGTAGGGGCGAGTAACGATCCGTGGAGAGATGGGGATTTGGAGGTGGAGCTGCCGGAGGGGTTGATCAATCTGGGACAGTTGCCGCAGAAGGAGTTTGTGGAGATGATAGCACAGTCGAAGGTGTTGATAGGTGCGGGTCATCCGAAGACGTGAGTATCATTTATTCGTTCTGGTCTTTGCGTTTGTTAGAGCTATGTACTCACTGTTTATGGGTTTGGATGTAGGTCGCCTACTCCGTATGAGGCTCTCTGTCTCGGTGTTCCATTCATCAACCCCATCCTCCATGTAAGCATTCCCAACCCCACCCTGCATCGTCATCCCAAAACTCAATTCTCATTATTTCCCATTCCCAGTGGAATGAGGCCAACAAATCCGACCGCCGAAGCTGGGACTCCCAACACAGCCTGCTCAAATACATGGACCCCCCCTACGTCTACAACGTCCACAAAGACGACTACGCAGGCTTCGCTGCCGCCATCCAAGCCGCCCTCAAGACACCTATCGAGAGGACGATTCTTGAGCGTATGAGGTTGGAGGCGATCGAGGAGCGGTTGGAGGGGATTTTGGAGGTGGATTGGAAGGCGGAGATGGAGATGGAGAGGGTGTTGGAGGAGGCGACTCAGAGGGCATCGAGTTAGGACTTTGTCTGATCCTGTTTTTAAGGTACCTCGAACTGCGTTGCTTGGTTTACTCATTGTATTACCTTCCGATTGACTTAGACGAACATACACGCCCTACCGTATTTCTTCTCGTGCTATGTATATTCCTGCTCCTTAGCTCTGACAGACTCTTCCGCAGTGTTGTTTAACTAGATCCATTCATTATTTACCTGCTACTTATTTAGACCTCACCTGTACATGTATGTACACCGTTGTTTAGCACACTTGATTCGTGGGCCTTCTGGCGCTTTAGACATCGTGAACCTCCACATATACGACCGACTCCGGAAATCGAACGCAGACCCAGTGTGGCGCAAGTGATGATGTTTGGGTTACCGGAGCACAGGACCTAAAACATGTTCGCTCAGATCGCATAAATTGTCCATCCTCCTAAACCGCGACCAGACATGCAGTCTCGCACATACTCCTAATACAACACCACTCCCACTCCCACTCCCACTCAGAATCCTACTCACACTCACTCATTGCCCATCAACCTCCCCCCTCACCACCACCCCCGCCTTCTCAAACACCCCCTTCAACTTCCCATCCCGATGCAACTCGTTCAACGTATCGAACCCGCCGATGGACCGGCCTTTGAGGATTATGTTCGGGACGGTGCCGCGGCCTGTGAGGCGGGTGAGTAGGGTTTTGAGGAGGGGGGCGTCGTCTGTGTGGTGTGGTGTGGTGTGGTGTGGTGTGGTGTGTATGAGATGACGGGGGAGGGGTGGGGATGGGATGATTGGTGTGTGTGTGTGGAACGAAAAGCGGAGGTTAGTTGGTTTGGGGTCGAGGGTGTTAGGAGGTTGATGGGAGGGGAGGGAGGGTGCGTACCGCGAAGGTCGAGTTCGACGATATGTGGCGCTGGCGAGAGGTCATATTTCGCAAGGAGAGTTTTAGCGCCTTTAGAATATCTGCGCGTAGTAATTCCAGTGAGCAGGCAGGTAACACAGACGGCAACGAAGCGAAGAAACATACGGGCAGTATGTCTAGCAGACGAACAAGAATGATCAACCTCCAACATACTCCCCACGCACAGCTCAGTTCAAAACCCAAGGAACATTTGCTCAACTGACTTTACTAAACACAACAACCGGCACCTCCCCATCCAAAACCCTCCTCCGTCCTTTCCACTCCCTCTCCCCCCCACTCAACCGTCCCACGCTCTGATCCCCCTTCTCATATATCCTCAACTCCACATCCTGCGTCACGTCAATATCGTCCATGATGTTGTCGGCCGTGAAGCTCAGTGCGGGTTTATTGATGACGAAATCGAGCAGGCCGTAGATTTCGGGGGTTTTGGGGTTGGAGGTGGAGAATTGGAGGAGGGAGGGGAAGGAGAAGCGCGGGGTGTGCGAGGTAGAGGAGGAGGAGAGGGGGGAGAAGAGGTATATGGTGAGGGAGAGGAGGGAGAGGGCTGTTACGGCGGGGAGGATGCGGCGGCGGGGGAAGGATATGGCCATTGTTTGGTGTTTATTGGGAGTGATGGTGGAGGTGTGGGTTTGAGTGAGAGCGTGTGTGGCCCAACATCTTCGTGCGCTGGCGAGGCGAATATTTAGGGTTATTACGTATCTGATAAGATAAGATTTTGACTCTATAGCCAGCAGTCGAACAACCTTTTAGACTTGGACCTCGACGTCCTCCGATAAAGATGGCCCCCACCAAGAACATCGAATATGTGCTGTTCGACATGGACGGTACGTCCCACAACATCCCTGCATCCATCTCCTTTACCTTACCAACTTATTGCACTCAATGACGATGGACTCATAGGTCTTATCCTCGATAGCGAGCAGATCTACACGGATGTGACGAGTACTGTGCTTTCCCCTGAGCACACCCATATCCTCTCTTCTCATACATAGCATATTATCATCGACTCTTTTCCTATGCACAAGACATCATCCTCGCTGACTACGGCGAGAAGATGACGTGGGAGATGAAAGCAGGCTGCATGGGCAAACGTACGTACGCCTCTCTCCTCCCACCCCATCCCACAACCCCCTTTCAAATCTCATCCATCCCCCCTCCCCCTTCCAACGACCAGCCGAACTCGAAGCAGCCCACCACCTCCTCTCCTTCTTCCCCCACATCCCCCTCTCCACCCAATCCTACCTCTCCCGTCGCAACACCCTCCAAGACGCCCTCTGGCCCACCGTCTCTCTCCTCCCCGGCTCTCTCAAGCTCATCAAACACCTACACGCACACGACATTCCTATGGCCATCGCCACCGGCTCTCGACGAAGGAATTATGAGATGAAGACGGGGCATTTGGGGGAGGTGTTTGGGTGTTTTGGGGGGAGAGTGGTTTGTGGGGATGATGAGTGGATTAGGGAGAAGGGCGGGAAGGGAAAGCCGGGGCCGGATTGTTTTTTGGTGGCGGCGAGGGAGGTGTTGGGGAGGAATGTGGGCGGAAAGGTCAGAAGCAAGGGAGAGGGAGAGGGGGAGGGAGGGGAGAGGGAAAGGGAGGGAGGGGAGTGTAATGTGGAGGAGAGGGAGGAGAGGAGCAAGGGGCTGGTGTTTGAGGATGCGATTCCGGGGGTGATTGCGGGGAAGAGAGCGGGGATGAACGGTGCGTTTACGCGTTTTCGTTGTCCATTTCACTCTCGACCCGTTGCTTTTTGTGTTTCTGTTCGGTTTTGCTGTGTTTCTGTTCGGTTTTGGTCTCAGGGGCTGACTGGATCTCCTTTCTCTTGTTGTTTTGTTATCAATGTTATGCAGTCGTCTGGGTCCCGGATCCGAACCTGCTCAAGCTCGACATGGCAGGGACCCCTGAAGTCCAGCCTGACCAGATGTTGAACAGTCTCGAGGAGTTCAAACCGGAGGAATGGGGCTTGCCGCCTTATGATTCTGACTCCTAGGCGGCATCAGGTCAGGTCAATACGTGGGGGAACAACAAACTGTAAGTATGTACGGAAGAGTCGTAAGCGGACTGGGCAGGAGCTTGATCGATGGCGATGGAGGTGCGTTCGACGTTCATCGACAAAGGAAGAATTGAAGGCTTCTAGTCCCTTCTACTACTAGTGTCCCTTTGTTCCCTAATAGTAACACGAGGTCCTCCTTCTCTCGAGTCGCTTCCTGCAGCTACTTACAGAAACATTCATGGTGTACTTTCATCTTTAATCAATGAAAAATTGAATTGCACTCATCGCTCATTTCCGGGATCTTGACAAGTCTGCCACGCCCGAGCGTACAAAGGAACCATCGGCCATGTGTCTGTATGTTGTATGTCTGTCTGATACGAAGCTTGAAGCTTGAAGGACGAGAACCTCGTTCCGGTGTGCCAACGTTTTTGGCGGCAGGGATTCAATGTCGATGTTTGCATTGAGATGATATGGTTCTCGGACGCTAAGTACTCCTCGTCCCTTGAGCACCCTGTAAGCTTCTCAGGCTCGCGACTCGGTGGGAGATGAGACAATTGATACTTGAAAGGGAAACGTTGGTGGAGCTCGAAGGAGCAGCAGAGACATCGCGAGTTTTCATTTTCATTGAATTTTTAATTCGGAGGGATTAGCGGGGAAGACGCGTACTTTCATTGCGTAGGCAGTCAAAGCGTCGCTTGATTGATAGTATGCATGCACCGTAACCGCCGAGTCCAGCTGAGTTAACTGGTTATCTCCGGCTGCATTCTTTCATCCATGCATCCATCCATCCAACCATGACATCTTCCCGTCTGCCGTCTCTTATCCCCGAAGTTCGAACACCCGCTACTCCGAAAAATACTACGCATTCGCGGTCTCAGTTACAATGCCCATAGCCATTAACTAACCCGATCCCGCGAAGTATCGTACGGAGCATACGAGCGCAAAGTAGAAAGGCCCACGAAGGCTGCGAGCTGGTGGTAGCAGTAGTAGAGACGCGAGCGTTCCGGGTCCGAAGATAAGAGGAGACGGGGCCGGGAGGATTCGCGCTGTCATAGCCGCAGAGTGGACCTTGAAATGTGCGGAGATTGGGAATCGGACGGTGTCGAACGATGAATGGAAGCTGGGCGCGATATCACCATTGATATTGGATGGCGGCGGCGCACATTGCGTCGATGATGGGTATGTAAGTATCATTGTAAGTATCATTGTGAGTATGGTGCTGGTGTTTCTGAACCGGCCTGAAAGAGGAACGTCGTGATGCGATATTTAGAGCTGTAGTGAGTAGTGGCCACCATCAGAAGAATGCGGGGCGTTAGAGAGAACGGGAGGGTGACGCTAGTGGCGACCGTTCTCTACCCAGGAAGTCTCGTTGGGGGAAGCAGAGTAGGCAAGATTCGAGGGGCCCGGGGGCAGGAGGCGTAGACGCCAGAGGTGCGAATCCCTCGAGCAAAGGAGGGGTCGAATGGAATTGTCGAGTGTGTTCAAATATATGGTCTGTGGAGCGATGCGGACGTCAGAGGCCGAGTTCCAAGAAAGATGGACCGGGGCGTAGACAGAATAGGGGAAGAGAGGTACTGTGTTGTGCAGAGATGGCTATTTCGAGGGAGAGAGCGACGACGGGCGGTAAGGCCTCAACACCGTTCGATGGACAAGAATTGAGACGGTGCGTATTGTGTGACGACAAGAACGCAGTTTCAGAGGGTGATTTTACGGGGCGACGCAGTTTTAGGCACGGATTTCGGTGACGTTGAGTGGCCCTCCGGGGTCGGGGTCCTTGTGGGCCGAGAACGCGGCGATGGTATTGCAGGTCGAGTTTCCATTTAGGACCTGTTTTTGTTCTTTCTCGCTATCGACACGCGCTGTGCCAGCCCACGCTCGTTCGCTTTAGACTACTTATTAGCCGCCTCTCAACGATGGCCCATCGCAGGACCGACTCCCAACGCCATCTCCCCCCGCCACTCGACATGGCCCCGCCCTCAAAGGCTGCCCTCCCCCTCCTCCCCGTCGTCTACCACGCACTCGACTCCCCCTCCCGCTCTGCCTCATCCTCCTCCCTCCCCTCCATCGCAGACATCATCCACCCCCGCAAGTCCCGCCAACGCACCACCTTCGTCGCCCTCTTCGCACTCATCATCCTCTCCGTCTACGTCTTCCTCGTCGCACAGCCCGCCCTGTCCCCCATCCCCCTCCACAATGCAGACGACGACTCCACGCCCTGGAGGCACATGGCCAACTCCTACATCGAGAAGAACAAGCATCGTCTCTCAGGCGCACCTTCACGTCCTCCCCAGATCTCGCTCGACCCAGCACAGGAGCTCGCGGCACTGACGAGCTTCATGGCCGCCCTCCCCCAGAACGTCATTCCGTCTTCTGTCGACCCCTCGCTCCCAATAGACCCCCAGCTCGTCCTCGACTTTGACACCCGCAGTCCCCGAGCAGAGTCGGAGATCCAGGAGGTCGTCATTGACGCCTGGATGCGCAATCCCGTCGTTCTCTTCTCCAAGGTCTGTCCAGACCGCAAATCATCCTCTCCCTTGGCGCCTCGCCCTCATCCCCAATCTTCTTTCTCCAGGTCCACTCCCCTGTTTCAAGAGAGGTAAAATCTCTTCTCCGAGATATGCACTTACGCCCATCGCCCACGATTTTTGATCTTGACGAACGAGGTACGCATCTTGCGCCCGGCCTTACTCCCCCGCGTCCGTGCTAACCTAACGCTTTGAATTTGACCCATCCACCAGCCGACGCCCAAGTACTCGTCCCACTCCTTTATCGTCTGACTTCCTCCGACTCTCTCCCCATCCTCCTCATCGGCGGCACCCCCGTAGGCTCAATAGACGCCATCCGCGAACTCGACGCCTCGGGGGAGCTCAAGAAGATGGTGACAGAGGCTGGGGCAGTCATCGACGGTGCCAAGCGGAAGAAAGGTCGTCGCTCATGAGCATGAAATATGGTTTCTTTTCCAATCAATCAATGGTGAGCCGCGCTGCTATCTCTCGGCCGTGCCTGAATGATAGAATGAAAAAGCGCTAACAAATTGCTCCTTCTCTTCTCCCGTCGGCGTTTTTTTGATCACTTCCAATTGCCTTCCTCGACGTTGCAAATCCCGGTGCACAGGCCCCCGTCAGCGTCCGTTCACGATACATACAACACAAGCACATATCATATACTCACCTTTTTCCCCACTTTTTTTGCTCGCCCTTCAATTCTTCGCATGCGGTCGGTGTGATACTGGTTTAGGTCTTTTTCTGCGTTTTCTTTCCCTTTTCCTCTTACCTTTTTTCCCCCTTGAACCCTGGTTTGCCATTGAACGAACTCTTTGATCGTTGAACCTTTTATCTTACTTATTGTCGAGTTCGTCTCGGCGTTTCTAAAATTCCCTTTCACCGTTTCACTGTTTCTTTGTCCATCTTTTTGCACTTTCTTTCATCGTTCTTTTTGTTTATATCCTTGCACTTTATACACTTGCACCTTGCATCCTTTTATATTCCCCACTTTCTTTCAAGTTTATATCCTTTGTGTGGCATATACTCCGGTGCAGGCCCGCGCTGCATCGTTTTTTCTTTCTTCTTTCTTTCACGCACCTCAGCTTTTTCTTCTTTCTGAGACTTTCATCGACATCTTTTACCCCGTACTCATCACATCACATCGCCTCCGAGCATCCGAGCCTCACACGGTCCTCTTTCCCACCCCGACGCAGCCCCGACGCAGCCCCGACGGGTCGAGCTCTCCGCCGCGCGGAGCAGCAAAACGTGCTATACATACGATGCACTCGTGTCGACCTGGGCCCGTTCAGTCCGTTCGCGATCCTCCTAGCTATAGCCTATTCGCGATTCCACTTGATGCAGTCTTGGGAGTGTAGGGAATGCTGCCGGTTTTTCGGCCGGAATCAATGGATGTACGGAGTCCGGCGTTGCCAATAATATACACTACAGCCATCCGTCATGCATCATCCATTCATCATGCGACCATCTGGACGGGGGATCGCCATCTGGAGGAGGATTATCGCCACACCGCCGTACAGTCGTACCGCCAGCGGCCAGCGGCCATGCTGTAGTTCGCAGTCGCGTCGGGTCAATCGCAGTCGGGTCGCTCGTTGGCAGGGACAGGGTGGATCATCCATCGTTGATGGTAGATCATTGAGACGCGTGGGTTCGTCCGACATCGGGTGGATTTTCGTCGCGTCGCGTCGTGGACTGCGGTGACGTGGTGACGTGGTGATGATGCCGTGGTGATGATGATGCCGTGGTGGTGGGTGTTTGAGGTTGTGGGGGAGGTGGTGTTCAAGTTCTTCATACCTTTCTGTGCAATTGTACATACCATTCGGTTGAATACATACATATACATATGCATGGGTTGGGCAGTTTCGTGGTCTGTTGCATTTTCTCATTCAGTTCTTCATCCACTTTGTTTGATTGAATTCTTCTTCTTCTTCCCTCTGCGCCCTTTTGAGCGCCCTCCTGTTCCCTTTCCTTCCCCCCCTTTTTGACGACGACTCGAAGCTCGAGCTTGAGCAGATGATTTTTCGGGCCTTGGTCTTGTTGTTGTCGTGTCCTGTTCGTGTTTCGTGTTGAATGTTGAATGTAGATAGAAGGCGTTGTCGTATGGACTCGGACTGCGTGCATGGGTTTTTGCTACAATCGTTCGTTCGTTCATTCAGGCTTTGGGTCGTTCGTCGCTCAGCGCTCGGGGTTCTGATCAGACTCAGGCTGGTCATGTAGCTGGATGCACTGTCCTTTGACTGTCAGTCTTGTCGACGTCGTGTTAGCTCCGGTGCGCTGTAGCTTTTCAGACCTGGAACGTGTCGGTGTCGATGCCAGGGTTCCTGAGTTTTTCTTTTGGCAAGGTCATGGTCGCCTTGTGTGCATGCATGCAAGAAAGTACTTGAATTGGAACAGCACCCGATGGGAACGACCTTGAGAGCCTCAAGGCCTTGAGGCTCGGATCTTAAATAATTGTTTAGCGTTTAAATTTTGCGTTTGACGTTGTGATCAGTGATTGGGCCATGGGGGGTTTATTATACTTTACTTGCCTGGATCCGAGTGGTATGGGTTGTACCGACTTTCCTGCGGTGGTTTGTTGTGCCAGTGAGCAGTGAGTGTACAAGAGCATATAAGGACAGACGACGACTCGCAGGCGCGACGGGACCCCGAGAGCAGCTGAGCCTGTCAGTGGATGTTGTGTTCCCGTTGCTGTTGAGGGCTTGCGACACGAAGTCGTCGATGTCTGGGTCTTTGTATCGGACCCACTGATAGACGATCGGCCATCAGTGGTCGATCCTTTGGAATTACTTACTTGACTTCGATATTCGAGTCAAGAATATGCCTTGTTCGGTAGGTTGCGAGCACATGTGAAGCCGATCACAGGACCATCCGAACCTTCAACTTGTCGCCACTCACGAACTCATCTTTCCTCGAAAACAACTCCTCCATATCCCAAGTACCTATGGCGCATTCAAACTCAACTTTAGCTTAATAGCTTCGACTGAGCAAGCACAATACGCAGAACGCGCAACTCACAGCTGATATACCGCCCAGCCAGCCATTCTCTCCTCCCTCGTCAAGAACGCTATAGAATCGGCGGAGAGCGCAGGCGTGTCAGTTAGGGCGCGCTGCACCTCCGGAGGCATCCGTAGGACTATGTCGGTGAGGACGCCGCCGGGGTGGATGGAGTAGGCTAGGAGATCTTGGGGGCCGTGATCGACCTGGGTTACGGATTGAACGGAAATGGTCAGGTTCGATAGGTGAGGATGGAATGGAGGGGTAGGCGAGAGACAGAGAGAGACATGCGTTCATGAGCTCGGTCAGACGCAGGACGGCAAGTTTACTCGTCTGGTAGGCTGAGGCTTGTCATCCGAACCATAGCACCATTAGCCTTTCGCCACACACAAGCATAAAGAGAGAGAGAGAGATAGACTCACGCCCGGACCCATAAGATGCGCCCCCATCGAACTCATATTCACGATTGTCTTCTCCATACTAGTACTCTTCAACACCACCGGCAAAAAAAGCACGCGTGACAGCAAACAACCCCATCGCGTCCACCTCCCACGTATGCCACCAATCTCGCACCTCAACCTCCACCTCGCCCATGACTCGAACGCTCTCTGCCCACCCCGCATTATTCACCGATATATCGAGCCCTGCGTCCCCGAACGCGTCGAGGGCGACTTTGACGACCTGGGGCGGTGGGTGGCCGCGGAGAGGATGGAGGAGAGAGTGGAGAGAGCTTGAGAGGAACGGGCGCGGGATTGGGCGAAGGAGAGGGCGAGGCGGCGGCCGAGGCCTTTGGAGGCACCGGTGATGGAGATTGGGTGGGATTTGTGCGATCCGGAGGGGGTGAGAGGGGAGATGAGGGGATAGGTATCTTTCTGGAGGGTTTTTGTGAAGTTGAAGCCTAGGCATATTGCGAAGTCATGGAGAGACTTGTGAGATGGAGGTAGGGAGGATGAAAGGGATGTATACGTACCAGCGTGAGGTGGGATGGTTAGGAGTTCTGACATGTTGGCCTGAGATTGGGTGAGATGAAGATGAAGGTTAAGACATGCAACTGCACTGCTGGAGCTTTTTACATGTGCAGCGTCAACGACTTCAAGTACCCAGGAGATGGATCATGCAAGCGCATAGATGTTGGTGACTAATTGTCCACTTCCAATCACAACGACTTAGTCCATGTTGTAATTCAGCAAAGTTTAAGTGGAGATGATATGCACAGAACAAGAAAGGAGTCACGGGTAGTGAAGCATGATAAAGAATGCGGTGAACCCAATAATCATGAAGCGCTTGCGAAAATCAACCGTGACTGAAGGGAGAAGCAAGATAGCCAGTTACAGCAAGAATGCGTAGACCAGAGGAGCGCTTACTTCATCGGCAGCAGGCTTCCTGAGTACTCAGCAGTGCTCGGAGTGGCGATTGACAGCATCTGAAGCTGAAGGCTGCGACTCGCAGCCGGAATGATTGACAGTCACTTCTCCGTCTAACTTAGTAGACGACTACTCAGTCAGATTCTCACAAGCAACGATTGTATACAGAGTTGGAAGCATAGATATCCAGCATTCAAGTTCGTGTCGCCGCAAGGAAGAAGATTGAGCGGTCCGGCCGGCGGATGCATGGCGACTCAGACACGAGTGGCAAACAATGGACAAACATGGCACGACAACCGGCGCGTCGCACGTGGTAGCGCGTTCTTTGTAGCTTCGACCACAACCTCTTCCACCATTCCGTACCCCAGCTGTTGTGTCGGCCCCTACACTAATTCCAGTCATGGTTCCAGCTCCAGTCTTTGTTCCAGCCTCGACCGGATTCCCCATCAAAGTCTATACTGTCCCCTTCCAGGCTCTTCATGCAACGCATCCCTCGAATTCCATCCCCTCTCGCTCCTCAGTCGACAGCGCGACTTCAAGTCCAATGCCCGGACCCACACATGTATCTTGGAATGAACTCCCCGAGATTGTACGAACTCGACTGTGCGTCAAATACGATTTCCTGAAGTCTCGAATCTGGGCTTCATGGCAAGGGTTTACGCCCTTCGTCTGGACGCGTTACACCGACGCTCTGGGCTCATCAACCAGCATGACGTCTGATGGCACCGTCAAGACTGCTATGATCAAAACTATTCCAGATATCCGTGGCGTTCTGAAATGTGGAGATCATTTCTGCAACTTTTATGAGCTCTCTAATCTCCGTAAGCTGAGCTGTCTATATTCCTGCATGCGCGTGCTAATATGGTGCCATAAGATGTGTTCTTCAATCCGCTGGATGCAACAATCGATGAGGCATTGGCTGAAGTAGACTTTTTGTTTGTCCCCTCTGCGATTCTCCATCTTCGGAACCACATCGTCCCGCCAACTTGGCGGGTTTACAGTGCTTCGCAGGTTTACGGTGCCTTCTCAATCCCAGAATTCACGTTTACCAGCATTGATATACACGAACAAGTAGCGCGTAACTTCGTTGCGCGGACGTACGTCACACATCTTGTGTTATTTCGCTCGCTCACATATCTGAACCTAACTCAATATAGGCATCGCAATACTAAATTTACTCGACCACATACCTTGGACCTCTTGCAGGGGCTCAGCAGACAACTTGGCTTCTATTTCGCGTATTCGCCCAACAAGACGGAAGAAGATGCTCGCAAGAGCAATTTGTCCCAAGATTTGATTCTCGCAATTCAGGAGCTTGGTACCGCCATGGACACTGCGACTCACAATCGCGAAGCAATGTCCCACTATACCACCTTAGCCCAGCGTTGCTTCTACGCTCTCTACCTCACCCGCATCATCGTCCTCTCCAAATTTCTGGATTGTATTCCTCTAGACGTCGATTCCGTGTTCGTCCCGGCTGAATGGACTCTATTTCAACATAATCCACCCCGCATATCGGACGGCGATGATGCATTTTGCACGGTTTATCGCCACGTCATGGGAGCTTGTGGCTCTGTATTCGACCTCAAGCGGACGGCCGCGGCTCGTTTTAATAACCTCGTCAAGAGCAACAAGCGTTTTTTCTCTCAGAATCGTACCATTCAGGCTCGAGACCTGCCGTTCTATCTCGTGCCAGTGGTCGACGAGGTTGAAGCTCCCATTTTTCGAAGCCCTTCGAGCGACTGTCGTCCTGCCTGTTCCCGCCTGGGCGTCAGTGCCCTGTTGGATGGATTTGACTACCTTTCTTGAGATCTTTCGTAGGTGCTCTGTTCCCTATGTCATAGGCCAAGTATTTGTCCGTGACATTCATCAAAAGCACGCCGACGGATGCAACACATCGATATTTATGCTCAATGACTGCGAAGTGGCCTCAAGCCTGTGGACATGCTTATGCGCGACTCACTATCCATTGATAATGATCGGCTCGTGTCCTGCCAGCTCGGTTGGGCTTACAAGTACCTTTATCCCATCATTCTTTATTTCTTGGCCGTTTGATCCTTTTTTGCCCTTTTTGTTTCGCGGATCGTGTCTGTACTCTGGGATTCATGTCATCGTGTACTATACCCGCACTCTATCACACATTTGTCTCGTGATGTTGTTGAGTTTTCTATTGGTCCAGGAATTGAAAGAAGTCACAACAAGCAACAGATCCCTACAGATCCTAGTGCACGACTGTGACAAAGAATACGGTAAACCTGAGAATCCCTCAGCGCTTGTGAAAATCAACCGTGGCTGCAGGGGGAAGCAAGACAGCCAGTTGTAGCAAGAAGGTATACACTGGGGGAGCGCTTACTTCGTCAGAAACAATAGGCTTCAGTGCTCAGAGTGGTTATTGACAGCACCGTGAAGTGTAAGTATCTGGAGCTGAAGGTCGCAGTGAATGATCAGTCACTTCACCCTCTAATCGACCACCGTCTATTTAGTCAGAATCCTACTAGTAACGATTGCGTGCAGGGTTGTATTGAGCATAAATACCTCGACGTGGACACCATTGCGTTCGCGAGTTCTATCCGCCAGTATTCGTGTCGCCGCAAGGCGAGTGCCAGAACAAGGAGAGGAAGATTGAGTGGTCCGGCCGGCCGATGCATGGCGACTCGGACACAAGTGGCAAACATTGGACAAACACCGGCGCGCTCGCGCCGTGCCGCGTTCTTTGGAACTTTGACCACAACCTCTTCCACCGTTCAACCGTACCCCTGCTATCGTGTCGACCTTGTCGCAAAAGTCGTCCAAAACATACCAGGCCGTATAAGTGCGTATAAGGATGTATTAGGCTCTTTGTGACGCAGAACGTTATACGGTAGCAAAGAGGGCAATATGGCCCAATAAGGTCCATAACCTTATGGGACCTTGTATGACCTAACCGTACAGTATAGAGCCTAAAAAGCCCTTTCCAGGCGTTGTGTTCTGATCTGATCGCTCTCTCGACTTCAGCTTGGCCGCAAAACAATGTATTTGGCATTTACATAGGTAGGGACAGTAAAAATACAATAGCAGACATCACAGGAGAGATATCTCGCAAAACAAGCGGCACCTTCGCACCTTCCGGATGACGAGATCATTCTGTACTACTCGACGGAGAGATCAAAGTCTGGTAACAGACTGATACTGTAGTACTCGAAACACAAAACAACGACTATACTCACCAGTGTATGTGAACACAAGAAGACAGGCTGTGATTTGGAACATGTTCTCCTATACATGCACTGTAAGCACAGAAGATATGATCAGATTAGTAGCCTGGCGTTAAGCAAGAGAAACGACGTACGTTTGAGAAGATCGGTAAAGCACGGTACGATGCAGCGCGAGTACATCATACGAAAGTCGTCCTTTGACCGACCGGTATGTCAGGTCAAGTTGAATAAGAGCAGTCCTAGAGAAGATGGGTGAGATAGACTGGAAGATTTGGAGATTGGGGGACGGGCGCAGCGGTGATGATCCAGTCCTCTTCGGTTGTGCGATGTATCTACTCCTGTATACCCCCAGCTTCTGCATGCTTTAATGTTCCACGATATTTCATACCTTCACGATGTCGCTGGGCTATATAGCATGCAGCGTATTTAACAAGGAGGGAGATGCACATGGTGGTCAAAGACAAAGACGCACGTCTGTGGGCGTGGGTGATGACATCATTGAAGGCGTGTGAAGCTCCTCCCTCATTGATCATTCTGTGGCCCACACCGGCGGTAAGCCACACGTTGGCCCACGTCATGAACGACGACGAGCAGGTCGTTCTGACTCGCCCATGAGTCTGTTCGTCTCTCCATCGTACAGACTGAGGCAGGCTAAATGAATACCACTTGTGATTTTTGACTTCTTGTGCTGGAACGACTGGTCCTTAGAGCGTTGATTTGCGGGTGGCGTGAATCGATAATCATGGTGCATAAAATATAGGGTACGCGCTATCCTGTGCTCTTGACGTTCTGATCCTTACTTGTGCTATTTTTTTATGGTTGCAGTGACTTGAATGGACGATTATCGGTGTCAAGGAGATTGTCAAGATTATTTCGGGCAAGATTTCCCGCACTGCGCACGCCTTAGGGGCTTGTATCGTTGCTACTTACCGGGAATGGTAAATGGCCCGAATCACGTAGACGTTGCGTTCATGACGGCCTTTCGCCGTACCAGTTGGAGGCCAAGGACTTTCTGGGAGGGTTGCAGAGTGTATAGGGAGGAGTCGCACGCAGAATTTGTTCTGGTAGAAGAGCTCAAGCGTGGTGTTCTCATGTGTCCGACATTCTCTCAACCCGAGAGATGGAGACACTACCTCATGGATACTATTGGTGCGGATGTTTTCCTGCGCACTGGAAACTGAGAATTTATTAAAAGTTCACTGAATATACGCTAGATCTAGTTTGTCCGTCCCCCTTGCATCACTCCAAAAGTAGCGAGGTGATGCAACCTAACGGTGCATCATAGGCCATACATCGTCCTGATTAGGTCCAATATGGTCCATTAGGTCCAAGCGTCTGTCAAAATGCCTGGTAAGTTTTGAGCAACTTTTGCGACACTCTACCAAAATTCCAGTCATTATGGCTCCAGCTCCTGTATTTGTTCCAGCTTCGACCGGATCCCCCATCAAAGTCTATGCTGTCCCCTTCCAGGCTCTTCGTGCAACGCATTACTCGAATTCCATCCCCTCTCGCTTCTCAGCTGATACTGTCCCTCCAACTCCAATATCAAGACCCACGCATCTATCTTGGGATGAACTCTCCGAGATTATACGAACGCGACTGCGCGCCAAATACAATTCTCTGATGTCTCGACTCTGGAATGCCAGATGGGACGTTTGGATTACACTCTTTGGTTGGACTAGTTATACCGACGCTCTGGGCTTATCGACGAGCATGACGTCTGACGGCCTCGTCAGGGCTGATATGATTGAAACTGACCCAGATATCAAAGACGTTCTGAGACTTCAGGATCAAATCCACGTCTGTCATGAGCTCTCTAATCTCCGTAAGTGTAGTTGAGTTGTCTACATTCTTGCACATGGCTAATAATACGGTGGTAGATGTCTTCTTTAGTCCTCTGGATGTAAAAATCGATGAGGTACTAGCTAAAGTAGAACATCTGTTCGTTCCCTCTGCGATTCTCCGTCTTTCGTCGCACCGAGTCGCCCCATCAAATTGGGCCGATGGAAGTCCCCTCTCAATCACAGAACTCTCGTCTCCTAACGACTCCATATGCTATGAAATCGAGCGTAACTTTATCACGCGGAGGTACGTCACACATCTTCTTGGTATTATTTAACTCGTTTCCCTATCTGAACTTGACTCAATATAGGCCTCACAAGGCCGAATACCCACGACCACATACTTTGGACCTTTTGCAGGGTATCAGCGCGCACTGGGGCTTCTATTTTTCGTATTCGCCCAACAAGACGGCAGAAGAAGCCCGCGAGCACAAATTGTCTCAAGACTTGATTCTCGCAGCTCAGGAGCTCGGTACGGCCATGGACACCGCGACTCACAGTCGCGAAGCAATGGCTCGTCACGCCGCCTTAGCCCAGCGTTGCTTCTACGCTCTCTACCTCACCCGCATCATCGTCTTCTCCAGATTTCTGGATCGGTTTCCTCGAGACACCCGTTCTAAGCACGTCCGGTCTGAATGGGCTGTATTCCAACATAACCCACCTCGCATGCCGGATGGCGACGACGTATTCTCTACGGTTTATCGCCATGTCACGAGAGCCCGTGGTTCTGTGTTCGACTACAAGCGGACGGCTGAGGCTCGGTTCAATACTCTGTTCAAGAGGAACTTGCGTATTTTCTTCGAAAAATGTACCACCCCTCCTCCCAAGGTGCCGTTCTATCTCGCGGTCGACGAGGTCGAAGCTCCCATTATTCAGTGCCCTTCGAGCGGTCGTCGTCCCGCGTGCTCCCGCCTTGGCGTCAGTGCCTTATTCCATGGCTTTGATGAAACTTCTTGAAATCGGTCATACGTGCTCTATTCCCTCTATCTCATGGGCCGAGCATCTGCTCGTGACGTTCCCCAAAAGCACACCGACGGATACAACACTTCGATATTCATGCGCGATGACTGGTCTCAAGCTTGTGTAGTATTTGGACATGCCTATGCACGACTCACTTCTTTGTTTCTCGGCCGTTCTATGTTCCTTGTTTTCTGTCGCTTTCGTTTCGCGGATCATATCTGTACTCTGGGATTCATCTCATTCTGTACTACACCCGCAGTCTATCATACCGTTGTCTCATGATGTTGTTGATTTTTCTGTTGGTCTTTGTGCACAACAAGACCACATGTATGCTCATACGTCTTCCGATGTTCCCCGTGTTCCGACTCGCCTGAAGCTGCATTGCTCTCCATTCACTTTGAAGCGATTAAAATGCCCCCAGGGGTGTCATCAAGATGTCGCATCGTTGAAGGCACTGCTCAATAATTTGCTCACATTATCCAGCCTTTCACTGACCCATAAACGAACTCGAACAGGTCTATCAGTAGAATACTCGTAGACAATGGAGGTACATAGGATCATAACTTGGCCTTCTCCCCGACCAGCTTCTCCAAATCACGATACTTGTAATACAGCTGCAAACTCTCCGGGTTCGCCACAGTCCCACTGGGTTTGATCGTCGAGCCCGAGACGATCTGCTTCACCGCGATCTCTATCTTTTTGGTGTTCACCGTATACTGATGACCATCATCGGACAAGGAAAGGGACAATTTGTTAGATTACACCCTAAAGACGAAGAGGAAGAAGAAACCAAAGGAGAAGAAATAGGGAAGTATGGAATGCAACACACCGGAATGTCGGCGATTTCGAAGATGTACTTCGGGACGTGACGTGCACTGAGCGATTCCTTTATAGCGTCGCGCATCTGTTGCTCGAGGGATTTAGTGAGTTTATGGCCAGGGCGCATCTTGACGAAGAGGAGAACACGCTCGTCTAGTTCGTGAGGTCGGCGTTGACCTATGCAGAGGGTGTCGTCGACAACGGAGGTGAATCGTTCAAGGACGGAGTAAATTTCTCCGGACCCGAAGCGAACGCCGGATGGATTGAGGACACCATCGCTGGCGAAGTCTAGGTTTCAACGGTGAGAGGGCGGGTACTGTGAGTGCATACCTTCTTCCGTAGATGATCAGACCCTTAGTCCGTGGGTTGGCAGCCATGAAGTCACCTTGGCGGTACACACCTACGCACGACGAAATCTTTAGATCGACAGACTTATATAGCGCAATAAGGGAGACAGTTCCGTACCGGGATAAACATCATAGTATGCACTCAAAAACTTAGTGCCCGCCTCATCGTCGCCCCAGAACTTCACGGGAAGCGAGGGATGGGGGCGAGTACAGACGAGTTCCCCTGCTTGACCGGTATGTTCAATGTTACGCCCTGCAGGGTCAAAGATTTCGACCTTCATCCCGAGGGATTTGCCTTGAATTTCTGTGTAATTGACGATATTTTACACCGAGAGTAGTATCAGAGATACATCTAGGGCTAGTGGTAAAAAATATGCGTACCACCAGCATATGTGGGAAGAGCAGGGACAGCAATGACGACTGCACGACAATAATTTTGTCAGCGAACTCGCCATCTGACATATCAACATGGGAAGTTAGAACAGACGCACAAGCCGCGCAGACGTCTGTCCCACCACTTGACGAGACAACTTGTTTCTCAGGTCCGAATGCCTCCTGCACCCATTCGAACATCGGGGCTGTTAGCACTGCTCCGGTAGAAGCAATCATACGGAGAGACTCGAAAGGACCAATGTCGCGCACTATAGAACGTAAGTTATCGGTTGATTCATATATTCGACTGACGGAATCTGCATACATGGATTGATCCCCTGGCCTTTGATTTCTGAGAGGAAGCGCGGACTCGTCCCGAGTAGAGCAACTCTGCACCAGATACCGTGTGAGAAGTTTGACCGATGGACGTGAAGGAACCCGTATGCTGGTTACTTACCCTTCGTCGTTAATGACTTTGAGGTATGTTTTGAGGGTAGGGTAGAAGGAAGACCCGTCATAGAGGATGACAGAGGCACCGATAGAGAGACCAACGAGCATGAATGGCCACATCATCCAGCCCGTCTGGGATGACAAAATACTTGGTCGTGAGATTGCAGTGAGTTTGATAGAAGTACAGTTCCTGTATACCGTTGTGTACTGGAAGAATACGTCATCCGCGTTGAGATTGAGATGGATTCCTATATCCTTCTTACATTGCAGGAGAACACCCTATATACACCGAGAAGTCAGGGTTGATGATTATGTGTTTGCGGTGGCCCAATCATACAGAGACTCACCCCACCGCCGTGGACAATGCACTTCGGAGGTCCTGACGTGCCACTGCTGTATAAGATATATACCGGGTGATTGAAGGGGACTTGCTCGAAAGTTAATGGTTGTCCGTCACCATTGGCCAAGAAACGAGACAAGTTCACGCTAGGGGCCAAGATACTGGTCAGTATACAGATAAATCGACTAAAAAAACAACAAGTGCGGATGCGTACGAATTGGAGATACCCGCAAACTCAGAAGCAGGGATCTCGAGACCAGTCTTCGAGCTTGGGAGTAAAATGACTTTATGAAGACCCTTCCCTGACAGGTCCTTTGCCACTGCGGAGGCCTTGGCTAAGAGGCCTATCGTCTTGCCTGCATACACCGACTCGACTTCGCTGAACAGCAGTTTTGGCTGAATTTGGCGGTAACGGTCCAGTATCCCCTATTTCAATGCAAGGCGGGATTGTCAATCCATGTGCAAAGATGAGATATGAGTGTCCTACCTGCGTGCCCATGTCAGTAGCTGTTCCGGAGAAGATGGCTCCAACGGTGAGGGTAGCGAGAGCAATAACCACGGCGGTCACATTATTCGCCACAATAGCTGAATCACGGGTCTCACGTCGGCCTTACAAAGAGCCGATGAAGGTTCAGTGTTTCTCACCTGCAACTCTATCGCCTGGTCGAAGCCCATGAGCTCTCATCGCAGAGCTCATGTCTCTGACAAGCGCTCTAAGCTCTCGAAATGTATAGGTTATCCTCTTCCCTTGCTCGCCCAGCGCAATGATCGCAACTTTGTCATTCTGCCACTGTAGCAAGTTCTCGGCGAAGTTGAATCGTGCGTCAGGAAACCAGTGCGGGACCTCCTTAATTCTCCCCTCCGTGACAATCTGCCTGTCTTCATTAGCACAGACAGACAGATGCAGACGGTGGAACAGCGAACCTTGGATGGAGGGACAGAGTACACGATCCCCAGAAAAGTCCATAAATCCTGCCAGAACGTATAATCCGTTACTGAGTATTTGTGCAGATCGTAGTAATCCTCTGGTCAAGCGCGTTGGCAAGTATAATTAGCTGGTCCTGAGATGTCCATTAAGTCGATTAAACCATTCTTACTCAAACTCAAACCGTGAGTTCTGTTGACAAACCGACGGAAAGCATCAATGCGAGTGAGTCCAGGCGCAGGGTTCGTCCAGAGCTTTCGAGCCTGAGCGGACTGATTGTCCATGAGCCGTGAGTGCGATGATGCGAGAGTGAAAGTGGGAAGAAGAAGTCGATGCGCCGTATATGGGACCGAAGTGTACTTATAGCTCTTAGGGATTCCACGGTCTGATATAGCACTGTTCGGGTTAAAAAGACTGCCTGGCGAAGACCCTGAGAAGAGCACCGACTGGTGAAGGGCACGGTCTGACGTTGTTTCGCACGAGCCCAAGATTCAGAGCCGCACCAGCTGATATTGCCCCGGTGAGCGAGACACTTTAGTCACTGTCGGACAAGTGTCGTGTCGATAGATCCCATGATCAATCGTTTAGTAGATTATTTCCCTCGTTATCCTGCCAGCCTTGTCGGTACGGACCGATGGGTTCAGATATCGAAGTTTTGATGGCAATAAACCGAGAGTTAAACGGTCATATATGATAGAGAGAGCCGAGCGGTCAAAAGAAATCTCAATAGTCAAAGGAGCAGTTTAGGGAGGACACGATGCTTGCACGATGCAGTTCGACTGAGCGGTGTGGCCAATTTCGAATTGGAGCGCGGCGTCTCTCGCTCGCGTGTCCGTTGTGGCCTGTTGTGGCTGGCGACGCATACGCTCGTCACAGCCAAGTCGGGTTCACCAAACCTACACACTACCACCACCTCGCCTGTACTCTTCCATCTTCTTGGTTCTTTGGCACGACTCTTCAACGAACCGCTTGGATTCAGGAAATCACACATTTCCAACGCCGCACGCGTCGTAACATCGTATTCGAGCACACCGACCCCACAATATGTCGAAGCCAGCTGTGAACGGGCATGACGCGAACGGACACACAGGACGGTCCGACCGTATACAGATCATTAACGACGAGAAGCAGTTCACGTATGTAGACCGCCATTATCTTCAGAATTCCTGACCAACTAGCGGCACAGACCCGACCTGAACGCTCAACTGGAGGAGTGGGCCTTGCGCGATGTAGGATTCAACTACAATATTGTCTCTGTCTTCGGGTCACAGTCAACAGGGAAAAGTGCGTTTGTATCTCGCTCCCGAGGAACTCTAATGGACAAGTTGTCTTGTGATAGGTACCCTACTGAATAGGCTATTCGGCACCAACTTCGACGTAATGGACGAGACGAAACGGCAGCAGACTACGAAGGGTCAGTCTTCAATAATTCATTTGGTCTTGTGTGAAGAACCATTCGCATTGGTACTGGAGTGCTGGCGGCAGTCGCAGCTGGAATGTGGCCGCCTTGCTTCCTGGACCTTGCACACGCATGGGTGGCTGTCCGGTGCAGGTAATCTGACGTTCGTTACATCTTGCAGGCATATGGATGTGTCGTGGCCAGGACATGAGCGTAATGGTCATGGATGTTGAGGGTACTGACGGGCGTGAGCGTGGAGAGGACCAAGTCAGTATTTCTCCAATATGCTCCCAACATTGACTAAACCCCTCGATAGGATTTCGAGCGCAAATCCGCCCTCTTCTCTCTTGCCTCATCAGAAGTACTCATCGTCAATGTCTGGGAACACCAAGTCGGTCTCTACCAAGGTGCCAACATGGGCCTTCTGAAGACTGTCTTTGAAGTGAACCTCGGCCTATTCGGAAAGAAGAGTGCGGACAGGTTTGCGGGACTGTTCACCACGCACTGTGACTAATGATGCTAATGACCCTCCGATCAGCTCCAACCAACGAACACTACTTCTTTTCGTCATTCGTGACCACATCGGCACCACACCGCTGGCCAACCTCCAGGCCACACTGACTGCCGATCTTCAACGCATCTGGGACAGTCTTTCCAAGCCTGAGGAACTTGCAAACTGCAAGCTAGAGGACTACTTTGATCTGGCATTCACGGCATTGCCACACAAGATTCTCGCCGCAGACAAGTTCGAAGAGGAAGTCCGAAGGCTGAGGGGACGCTTCGTCGAGAAAGGCAGGGATGACTTCTTGTTCAAGCCTGCCTACCACAAGCGCATTCCTGCCGATGGCGTTGCCTTCTACATGGAGAATATCTGGGTACGCTTTAAAATCGGAATATGTGCTGTTGTGGCGTTAGTGCTAATGCGGACGACTCCAGGAACAAGTGCAAACGAACAAGGACCTCGACCTTCCGACTCAGCAGGAACTATTAGCTCAGTTCCGTTGCGACGAAATATCAGCCGGTGCCTTGGCTGAGTTCAATGAACAAGCGAAGCCGCAGAAGAGGCCCATCGAGGCAGGAAAGGTGATCGACGGTCTGGGTGGGATGATGCGGAGCTGGAGAGCTCAGGCTCTTGGTATGTCCAGATTTTGCGACATGCGGCCCCTAACTCTTGTAAGCTAACACATTGACTTTTCAGCTCGCTACGACCGTGATGCCTCGCGCTATCACCAAGGCGTCTATAAGCGCAAGCGTGCGGATCTCATCGCCACACTCGACTCCACGCTCTCGCCACTCTTCGTCGGACAGCTGAAGAATCTGCACAAATCATGCCTCGTTGCCTATAAGAAAGAGATCATGGAAGGTCTGCGTCGGGAGAACTACAACTTCGCCGACGTCGTCGGGAAGGCTCGGGGTCAGTGTGAGGCTAACTTCACGCAGGGTGCTAAGGAGGCGGTCGTTTCGGAGGAAGAGGCGACTTGGAACTGGGAGGAGGAACTCGGCCTGCTGAAGGAAGAAGTACGGAATGTGGCGGACCAGCTTAGAAAGGACGAGACGAAAAAGATGGTCAATGCTATTGAGGTGAGCTCAAGTGGTATCGTATCACGGAGGAGCTGGATATTAAGCGCAAATGCTTCGGTCTGGATAGCGGAACTTCAAGAAGCAGATCGCGGAGCCAGTGGAGCTTCTGCTCACGAGGGCAGAGCCGAACATGTGGGACGAAATCCTGCGCACATTCCAAATCTCTCTGATCAAGGTGGAAAACGGGTACCTCACGAAGGCGAAGAGTGCGTTGTCTCTCATTTCATTTATGAGCATTTCATTGAGCCTCTGTATACAGGCTTTGACTGCACAGACGAGGAAAACAATAATGCGCTGGCCATCCTACGCAAGCGGGCATGGTTGGCGTTGCGGGCGAAAATCGACGAGCAGACAGCGGATACTGTCATCCTGGGCAAACTGCGTGCATACTTCGAGGAGCGATTCCGGTATGACGAGCACGGTGTGCCTCGAGTGTGGCGGCCAGATGATGATATCGACGGTGCTTTCAAGAAGGCCAGGGATCAGGTTTGTCCTTTCTTCCTACTACAGCTTATATGTAATTCTGACGGACTCCTCGCGCAGACACTCGAGCTCATTCCGCTCTACTCGAAGATTGAGCCCGTAGACCCAGCACTAGCATACAAGCCACCCCCCGAACCGGTCAGCACGGAGCTCACGTCGCCTGAAGAAGACTTCGATTTCGAGGCCTCTCTCACTGTCTATTCAGAGTCCAAGGCTCTCGACCTGACGAACCGGTTCCGACGTGATGCGGACGCGTACTATGTCGAAGCGAAGCGCAGTACAGTTTCGAGCATCGCTCAGGTTCCATATTGGATGTACGGCGTGTTGGTGGTACTGGGTTGGAACGAAGCCATGATGGTCCTTTTCAACCCATTCTACTTCGCGATGGTGTTGATCCTCTTGGCTGGATCGTGAGTATTTTTGCCCCTTCATTTTGAGAGTTAGCAGTGGCTTATCCATGGCGTCCAGGTATATTACCATACAATTGGGCATGCTAGGTCCCTTATTGCAGGTCACAGGCACAGTAGGGCGGGAGGTCAGTCGTGCCACGCTCTCATCCACCCAGAGCATGTTCAATCTTACATCCCTTCGCATTCCTTTTTAGATTCGTCGGCAGGCAGAAAACAAGCTCAGAGAACACTTCTCGGAGCCTCTTCAAGCACAGGCTGCAAGGGCTCAACGGGGACTGGAAAACGACGAGTCCGACATCGAGCCATTGCCGAAGAATGGAACTCGACCTATCATGTAAACTACTTGCATCTCAAGGTGGAAGGCAGGTGGGTGTGGGGGGGAACGAACGGACTCTTCAGATTGGCTTGGACGGACGGGTGGACGGGATGTCGATAAATCTTGTGAGGTAGGATGTTCGACTCATTCGCTGGTAGGAGGTCGGTGCGGACATGCATTCTACTTAGACGTTGTTACAGTGTTACAGTTGATGTCATATCTATTCTGTTCTTTGCATGTTTTGTGGTTCTGTTTTCTTTTGTAATTATTCGCATACGCATCTGGAGATATCTGGTTCCCACCTCATCTTACCGTCGATTGACTGGAGCCTTAAGTTGCTTGGGCGGACCATGCCGGAGCGTCCACGAGAAATTATCCAATCATAAGTCCAAATACAAAGAAGTCAACATCATACAAATCCCATCCACACGAGAACAAATCGAGCGATTTAGCTAGCGCCACATATCGAGAGCTCGCGCATCTCCTGCAGTACACCCTCTACTTGAGCATCCAGCTGTCCCGCGGCATAATCGTCTCGCACGCTGTCGTCGAAGTACCTGTAGAACACAGACAGAACTGCTTTCAGCAAAGACTGCCCCACAGGCTAAATGGAGAAACGCGAGGAGGTGGTTGTGGAATGTAATACATACCGTTGCACGCCGCTTAGCTTCTCGTATCCCTCTTCCGCGAACTTGCATTGCATTCGGATCATGGCCTCGAAGCTGGGGTCGAAGTATGGCACGCGCTGGTCAAGGAGCTGAGGGAGCTCGGTGACCAACTGGTTGTTCATCATGTCGTAGACGTCCTTTGCTTCATCGTGCTCCTGCTGTGCCTGTAAACACCAACGAAAGCAAAGTCAATCCGAATTGATGGAATACTGGAGCGAATTTGTGGCCTTACCCTGGGGAATTTCGTGGGATCGTCGCTTGGTTTTTCTGTGAGTTTACGCAATTTGCTGCGTGCGGCGTCGAAGTCGAGAGCCTGGTGGGAAGGAAGGAAGGTAGCGCATTAAATCCATGGCGGACGGCAGCCACTATCAAGGAGAGCTGACCTTCTTGTTGCGTTTCGCGATATGTTCGTTGATGATTGGGAAGTATGAGACCATCTTGCCTATAGGCTCCATGATAGTTGCGCGGTACGGGGCATCCTATTCATCGCCATGTAGGGTGGGCGCTAGGGTGAGGGAGAAGAGGAGATATGAGCGCACGAGTTCTCTGCTAATGCCATTATCGAGGTCCTCCACCGAGCGTTTGTATGCGTGGGCGGCCATCGCACTCTCAGATGCTCTGTCCGAAGCGCCGTAGAACGTGTCGATATTTTCGGCGAGTCTCAGCTGAGCTGCAGACATGGCTGGTGGGAAGGCGTGCGGCAGTGGTCAGTTGGACAGCGTCGAGTTTACCGATGATTTTACTCACCGCGCATAGCGTCAAGATAGCCCTTCGCGTCCTTCTGTAAAGCCTGACATTCCTTCTCAAAGCTGGTAGCACCAAGGCATCAGGACAGACATCCCGGGTCTCAGCACTGCGATAGTGTGGGGACGTACACCTTGTATTTGGACTCCTCGGATGCATAGTCATTATCGATTGTCCTCTCAATCTGGCCCGTCTTTTGCATGATCTATAAGGACACCCAATGGCGTCACAACGTATTCACTCAAAGGATAGGGGAAGAGAGGCGTACGGTGGTACCAGCCCGGTTCATGGACTTCTTGAATCTGTTTAAACAGCTCATTTAATCTCTGAAACGGTAAGGTGAAACGGTCTCCATACCCTGACCAGCTCATCTTGTCTGCGAAATGTGGGTGGACGGGGGTTACTAGAGTTATGAGGGGTGATGAACACTCGAGTATAGAGTTGGTGAGCAAGAGCACTGTTAGCAAGCCGCGGGCGGCTGTGCGCCGAGGACTGAAGGGAGAGGCGGGCCGCGACGCGCCGCGATAGTAATAGGAAACGGAAAACCTTGTGTGTGGCCCACGATCATCTTGCTCAAGTCTCCTCACCGTCCTACGCTGCAACGTCTCTGATTGGTCTTCGGTGCTATCGAAGGCGAACAACAACGGTTTAGTATGTGAGGACAATAGGTGAGGTTATGTCGTAGATCCAACGACTTGACCGGAATGCGTTCTCGAAATACCTTACAGAGACGACCACTGGCATCTCGACGGATACTGGTATGCCATGCTTCATCTCTTTGGTTCTGTTTATCGTATCTTCCCACTCCACGAACCACGAAGTGCATTGACATACTTCGAGGATGCGGTAAGTATCTTGAGGACTCTCCAAACGCCGGTGAGAAGTGGATAATATGTTCTCGATGAGATGTCGAGCGGTGTTGGAACACTTTTCAGGACTGGCGCCCAACAAGCTCGCCCAACGTCAGTGGCCCTGATAAATTCATCAGAGACACTTGCCCCGTTCTCGCAGGACATCTTGTCCCTGACGTTCGTTGCACTCCAATGACATTCATGTATCACACTTCGAGACTGATGAGGGCGTCCAATATTCTGACATGGCCGACCGTGTTCTCAAGATGGCGGAAGAGCTCATGGTTACGGCCCTAGGGTTTGATAAACAAACAAACGATCTGCGACAGCTTGGCGACGGCGTAGGCTCAAGGTCTGACCCTTCTCGCATTCTCCTTTCCTATTCCAGCTCACCCTGTCACTCGTCACCTTGCGGGCGCGTTACGTGCGATACAATATACCTTGATGCCCCGGTGAAGTCCTGCTTCCGCTTCCCTATATCCCCTGCTCAGATTTTTGACTGTCTTCAGCCCATATCCTCATCTAATGGTCCAATGGAATCCCGAGATATCGCACCCACTCTTTTCTTTCTTGTTCTTCCGGTGTCTCTGGTCCTCCTTTACCTCCAAGTTTCTGCTATCCGTCTGTCCCGCAGACGTGGCCATATTCCCAGCCCGTCTCTCCACATCGCGAGCGTCTTCTTCGTCGCTTTAACCGCCATAATATGCTCGACAATAGCTATCATCGGCACAATCGCGTATGTTGAACGCGCAGACACGTCGCGCACCACACGTTATCAGCTTGGAGAAGAAGTGTCCACTGATTTTCTGAAGCTGCTGCGTAAGCTTGAAACATTTGTCCTGCCAACCATTACCCTTGGACTTACGGAGCTAACTCCTTAGTTGCCTATGTTGTCACCCACATCATCTCATCGCGCGATCTGGACCAACCTTCGACGCGCTCGTTCTTTGGGAGACTCCTGGCTTCGCCTTTATTTCGATATATATTTGGTATAATTTTGACATCCGGTACGTGGTCTTCATTCGCGCTATGCCGCCAGTCTAATTGAGTTTCTCATGTAGCCTGGAGCTTGTCCATCACCTTCCTTATTTGCCCGCAGGTACCACTTATCATGCAAATACCCCACATTCTCTGGCTCGTTTCATTCGCTATCCTCTTTCCTGTAACCATCATCAAGACATACTTCGCTCGCTCACGATGCGCCCTCTACGACCACACCCTCATGTGGGTCTATCTTTCCGTCGGAGAGCTGGGAGCCCTCGTCGCCTCCTGCTTGTCGTTTGTAAACGACCATCCCTATTATATAATGCTAGAGGCGCTGTTCACGGTGGTATGGACCATCTCGACGATGCTTGCGGTACATGGTAAATTTCATCCACCATTAATCTCTTACACGACGCGAATGTCTAACTCTTTGCCCACAGCTCTCTTCAAATCGAGCGCCTCATCAGATAACTCTACCTTCACGTCACTCCGACATTCTGCGTTACCTTCAGCGTTCAAGACACATACAAACCTTCACCAAATCCTCCCCATGTCACGCTCATCCTCATTTCGTCGTAACGGATCTGAAGACTTCACTCACCTTCGCGATCCCTTCGCCCCTCCTACCCCTGTCCGAGTCTTCCCCATGCCTTCCGCTTCCGTCACCCGGCAATCCCCGCGAACAATCTCTTTCTCCGCCATGTTTTCGAGGGAGAGGGAGCCTGTGGCTCCGGAGAACCTCACTGGTCATGTCCGTCATAAGGAACGCTCAAAGAAAAAGCGTGCACATACGGCGAGATCACCCAAAGGTCGGAAGAGCCATAGGGCCAAATCGCATGCCCCAGGCATTCCGTTCCCTTCTCTGAATGACAAGGACAGTCTGAATGCGGGTGCGAGCACGTCGAATAGTGTGTCATCGGGAAACGCAGGTCAGATGGAAGAGGTTGACATTGAGCAGGACGAGGAAGTATACCTTTCGAGGATGTTGTCTAGGATTCTGGAGGATGAGGCGACCAATGAGAGCGTTCAATGAAAGCCATGTGGTGGGTGAGATGATATTCAGGAGCTCTTGAGAGTGTAACAATTATTTGGGATGTTCTTTCTCCGAGGTGTAACCTGTACTTTGAAGGGCGTGCTGTACTACCGCGTGGCGGTCTACTTGATTGATTTAGTGCCCTGTGCTCTGATAAATATTGTATGTGATATTGTTTTCATCGTTGTATGGTAATTGCGAGAGTCGTCAGCGTGTGCGATGCTTGATTGCGACTCCCTTGGTTACTTTCAGAGATTTGCTAAAGTGCGGCAAATCCATCGCGTCCAAGTTCGAATTCGCGAACACGGTCATGTGACCGCGCCACCGACACCGAAGTCGTGCCTCGCGTTCTGTCTCACTTGTGCCCTTCTCTTGAACTACTGCGTCCGCTGGGTCGCTCGCCGCGCTAGGAGCCGCCATGAGCTCAAACTGCTACTTTGATTTACCCGTCTCAAGGGTTAACAGAATCCTTCGCCCTTTGCGCAACAAATGTGCACTTCTTGCATCTACCACATCCTCATCTTCACGACGCTCTCGCGCAGCGAACCCTATCACTTACTCATCCAACTCCCCCTCGTCACAATGGCAAGCGGACGACCACCCACCTCTGGCAATACTTCAGACCCCCCAGCACCTCGTATCTCGCGTGCATCTTGATCGTCATAGTCTCGGAAACTTGGACCTTTCGCGGAAGATCTATGCCGTTGTTGATGCTTTCAAGAACGTTCTGCAGGCCTCTTTTGGAGCTGAACGGGATGAAGGAGAGAAGACAGCATTTCTGAGCTTGACGGATATTTGTGCAGCAGTCGTTGGAGAGAATGTGCAGGCTGAGGTTGAATGGACGGCGGAAGACGACGACGACGAAGAGGACATCGAGGAGGATGCGGAGAGGGCGATAGTTGATGACATCTACGAAGCTGTCCCTTCACGCTTCCGAAGGTATGCTTATCATAACGTCTGTCATAGACAGCCGTACTCATACATGTTCATTACTGCACAAGATGGACTCTTGTTGCTCATGCACTGTCGATCGTCATGGACCAATGCCCACACCATATTACGCTCATGACCTGCATCCTCGACATGACAATCGCACACCGCCTACCACATGAATCTCGCCTTCTTCTCCACTCTCTTCTCGCAGTAGCACTCAGCCCGACGCGTGGCATGCCTGCACCTCCCATCTGCCATCCCGCACACACTTCCTACCTCAAACAACTATGCGCCAAGTGGACTTCCAACAATACCGAAGGAGACGTTGGATTATCAACATTCTTTTCCGAGAGGACCTTCGCGCGAATTCTTGCTGACGTCATGGCTGATGTTGCTATCGCAGAGGTTTGGACATGCAAGGCCGTGTCCAGATTTGCTCGCCAAGTCCAGTCGAGCGACTTCCTCGCTTTCCTGCCCTTGATGGATTCGTTAGTTCAGGTGGTGGCTCGGAAGGCACATATTCTGAATACAAGACGAAAGTATAGCAAGAAGTCCGCCGAGATTTCGCCACATGACGATGATGACGCCGTTCAGCTCTGTGATCGTTTGACGAGGTGGCTACAGGTCTCCGCTTCTCGGCCTGTTTTGAGTCTCGAAGACGCTGGGCCAACAAATGACGCCGACTCACCGGAGGAAATTTGGTGCATCATCAATATCCTCAGCCATGTTCAGCCTATTGCATTATATTCTTTTCCTCGAGACTCAAAAGTCGAAGACCCCTATCGCGAAGTCCAAGATGCCTTGGTCAATCTGACAACACGGATCATTTCCTCCCCCTTCTTCCCTTCTTGCAGTCCCAAACAATCAGCCTGTCTCCTCGACATCGTACAGTCTATCAAACCCCTCACCTCAACCTATGACGGGCTCGTCAAACAAGCTTTCCCTGGCTCTTCAGCGGACTCAGCATCTCCGCCACCGACAACAAGACCACCGCTGCAGGCCAGCCTGCGGGTATTGCATACTTACGCGACCTCCTTGAGGAACAACTCTCTCGGGGCTCTGGAAGCGTCTCTCTGGACCTGCGCCCTCCGATATTTCGAGCGGGAAGTCACGCTTTCTTCCCCCGCTGATGCTCGCGAAACAGGACGCATCAGGAATCAACTCATGGACGCCGTCAGTGAGGCAGAGCAGAGGCTTTGCGGAGCTACCCCCTCCACACAGGCGTCCCAGTCCACCGCATCGGGCGACGAGCTGGAGGCGGAAAGCGCACCGGCTGGTGAGTGGGAATGGGAGGAGATGATTGGTAGCTTCGTGCGCAAATCGCCGTTGCTCGTGAAGACGGCACGTCCTGGTGTCAGTACTTTGAACAGGCGGATGAGAACGAGGTCGTCCGCTCTTACGCAGGAGCCTATATCGGCACCGGTCTTCCGAACCCAAACGGCTGTGGCATCGACATCCAGGTCTTCCTCCACGATGGCTGCTCGTGCTGCTCCCGTCCCCATCAGTCACGAGACGGGCAAGAGGACGAAGTCGACGCCGTCGCTTTCGACGTCCGCTCCAGTCAAGCAGTCGAGCAACGTCAGGCCTCCGCGTTCCGTGCGTTCTGCTACACCGGGACCCTCGAGACCATCCACCTCACAGACGTCCTCGATTCCTGAATCTCCCGGTCGCAGGCCAGTGAAGAAGCAAAAGCGCGAGCATGGCGCTACTCACACCATTCCAATCAAGGCCGTAGCCAAGCTGTCCAAGACGTCAGCCCATCAATATGCCTCAGCCCCTGTCCTTCGACGAACCCCTTCCTCGCATTCTGCATTTTCTTCCGCGTCATCGTCGACGAAAACACTCGCCTCCACCACACATTCCTCCGCTTCCTCGGCATCCATGTCCCAGGGCTCAAGATCTATCACGCCTCCCACCGATGTCGAGGACAAGGCCGAAGACGAAGATGAAGACGACGAAGACGAGGACGATTTCGACAACCTGCTCACGCCGACGAAGAAGTTGAAGACGCGGAAATTGACGAATTTCAGGTCTATGCTCGCGGATTCGCATATGAACGCCATATGTTTGCATCCCGAGAGGGCTTTGGCGAGGAAGCAAGCTCTGGCGCAGACTTCGGCATCTGCTCCCCCTATCATTACGAGGAGAACCGGTGGTACTGGGAAGAGGCCGCCTGCGCCGAAGTCGTTCAGTCCGAGTCCAAGTCGGGAGCGTAGTCCAAGTCCTGCTCCGCGTCCTGCGAGTGCTCTGAAGCGTGCTCCGAGGTATGCGTACGAGTACGGGCATAGTGAAAGTTCGGAGTCGGAGTATGGCGGTGGCGGTGGTAGTCGCGGTGGTGGTAGTGATGTTTTGGATGAGTATGAGGATGAGGAGGATGAGGAGTTGGATAGGATTAGAGGCAGAATGTCGATAGGGCATGAGTCGATGTCCTCGGACGACGTGTTAGACCTTTTTGCATATGATGATTCTGTGTGATTGGTTCACCGCATCGAATCTTGGTTTCATGATAGAGCACACCTATACGCACATATATTTGTTTGGTTTTATGTCTGCACACCATTCTACACGACTGATCATATACCTTTTCTCCCCGCCAATGTTATATATCGTGTACGAGTTCACTTGTAAGCTACACAAACGGGTATCTAATTACACATTTCGAGATCTTGTTCATGGGGAGCGCTGACAAGCAGAGCGGTGCAATGTACATGGCCGCTCCAAGTTGACAAACTAGAGCCGCTATACACTTTCCTATCATAAGAATCGTCTGGTACAGCATGGTTTGACAACTGGCTGCCTCATTCACTCAGGATAGTCGCATGACCACATCAAATTGACCGGGATGGAAGGGACCCCGCAGCATGCATCGGATTGACAGAGCTTTCGCCAACCACGACCATGCCAACATCATATCCGTGCCCAGGTGGCGCATGCCGAAGACAGCATGTGGCTAAACACCAAAAAAGAAGCCTCGTGGGTTGTCACTCATGACTGTCAGTTTCCAGCAATCGACCAAATGAAGACGGTCTTTTGTTGGACGTTGCACTGCGGTGATGTGAGTGCAGTATATCAGCAAGTCCAGGCCGCCATAGACTAACATAGACATCGACGCGAGGCTGAGCGAGTGGTGTTAGAGAGCTGAAACATGAACGCGACAGTCGTGTGGGCCAGTTGTTATTGTTCCCAGTTACGGAACGAGAACACAAAACCATTCCATACGACACGAACGATAGATTGACTTATACGGAGAGCATTGAGTAAGTCGATCGCGGTTCGGTTTCGAGGAACAGTTGGGCATGGGTAAAACAGGAGGTGCGGAACGTTGCCATGATGCTTGCGTTGTTCAATGGTGCGAACAAAAGACAGAATCTGAGGACAAGTGCAGAGAGGTGGCGAGAGGGGGTCAATGTGTCTTGATCAGTCGGTGAAAGCGAAGAAAGCGAGTTCTGACGCGTGTGGCGCATGTCCACGCAACTAACAATACCCCTCTACATACAAGGTATCTGGGCCCTTCTATCCATCACTGAACAATGTAGGTTTGCACGAGGACATGCCTAATCGATGCCGCTGTACGTATGGACGAGGAAGGGTGATCAGAAGCGTTCATACGAGTCAGAGGATTTCCACATACCTGTTGAGAGCCGAGCAACTGCCGTACTCGGATGATGGCTAGTGATGATGCTCTTTGCCGTGTTCAAGAGCCTTTGCCTGCTCTTGTGGAAGAATGCCACCGTAGAAGTTGTCTGCGACGACGTAGCAGGTGAAGGCAACAACCGCGATGCCGAAGCCGGGGAACATGTTGGCGAACATCTGCCGCCTGGCGAAGACGGGATGTCTGCGCCAAGCGTCACGTTTTGCCCAAGGGTCGCGGTAGAGGTTTGGCCCAGCCATTGTCTAAATGAGAACAAAAGGTGGTAAGATGAGGGCGGTGCTGTAAGAGGAGAGGTATACATACCTGTGTGAGTGGGCGATGTGAGAGGGTGGAGGCGGTGGCGGGAAATCGGCGGAGCAGCCGGGAGACGAGATGGGCCACGTGATGTGATTTAGGGCAGGAACCCGTGTGACTTGTCGCTGGCGGCAGGAAGCGATTCGAACCCGAACAAAACACCAAGTCGATCCCGACTCTGCCTCCACGGCCCTCTTTCTTCCTCTTTCCCCCATCTGCTACCCCACCCCTCCTGCTCCCGCCCGCATCCCCTCGCCCCCACTTTGTGCCCACAATGAGCAATGACGCGATGAGCGACGACGACGTCCCCCTCGCGTCACAGACATCCATGTCCAAGGCGCCGTCTAAGAACAGCCACATCACCAACGGGAACGGACACGCTCACGCCAATGGCCACCTTTCTGGTGATGACTCTCCCATGAGCGAGGATGATGTCCCCCTAGTTTGTATTTCTGTAGCTCTTATAATACCTTCCTTCACTCACTGCCACCCTACAGTCCCAGAAGGCGCCCTCTGCCACATCCACATCGCGCTCTATGAAGCGTAAGGCTGCGAGGGTCTCGTCCGACTCCAGCGACGATGATGCCCCACTAGCCTCTTCGCAGCCAGTGGCCTCACAGATGAAGTCGGCAGCGATCCCTATGCCCGGCGCAGTCAAAGCGACTACTGTGCGCGCGAGCGCTCTCAATGGGAATGGGAAGCTGAAGCGCCCAGTCGTTGACGACAGCGACTCCGACGATGCACCCCTCAGCAGTCAGATCGCGTCCACCAGTACCACTCCTTCAAAACCTATGCCGAAGTCGAGGCGTAAGGTCAAGAAGGAAGACCTTGAGGACGATTTGCCTTTTGCCGACTCTGAGGAGGACACGAAGACGCCCAAGAAGTCTTTGCCCCCGAAAAAGCGAAGAAAGGTCAAGGACGAGAGCGACACGGAGGTGGAGAAGAAGCCGGCAAAGAAGGCGACGAAGCGGGTGAAGAAGGAGGAGGACGTGTCAGAGTCTGAGAAGCCTCCGCCGAAGAAGAGAGGCAAGGCGAAGAAGGAGGATGAGGACGAGAAGAAAGGTGAGAAGAAAGCGAAGGGAAAGGCAAAGACAAAGAAGGAGGAGGAGGAAGTCTTCAAGTGGTGGGAGCAGGAGGATCCGAACGGTGATGGCACACAGAAATGGACGACCCTCGAACACAGTGGTGTTCTCTTCCCGCCACCGTATGAACCTCTACCGAAGGACGTCAAGATGAAGTATAACGGTACGTCGCTTTCCCGGATATTTCCCTCCATGCTTGAGTCGCTGAATACGCGTCATCTTAGGCAAACCCGTGGACCTACCGCCTGCGTCAGAAGAGGTGGCTGGCTTTTATGGTGCAATGATCGAGACCGACCACGCGAAAGACGCCACTTTCAACAAGAACTTCTTCCAGGACTGGCTCAAGGTCCTCAAAAAGAATCCTCCTGTATGTTTTCTACCGACATGCACGTACGTCCTATGAACTAATTGTCCTGTGTTATAGCGCGACGGAACGAAAATCACGGATTTCGAACGATGCGATTTCCGACCAATGTTCGAGTTCTTCGAGGCAGAGAAGGCGAAGAAGAAGGCGCTTACCAGTGCTGAGAAGAAGGAGCTCAAGAAACAGAAGGACGAGGCCGAGGGTAAATACACGACATGCCTTCTCGACGGGCGTAAAGAGAAGGTTGGCAACTTCAGGGTGGAGCCTCCCGGTCTGTTCAGAGGACGAGGAGATCATCCTAGGAAGGGCGCATTGAAGGTTTGGATTATTTCCATCCTTGCTCGTCTTGACCTGAGATTGACTCGAATCAGTTGCGTGTGGGTCCTGAGGATATCACCCTTAACATTGGAGCAAACGCTACGATTCCCACGCCTAACGTACCCGGGAAGTGGAAGACCGTTATTCACGACAACACTGTGACTTGGCTGGCGACTTGGGTCGAGAATGTTAATGGCAACCACAAGTATGTGTTTTTGGCAGCCGGGAGTTCGCTCAAGGGTCAGAGCGACATGATGAAATTCGAGAAGGCCCGGGAACTCAAGGTGGCGCCGTTCTCGTGTATGGTCGTGTCGAGTACCTGCTGACATCACTCTGAATAGAATCACATCGACCGTATCCGCCAAGATTACAACGAGGACATGAAAAACAAGGTCATGGCTCTTCGACAGCGTGCAACCGCTGTGTACTTCATCGACATCCTTGCTCTTCGTGCCGGTAACGAGAAGGGCGAGGACGAGGCTGACACCGTCGGCTGTTGCTCCCTGCGTTGCGAACACGTCACACTCGAACCTCCGAACTATGTTGCTTTTGACTTCCTCGGAAAGGATTCTATCCGGTACTATAATCGTGTCACGGTCGAACAGCAAGTCTTCAAGAACATCCGCATATTCAAGGACGGGAAGAAGGATGATGACGATCTGTTTGATCGTGTAAACGTGAGTTCGCTCTCATATTGACCTTCGCGACGACTATTGACGCGATCTCATCTTGTGGGTTTGCAGCCAGGGCTGTTGAACAAGCATCTACAGTCGTACATGAAGGGTTTGAGCGCGAAGGTCTTCCGTACTTACAATGCCTCGATCACTTTCCAGAAGCAGTTGGACGACACCCCAGCGAAAGGCACTCTTCAGGAGAAGTTGAACCACTACAATCATGCAAACCGGATGGTCGCCATTCTCTGTAACCATCAACGTGCCGCGCCGAAGACACATGAGCAGTCCATGGGCAAGATGAAGGACAAGGTAGGACTCGTTTCAGCCGTTGCATAGTTTGGTTTTTATTGACAAATTGTGTGTCTCGTTAATAGCTACGTGGGATGAAGTACGACCGTATGAAGCTCCGTCACGCCTTGTTCGCCATCGATTCGAAGTACAAGAAGCAGAAGGCCTACAAGGACGATGAGTCTGACCTCGACGACGATGATATCGCAGAGCACGAAGAGGGTTTGAAGGCGAAGGAGATCGAGCGTGTGCAGAAGAAATTCGCGAAGGAGAACGAGAAGCTGCAGGAAGACGGCAAGAGGCCTCAGCCGGAGTCAGCCCTGAAAGAGCGACTGAAGGAAGTCGAGGACGAGTTCAAGAAGCTGAAGAAGGAGAGAGGGACGAACAAGGCGACGTTTGCGCGTGCGAGGCCGGTGGAGAAGATCGAGGAGATGATCAGCAAGTTGGACGAGAGGATGAAGACGTTCAAGTTACAGATGTTGGATCGTGAGGCGGGTAAGGAAGTCGCTCTTACGACGAGGTATGTCCTTCATGCCTTGTGGTAGGTTTTCGAGCACTACTGATATCGTAATCTAGTAAAATTAACTATCTAGACCCTCGGTTCGTCTATTTCATCGATGCTTTGCGTTCGTGTCCATGTCGTTGACGAGTTTTATTTAGTATCACTGCGGCATGGTGCAAGAAACATGACGTACCAATTGAGAAAATTTTCTCGAAGACGCTCTTAACGAAGTGTAGGTTCCCCTCTCCCTTTATCCCCTTAGTCCCAACTCACTCTTGCTGTAGTCCCCTGGGCTATGGAGGCCGACGATGACTGGCAATTCTGATACAGGACCGTGCATTGAAGGCCTGACGGACACACACCGCCAGACCTCGGACTATTTCTCATCATCGGAAAGACTTGGAGCAACACACGATGTTATGGTTTGTGGTATATCCTAGAGGGCACTGTTATGCTTGTGTCCTTTTCGCATTTGTGTTATTGAGTGGTGGTCGGCTGGAGATGGTGATAGTTGGTCTGTATCCCGAGTCGGCTTGCACAAGAGCTGTCCGTTGTAGAACCTCACGCAATTATGTATTCTCGAGACGACCATTGGAATCTCGTTTGTTTATTATGCTGTATATCCGAGCTCGACGAGCGAGGAGACATGCAATGATGTGTACTGGCGAGCAATCTGTTTCAACAACATTCAAATTTTGAACGCGTCGCACAAACCCCAACCAAGTCGCGTCGCAAGTTTATTGGGGATTTCACGTGCGACTGGCCGAGGATCGCACGCGTCAGGGCGGCGCGCTCAAGTTCGCTGCGTTTTTGGCTCGGCTGTGCACTCTGCACGTATCCTGCTGACCGTCATGAGCAGACCACAAATCCCAACAAAGTCCTCTGTCGCCTCCAGGACAAAATACGAGCTGCTCGCCGTGGACGATGCTGACGACGAGAGCGAACAGGAGGAGCAGGAGGAAGAGCAGCCCGAACCAACGCAGGAGTCCGTTTCTCCATTCATCCTCGACCTTACTTCCAACTGACCAACCCGAATCCAACAGGTCCGCTACTCCCGTGAAACTGACAAAAACTGCTCAGCGCAAAGCCGCAAAGGCTGCTCGACTGGAAAAGCAGCAGCGAAAACGCGGGTCCGTCTCGCCTTCGCCCGCAGGAGGTGCATCCCCTTCACCAGTTCCACCTGCCGTCTTACCCCCAACACCTCCACCAGAACCTGCTTCCCTCCCCAAATCTTCTGCTACACCCAAGGAGAGCACCACGCAGGCACCTGTATCTCCTGAGCCAGAGTCGACGAACGAGGTGTCGCCTGCGATTGTCGTCGACAGTGCGGAGACACCGGCACAGAATGGTCATGCGCATGAGCATATAGCGGAGCCACAGACGGCTCCGGCGCCAGTGATCGCTCACTCGTCTGTAGAGCCTGCGCCTGCGAAGAAGGACTATTCCGCACCTCAAGCCAAGCCTGAGGCCAAGGCTCCTGCTTCTGCGCCCGTCACACAGCCTGTGCAATCCGAACCGAAGGCGGTTGTGGATGCGGTCGCTGAGGATCACGCGAAGGAACATAAGGAGGAGAGACACGTAGAACTGAAGGAATCCTCTCCACCAAAGGCCAACGAGAGTGAAAAGGAGAAGAAGAGGCAAAATGCACTGACGAGGACAGTATGGACGCTCATTATGATTGGAGGTTTCCTCAGTAAGTTTGGGTTCGTTTTCGCCTCCATTGACATGGTGCTTATAAGTTTGGCATGGGTTTTGAATAGCAATTTTGGCTATGGGGCATGGGTATATGGTCATCCTTGTCATGCTCTGCCAGACCTTGGTGTATCGCGAGGTGACCAGGCTCTTCACGTTGACTGGATCTAAAGCCGACGCCGACAAGGCAGGAAAGGACCCATGGAGTCAAACACTCAATTGGTACTTCTTCGTGGTCACAAATTACTTCTTGTATGGTGAGAGTATCATCTATTACTTCAAGGTCAGTATCTACTTTCTATCCATTTACACGTGCTCATAACGCATTGCTCATGCTGTTTGTACGACTTACAGCATGTTGTGTTTGCGGATTCGAATCTCCTTCCGTTCGCTACAAACCACCGGATCATCAGCTTCACGCTCTACACCATCGGGTTCATGGGATTCGTCATGTCGTTGAAGAAGGGCTATCTGAAGCAGCAGTTCGGTCTTTTCTGCTGGGTGCATATGAGTCTGCTCCTCATTGTCGTGTCGAGGTATGCTCTCGGCTACGCTGCCCGTTACAGCCTCACTCACCTTCTCACTTGCTTCTAGTCACTTCATCGTCAACAACATCCTCGAAGGACTCATCTGGCTCTGGGTTCCTGCCTCACTCGTCATTTGCAACGACATCTTCGCTTACATCTGGGGAATCACCCTTGGGCGTACCCCTCTGATAAAGCTATCGCCTAAGAAGACCGTCGAAGGTTTCGTCGGCGCTTTCCTCAGCACTATCGTCTTTGCGATCCTCTGGGGGACGTATTTCGCAAGATTCAACTACATGATCTGTCCCGTGCATGACCTGGGCGTGAATATTTGGAGTGATATGCAGTGCACGCCGAACCCGGTTTTCGTATGGCGGGACTGGCAGATCTGGAAGCCTGTGGCTGCGTCTCTGTCGACTTTCGTAAATATTCCTCTTTCTGTTCACCACAAATCCCCCATGCAAGACTTGTTCATAGGTTGTATCCATACTAATTCCCGTCTATCTGCAGCTCCGCCGCCAGATCACGACGATCCCATACACTCCGTACCAGATCCACCTATTCTTCATGGCCTGCTTCGCGTCCCTCGTAGCTCCCTTCGGCGGCTTCTTCGCATCTGGCTTCAAACGCGCCTTCAACATCAAAGACTTCGGCCACAGTATCCCCGGTCATGGAGGTATGACCGACCGTATGGACTGCCAGTGCGTACCTATCTTACCTCACCGACTCTCCGCCGCACTCTATTTCTTTCTAGCCAACCACTTCCGTCTCGTTACCCGTGCGATGTGATGATTACTGGTACTGACTGTGGTGTGTTTTATGCTATGTGTAATAGGTTTTTGATGGGCGTCTTCGTCTATGTCTACCATAGCAGTCTGATCAGGGAGCACCACGTCACCGTCGGCTCTGTGTTGCAGACGATCGTGAGCGGACTATCGACCGAGGAGCAGTTGGAGTTGCTCAGAGATATGAAGCGATACTTGGAGGGGCAGGGGATTTCTGTGGGGTTCTAAAAGCGTGTCCGGTATGAGGACCTGGATGGATCGCATCGTGTACTCAGTTGAAGGCTGCCGAGAAGGATGCACATTCTCATTGATTCTTGTTGGACATGTTTTCCATAGTAGTCATCGTATAATGGTTGATTGATCGCTCCTTGGACTCGTAATATGCACACGCTTTCTCTTACGTTTTCCACCTATGCATAATCGTGTATACGCATTGCCCCTATGAGTTCTTAATCTATATTATTCTCCTCCATGTTCTTCCGCTACGAGATTCTGTTTCGAAGAGATGGCGACCACAAATGAACAGCAGTTTCTCTCATCAACTTCGTGGCGCTAGGGAGGGTCCAGATGAGCCCAGACGCGGAGTCTCACGCGAGGTCGTCGGCGATGCTTAGGGCGTTTTTATTCGAGGGAAAGCATGCATAGGAGCGAAATACAGGCATGGCATGGAACTCATAGACCAACACGAAGGAGAAGAAAGGGTGGAATAAAGACAAAGCAAAGGGCGGGAGGCGACAGGGGGTGATTTATGAACGGGGCTTTTCCTGTGGTCGGGTAAGGGATGGAATGTGTGAGCGGCCGGAAATATGGGAGGCCGCCAGGGGAAAGACGGGAGTAAACGCACCTTCTTCTCCTTCCAGAGAGCGAGAAGGCCAACACCAGAGACCTTGACGACCTTGAAACGGACACCGGGAATATCACCCTTGGCCTTTCCACGGCGACCGAAACCGGAGATGAGGACCTCGTCGTTCTCGTCGACGAAGTTCAGGCAACCGTCATTCTGCGTGCGCAGGATCACAGCGTTAATAATCACAGAGATCAAATGATTAGAGACAGGGCGGAGGATGATTGAGAGGGAAAGGACGTACGGGCACGAAAGCAGTGACCTTCTTGCCGTTTTTAATGAGCTGCACACGCACACACTTTCGGATGGCAGAGTTGGGCTGCTTGGCCTCAACGCCGACTTTCTCGAGGACGATACCCTTCGCATGGGATGAACCTCCAGTGGGGGAAGTCTTGTAGAAGTTACCGAGGGCACGCTTCTTGTAGGACTTGTCCGCCTATTAAGCCATCGCGAAATCCGATTGAAAGCCCCATAATTATCCACCGAGGAACAAACGAGCCAGAGAAATGTATTGAATCAGAAACGAGAGGTAAGATATAGAGCAATAATGGGACGTACCCAACGGTTCTCCCTGCGACCGTTCCTGAGCTTGCGCGCTGCTTGCAATCCGCGGGGTTTGTTGGCTGTCGGGTGCAGCGACGAAGGTCAGTCAAACGTTCAGCATAGCAGATAGCGAGGAAGACGAGGAGGGCGACGTACAGCCCATGTCTTGAGGTTGTCGATGTCGGCGGTCGCTTGTTTTCGCTAGCCATCGCCAATCCACGCTCGGCAGTCCCCTGCCGCGCCAAACCTTAATCCTCACAACTTTACAGCTCAATCGTGCCGGGCCTCGGCATCAACCACGTGCGTCTGCCTCCCATTTGCGCCTTTCTCATGCACATTTATTCGCGAGTTTCTCAGCATTTTCTTCGACAGCGTCGCCATCCCGCTTCTGATCGCCCTTGTCGCCTCCCATGCACTCCTTGTACTACTTTGTTTATGGCCTTTTGTATCGCGCACTTCACATGCGCTTGCAATATCATCATTACAGCAATAACCACTCCGCGTTATCCAAACCAGCTTAGCCCAACTTTGCCCATGGCCACGGTTATCATGCGAACATCCCTGCACTCGGAACCGCCTTCCCATGAACAAGTGATAATGACGGGACAACATCTTCCGTCTCCGCATTCTAAATGTTCATTTCTCTGCGATAGAGAGCTCAGCTGTGCACCACTCACTTCCTCGCGAATACCGCAATTGGCTCCAGTCGAGCATGTCTACTCCAGCCGCAGAGACTCAGTATTACCATCATGGCCGCTTCAAGGTAGCCGGAGGCGTCATCCCAGATGCTGTCACTGCGTACAGAACTTATGGCGACCCCAAGAACCCCTGCATCGTGTTCCCCACCTGCTACGGAGGCAAGCTTGCGGGTGTGTTACTTTGTTCCTTGGTCTGATGATTGTGCTGGAGATGAGCTTGCTGTTTCATGAGGTCGATCCCTTCTAGACCAAGATTATATGATCGGAGCGGATAAGGTGAGAGTGATCAGACTGGTGGTTGAGTATCCTGGCAGCTGAGTGCGCACTGCAGGCCCTGAACCCCGAGAAATACTATGTCGTTACCTTCGCTCTGTTCTGTAACGGAGAGGTCAGTATCATCATCTGTCTCCTCTAAATGGGAACTGTGACGTTCATAACCTGATATATCGCAGTCCTCTTCGCCTTCCAACACGGTCTGTGCAGCTACATTTCATGCTACGCGAACACTATTCATCTTGGTTATGTCGTCAGCCTGCGCCGTACAACGGCCCCTATTTCCCGGCCGTCACATACGAAGACAATGTGTAAGGTTACTGCCGTTGTAACAAGGCACTAAACTGAAAATCCGGTCGCAGTCGCGCTCAACATGCTGTTCTTACGAAGGAACTTGGGATACAGAAGGTGTTCTGTGTAATCGGGTTCTCGATGGGAGGCCAACAGGCTTATTACTGGCCTGTGATGTATCCTGATGTTGTTGAGCGGTGTGTTTGTTTTGCGGGGCATTGCTGCGTCATCATTCATTGCGGACTTACAACGATGCGCCTTTAGATTCGTCTGTCTCTGTGGCTCCGCTCGTACCAGTCCTCACAACCAGTGGTATGTCTCTGTGAAATGCCTTGACGGTCATTTATTCAAGAGATACAGTTTCCTCGAAGGACCAAAGATAGCTCTGACTGCCTCAAGGGACTTCGATGACGGTCACTATAAGACTCAGCCTCATCACGGCATGCGCGCATTCGGGCGCGTCTACAGCGCATGGGCCTATGGGCAAACCGTAAGCAACCTTTACTTTCGCCCTCCCATATTTATCGTGCGGCTTACACCAGAATTCAGTGGTACCGCAATAAGCAATACCTTCACGGTGGAAAGTGAGCTTCCACGTCTGAACTATCCCAAGCAAAATGCTGAAACTATATGTCTGGCTCCAGATACCCCGACCTGAACGCCTTCATTCGAGAGGATTGGGAAGCCGGTTTCTTGGAGTCTTGGGACGCGAACGATATGGTCGCACTCCTCAATACATGGCAGCAAGGCGACGTTTCCCTCGTTCGACACGGCGGCGACTACGAGCGGTGTCTTTCGGAGATCACTGCGAAGGGCTTGATCATGCCGTGCAAGACTGATTTGTACTTTCCGGTGCGTCTTAATAACATTCCTTGCGCGCCATACGCTGGATGGGCTTTTTGAGGCCCATGAATGCTGACGTGCGGTCTGTCTGTTGTGCGATGGGTAAAATGATGTCAGCCCGAGGATAGTGAGATCGAAGTATCGCTGATGAAGGATGGAGCGGAACTGGCAGTCATTCCTTCTGTCTGGGGACATATGGGTGAGCCTCTTTCGTTTCCTGTTCTCTTCTAAATGCGGATGTCCTATAGCTCATCGCTCCTGTTTTTCACAGCCGGAGGAGGGAACAATCCTGACGACGATGTATACATCAAGGAGAAAATTCACAAGTTCTTCGAGTCCGCGTGAATGGCCTATATAGTATGTCGTATGTATCCTTCAGATTTTAACATTGTATGTTTGGAACGCCATGTATGTATGCCATATCCCTCTGCCTGCAGCCAAATGTGGAAGCCACACAGTCATTTTGACTCTGAGCATTCTTCGAGAGGTTGCACAGTTGACGTGGCAGTTTTTCTTTAGTTTCAAACCCCGGTGATGTCGTCCACAGCTATCTTGCAATTATCTTGGCCAGTCAACAAGGAATTGCGACGATTGCTCGGACTGTGGGCCACTGTGGCGCCATCTGGTGTTATGACGTCACTCATTCCGCTCCTAGCTAACTCCATCCATTCAACCAAGTTGTTCGCTCGAGCCTCCTTCGGTACAACTCCACCTGTCACATCGTTCGATGTGCCTCCTTCTAGTAACCTCACTTCCCAGCGGCAATAATGAGCCTGGCCGCTACTTGCATCATGGACCACAATGTACACCGAAACCGGTGTTGCAAACGCCTTAAATGTCGGGAAATAGCCTCTTCCAGCCACTTTTCCTCCAACTCCATTCTAGTCGATCTAGTATGATCATTTCCCAGGTGACGCGAAACATCGTCATGCCCGACGTCATTCCTTTTCCTAGTTCGTGCTTTCGTGCGATGTTTTGCGTGAGTCCCGGTGGAGGGCCAAGCCTTCAGGAAAGTATAAATGGGGCTTGCAGACCTCAACTTTCTTTCATCAACCCAACCCATCTCAACCACAACCAAATAACCACTCCACCCAACTTTACCACCCACACCCACCACATAACTTTTCAACATGTCCAGCTCCCCCGAGTACGTGTCCGCTCCGCATACGCTCGCTCCTCCATCATCACCTTTATTTTGGATTATTGCTAATTCCTCTTTGCGTTCTCTAGCAAGACCACTGGACAGTTCCATTCCACCAAGGGCTCCGTCGTTGAGGCCATCGGAAACGCTACCGGCGCCTCGTCATGGACAGAGTCCGGCAAGGAAGAGCACGCCCGCGGTGAGGGCGAGTACAAGGCAGCCCAGGCCCAAGGCTATGCCGAGGGTACGACTGACCGCGTAGGCGGCAAGAAGGACTCTGTCGTCGGTGCCATCACTGGTGACAAGTCGCAGCAGGCGTCAGGTTAGTCGCTTTCCTATCCTTTATATCTCGGTAGTCTTCGCTGCTGGACTTGTTACTGATCTCGCGTTTTTCTGTGCTTTACAGGCAATGTCCGCCATGACAAGGGCGAGACGCAGCAGGATGTCAACAAGCCTTCATAGAGGCTGAGACGTTGTGCTTGACGGCGATGTATTGCTATTGTATTGTGGAAGGAGGATTTATATGAATGTACCATCACTTGCTCGTTTCGGCACATAATCATAATTGCGGCACAACCCATCCATCGTATTGGCGTTGAGGGCGTGTAGTGGCTCACAGAGTATAATTCCGTGGGTGTGAGGTTCATCTCTTCATCAACAAGAGTTGAGAGCATAACTTCGACGCTTGATGGCCCTGCGCATCGGTGTCACCCAGTGCCCACTGCTCAAGTTGTCTTCGACGGCGAGGTCGACTCTTAATCTGAACCCACACTTCTGCCTCTTGCATTCAACAACTCAAGTTCATTACTTTAAATCTTCCTCGTTTAACAATCGACGTTTCGTTGTCTCTTAGGGCCGTGCGCTCCCTTGATCATTAGGAGTGTCTTAAAGGCATTTAAATGCTTGATAGGATACGATCCGATTACTACGTGAAGTAAGGAACTGTAGAGCAGGGTAAGTATGCGGTAACAGTAACAGTATGCATGGATCGGCAAGAAAGTTCAAGTCAGAGTTGACCAATGAGCAGAAATAGAGCAGGATAACGTAGAAGAAAAGAATCAGAGGACCGAGCCACACAATGAGGGATTATGAGAGACACGGTGCACGTAACGAGCCCGAAAGTTCTGGGTTAAAGGGTGCGCTACCATAAAAGGACGAGAGGGAAGTTACAGAGTGGGACTGATTGAGAAGAGACTTGCAAGAAGTTCTGGTTATAATGCAGGGTGCTCAAAGGCTATGGACACAATCATCGTTCATTATATGAATGGCGGTTCGGGTATGAGGCGGCGGTTCAAAGCCGTGAATCGAGTGGGGAATGGGGGGAAACGAGGTCCATGAAGAGATTATGTGCTGCTCAGGTCTGGAGACATCTTGATTACGACGGAAGATGGTATGATGCGGCGCATCCGCGGGTTGTAAAAATAGTCACCGTCCTTGGGGTCTTGGACGTCATGGCTGGGAAGGAAAATCTTTGTCAGTCATTCTCAGTATACTGGATATTATGCAAGACATACACGTCTTTCACGTGCGCAATTGCATCCTCGAGACTCAACCAGCGGTTAATCTCGTCCGGATGAGCAAGATGGGCCGTGCAGCGAGTACATCCCCATCGGCTCTGTTGGCTCCCAAATGCATATCCTGGTGGCTCTCGTGATTTGACGTCTGATGTGTCCGTTTCGTTGAGAAGTTGCCATCTTGGATCATGATGAGCCTCTGGTGTATCAAGTACGTGGTGTACCTGGACCAGGATGACATTGATCAGCCAAACCGGCAACAAAAATGTGAGGAACTAGCAAGCTCACGCATTTTCTCCAGGACAATGCCGTTCGACCGAATTCCAGACTGGAAAGCGAGGATGCATCCCAATGCCTAATAACTGGACAGGTCATGCAGACAAAGCGCGCATCCTGGCGATCGAGCTCGGTAGGAGTGGTCGTACTGGGGTCCAAGCCTAGCAGTTTGACGAGGGAGGTCACAGTCCGAGAAGCTGGTTCAGAGAACGTAGGCGTGACTACGTCGGCCTTCATCGTATCGAGACATCTGTGAGCGAAGATTTCGGCGGCGAATAAGGGAAGTTTGGAAGAGCCGTAACCCGCACAGTACGAGCCAGGACAGATGAACACCGTTGCGGCTAACGTCAGTGTGTTGGGGACCGGAATAGTGCCTTCGACAGGATTTGATTGCGAAGGCCCGTTTTCGGATGAAGCCGCGATCGTAGAGTCCAAAGCCACAGACGTATTAGACGGCTCCTTTGATTGGGGAGGGCACGAAGTAGACGTTGGAACGCGTAAAGCCACTTCTTCCACGCGTTTCTTCGCCCATGTCATGAGAGTTTCGCTATGTTCCAGGAGAAGACTCTCGATCCGAGCGCGAAATTCTGGAGTGGGTGGGACATCTTCTTCAATGGCGTCGTGGATGATAGGAAGTGAACGTAGATCTGTGAACGTCGGAAAATACGCGAAATCCAAGGGATGCTGAGTCTTAAGCCACCCGACGAGCTCTTGGTTGAGTATCCTCTCGCGTTCGCGCTGACGAGATCGTCGTTCCCGTTCCAGGCGCTCAAGCTTTGCCTTTTCTAGCTCCGGTCTGATGACGAGGAAGACCCGCTGCCATACTGGAATACCTTGATGAGAGACGGGCGATATAAACGTGGGAAGAGTAACTCACCCTTGTCCGTTAAGGGCTTATCCGTGCTCACATCCCGATGGGTCATCAGCCTTGACATATCCAACTTGGTGAAACCGTGTGGTATGATGCGCTCCACAATGCTACAGAGCTAAGAATGAGGACAAGATCCATGGTCATAAGAAAGGATGACTTGCTCATCGAGCCGCTTGCTCCTCTTTTCTTGGCGCTCGGAGACCTTCACATTGTTTACCTTAGTGAACCAAGTCGAGGCAGCTAGTGCGTGCTGTACGGGCAGTAGTTAGGACCCTTTCATGCACCTCGAGAACAGATCGATCGTTCCACTTACACTTTCCCTAGCCTCTAGCCTCTTCTCCATATCTGCTTTGAATTCTGCAAGATCCTTTTCGGTACTTCCGCCCGAGAGCATAGCCTTGCACTTAGCGAGCAGATGTCTGACATCTTCGGCCCACCAATAGTATATTCCCCAAGAGCGACGACCTTTTATCTTCGGACCATCTAAAGCCAAAATAATGAAGGAATCGACGTAAGCGCGGACCAAAATCTTCAATCGGGAGCAGGCCTGACCCCGAGTGCTAGGTAGGAGAGGAAGAAGCTCCTTCAGCATGGGAATGACGCTCCCGGATATGTCAAACCGGTCGCAAAAAGTAGGACTATGGAAAACCATGAAGTTCTTGACGCAACTAGGTTTCGCAAGTGAGTGTGGCCCACACCTAATTTGAGCAAAAACATACTTGAGTTCGAGACAGTGGTTGCATGCCCGGACTCGCAACATGAAATTGATTTTTGTGACAGGTTTAGCTCCGCAGCACTAGATAAAACATGATATATACGGTCAGTATATGCATGGTAGGCTGACGATGAAAAAAGGGCATACATGACAATACGAGCCGCCAAATAATAGGTTCGCCCATTCAGGCTCGTCCATATCATCTAGATCATCTTAGACTTCAGTCAGTTCAGAGGACAGACGCAGAGCAGCGCTCACCAGGGCATGGTGGTAAATCAGGAACATTAACAAAGGCGCTCTTCCACAGGAAAGCTGAAGAGCGGGCGATGAGGACGGAGCGAAATGATTTCGATACGCGAGACAATGATACTAGATCGCCGGGTGCCAAATGTCCGAAGATCTTGAAAGAGAAGAAAAGGTATCCGTCCCGTGTCAAAACGAAGATTGTGCCACCAGGAACGCAAACGGGCTGACTTCAAATAATATGTCTAGCGCGAGATTTGGCAATTCGCTCAATCTGCCCTGCTTCCTCCGAGACAGTCCTTGATGCTTGTCGTTGTCTTTCGTATTAGACCCCTTCTTCGTTCGTTTGATAGGCTTCCGCACTGGCTCCTCTGGAATATGAAGAATTGGATGAAGCAGTAGTCGGAGAATGCTGGGGTTGGGGTGCCACTCACCATGTTCAGAAACATCGCCTTCTTCGACATAATCAGACTGAGCATCTTCATGTGTTACGTGCTTCGGGGGTTTGGGAAGGTGCCCCGTCGTGCTACGCGTTGCGCGCATACTGAGTAGGTGGTGGTTTGAGGAGAAGGAATGGCGGCGTCGGAGTTCGAAATCTGTCGCAATGACCTCCGCAGTTCACACGGTCCTACGGACTCTTCCGCTTTGGGTAAAATGCGGCTCGTGCAGAAACCCGGCTTGTATCATCCACGTATCAATGTGACGTGGAGACGGAAAAGCGCTGTATCAACCGTGTATCCTTGCACTACGAGGACAGAAGGTGAACATGATCCGAGCTTGTTACATGGGACCAAGTTGCTGTTACTCATATGACTTTTCCGTACTCGATGCCAATATCTCTGGAACACTGGCCATTTAGGCCGTGTTACTCAACATGTTGGCCGTGTAACAGCCTGAGGCAAATGAAAACAGCAGTAAACGAATCCTCGATACAAGCCTGATCAATGTGGGACATCAGGGGAGATGATACCTCGAGTTTAACGCAGTGTATCTCCTTTCCAGTGGACACAACGACAAAGTGGCGGCGCCTCCGCCCCTTCTCTTCTCTTCTCCTGCCAATGCACAGTACAATTCACCTCTCGCAGCGAGCTTATGAAAGTGCGCGCAGCCTTACTTTTTCCTTTTTTTGTAGAATGGGACGGCGACTCTTGCTGTTGCATCTTCGTTCGATCCGATGAATTATGCAACACAGACATAGCACGTATACGTAGAAACGTCCGGGACTTCACACCAAAGGTCTAGCAAACATTACTCAAACAACCTGAGGCATAACGGCCGTGCCATCATATTCACACATACGCCGACACCATTCTATCACCACACTACATCAGCCCTTCTCACAGCTCCGAATCTCTGGAGCAGAAAAACAATCCAAAGTCAGAGAATTTGGGTCGAAGGCCTTCGAATTCAGAGCACAGTCACAAGCAACTCACCTACCTCCTACATCTTGACAGATGGTATTCACACCAAAATGTAGTCCTCACTGGCCATGAACCTGTGAATGCCGCAGTACTAGGCAAAAGGAGCATGCATCGAGATCGGACCTACAGCCTTGGCTAATCAGATGTGGCACGGACTTACCCCTCCATCACAGTTCAAGGAGCAGCATTCCGCGTGGTTGTAGCACTTGCGACCACGGGACGCGCACGCATTGACATCGATGTCAGGCCTCTCCACGGTGCAGTAGAGCGCAGTGGCCTGAACCAAGGGCAAGAGCGACCCGAGAGCAAAAAGTATGTAGTTGAGACGCATTGTATAAACAGTGTGGACTCGGAGTTTGCTGTGATTGTTTATGAAGACGGATAAAGAGAGATATTGCAGATGAGTTTCTACCTAGATGTCCTCCAACCAGTAGTTATATAGCTTGTTGAGTGTGACATACTGCTTGCAACGACTACGTCAGGAAGCGAGAATGGAGTCTCTCCCCACCGGCTTGCTTTGCATCGAATGGAGGTACGCATCTTCTTGGTGCGATTCATTCACAGTGCCGAAGTCTTTATGACCATACCACTCTGTACAATCATAGTGCTACAAAGACTGAGCGTCCCCCAGATGTGCATGTACATCCAGCCAGCACTCGCCACGAATTGAGACTTACAGATCCTGAATACAAAAATACTGCAAAGACAGTGCAAGCGAATAGGATCGAGCCCGCACCCTCTGTATCTCATAATATTCCTGTGTAGAAAGCCCTGAACATATATACGCGTACTCAGAGTACAGTATCACATGAAACAGACCTGAGGTCCGAGAGTCTTTGTATGGTTCTCGACTCGGAGGCTCTTGGAGGGTATGCGGTGATGTCTTGCTACGGAGATGATGCTACGTGTGACACTTAGAAACATAGAGGGCGAGGGTGAAGGGGCCACACCTCCACGGTGTGTCGCCCAAGCCCCTGGGGATTCGAGGCGAGCTGCTCGGAGGGGGTGGGACAACTCCCTGTTGACTCCCTGCGATGCAGTGGTTAAATCAGGTTGGACTTTGGTCACGCTTCCTAAATAAAAAATAAAAGATACGATACGTTTGACTTCAAGTTGTGAGGAATTGATTCAGACAGGGATGTGAAGGGTGGAAAAACAAAACTCAGGACCGAGGTGATGCGAAGGGGCCCTCGAACGCCGCCAGCCTCGCCACCGTCAATAAGGGTCCCTCCGGGATCCTGTGGATCATTTTTTGCCGGTACACATCTACTGTTGGACGCTTGATCGATACAAGTCCGATTTGGGACAGACAGAGTTCTAAATATTGCCAAAAGATTTATGCAAAATGCTATTTGTATATTGGGTTTTTCTTATCTCGCAAGACTACACCAAAATCCTAACGTCGATGATCACAGTCGCGACGAACATGTGATGTATGTCTCGTCCAGCTTCATAAATCTCCATCGCTTATCAACTTTGTGTGCGGCCGAGTCTTGGTCGTTGGCTGGTCGGCTACAGGTGGGTATTATTGTAAAGTGACCGGACAACGAAGTCATCAGGCGTCGGATCTTGTTGCGTCGTGAGCTCAGTGTTCAAAAGGAAGGAAACTTGTACCGCAAAGCATACTACGACATCAGTGAGGAAGCAGACGCGGAAAATCTCAGTACTGACCGGTTCGATTCATTCCAGGAACAAGATAGAACCCGTTTGCCGCCAAACCGGTGGCAGGATCCACGAAAAAGCCCACCGTTCCGCTTGGGTGATCTATCCACGTCCAAGGCGCCACGGCCTGTGACGAAAGAGTAAAGGTAAGGTTTCCGATGTGTGTCATTCTGATCTGAGGATCAGGAAGGTTGACAGCCGCCAGAGACGTCGGTGTGAACTGCCAAGTAATTTTCTGTCAGAGAAATAGCAAAGAAGGTAGGATAAGATGTTACGAACAAATTGCTCATTCGTGACCGTACTATTGCCAACTTGGGCTGTCACATTGAGATGCATCCACACATCGGCTACGCTCGTGTTGGAGGGCAAGATATCCGTGAGTCCCTGCGCATTGAATAGAACGGAGTTATTCAAGGAGGGCGCCGTAAAGTTGGTTGTTGTGCTGTCTAGAGCATTGCCCAACCAGTCATACCACGTCCAGGATGCAGACCCGGAGACCTCTTCCCAGCGATCCGATGTTACCAAGATCTCGAGGGACTCGTTGGTGGGCGTCCAGAATGGATTGATAACGATGGGTTGGTAGATGCTGGCGAGCCTGTAATTCAAGACCTAAAGTGTTGGGTAGATGGTCGTCAGAGAGTGAACCGTTGATGGGAAAGACTTCGTACCTTCCATCTCCCCGAGTACTCGATGCTGGACCAGCTGACACCTGTCGTGCAGTTTAGTGGATGTAAATGCTGACAATAATCGGTCCACACCTTGCCATATGTCATTCAGTTGCCAAACGAGTGCCCCGAGATTATTCTCTCCCAGTCCAGCGCCACGACGATACCAAGCAATTTGCGACTCCATCGTCATGGCCTGGAAAATTTGGGTACTCCAGCACCACTGTGCAAACGTTTGGTTTGAATTTTCTGTATCTGGAGTAGGTAGCCATAACTCGACACCACTTGTCATTTGAAACTGTCCTTGTGGCGCATTGGGATTCGGCCATGAGAGGTTGCCTGCTGGTGGATGGTGGTCCCGCGATGCAACGACGGTCCCATTGAATGTGAAGTCATCTGGAGAGAGGAGAACCTCCTCCCAGCTGTAGAAGGATGGCATGGAGTGGAATCTGGGTGGAGATAACATTAGTTCGCCGATTATGAATCGCTGCACGAATTATGACTGTACCCGAATTCATTGACGAATCTTGACACAGGGAAAGTGCTGTAATTGAACGCTTGCGAGGCATCGTAGACGTAACGTTCTAAAGCTAACATGTCAGAGCCATCCACCGAGTAATATTAGTGGTCCCTGACCGCTATTGCCATATATCTCGCCCGGTGTACCGTTTGCGAATCTGCCATGGCTCTCGTGTTAGATATGCTACGAAGAACCTATGTCAGAAGACGGACCTGAGAACGAGGGGGTCCAAACTGAGGACGCCGTGGGTAGTCGAGCAATCTGTGTACGGTACCTACGTTGGAAAACATTAGACGCATCTCAAGGACGGTCCAGGTGCGAGGACCTACCGAATTCGTTTCCGAGTACGCTATGTCATGTAGGAAATCTTGGAAAAGAGCGACATACTGTGCACAATGGGGGACATGAGAGAGTTGTCAGGGCCATTGGAAGCAGTGAAAGAGTTACCTCATCCAAGTAATGAGTGCCGTTCGTAAGCAGAGCACTAGTGTTCACCCCTTGAACAATCCCCTCAATCTCATTTCCTCCGGCCCACTGTGCATTACTAGCGTGCTTGTTGATTCTTCTGACGTTCTGTCGAACTTCGACATCGACTGAGTCCAGGAACCAGTCGTTCAGTCCATAGAGCGCGTCCGAAAATATAAACTCGGACCAAGCGAGGATCCCGAGTTCGTCGGTCACAGCATAGAACGAGTAGGTATCGACGGAGTGTGGCGGATAGTTCGGGGTTATCGCCGCATTGGTACTAGAGGGTTGGTAGACGCCTCCTCCCCATACCCGTAGCTATATAGAGGTTATTTTGTTATGAGATACTCACCGATTGAGGTTGCGGGCCACCTACCATATTTTGACCGCTCGCCACCGCGCTCTCTAAGACCCACCGCACTTGCTCGTCTGTGATTCTCGCGTAGAAGGGGTCGAACGGTATTATATTCGTCCCCAATGCATAAAATGCCTGTCCATTGATCTCGAAGTGCCATTCATCCCCCGGTGTTATCCCACGTGTGGCGACCTCCAAGTCCGGATATCTCGTTTGCTTCAATACGATGGTTCTGAATCCGACTGGAGTGTTCATAGAGATCTTCTCTAGCCCGTCGACAGCGAGGTCCATGGTGAGCGTCAGATTGTACAGCTTCGGCGAGCCGAGATTGTGAGGATACCATCGCTCCACCAAGTCATCATCGACAGTCCAGTTCGCGATCAACCAGGTCGGCGTGAGGGTCGTGCCAGAACTAGAGCTGAGAGCAGGTATGCTGTCGAGAATGATCGGATCAGATGTCAAGTTGAGCTCCGCAATGGAGAGTGTGAGTGTAGGTGACGGGATGCCAATGGCAGAGTGCACCGCAAGACTGATGTTGAGATTCCAAGGAGCGCTCTGATCCGGATCGTTGCCGGTTACATCCTCGAAACCTTGCTTGAAGACGTCGATAGAGGATTCCGAGATTAGCAGTGGCGTGGGGCTCGACGTGCTGTCCGACGTGGAATTGTTGACGGCGCCCGAGAGTGTGATGAAGTAGGCTGGCTTGTGTACTCCCACTGGGACGAAAGCGGGGCCCTAGACAAGATGATCAGAAAACTGAGACGACAAGCCGGGAGAAATCCTCAATGCCATTCACTCACCCAATCCCATCCAAAGTCAGATTGAACTTTACGAATCCAATTTCGGGCATCCGGGTATTCAAAGTCGGACAGAGTGTTGAATAAAACCTCGGTATCGTTCCTTGCTGTCACATTAAGACCGTAGTGCCAGGCGGACTCGAATGCAATAGTGAGATTGGTGTTGTTTTGTGTGGGAGAGACCAATGCATCAGAAACGTCGAATACATATGTCTGAAACTGGTTGGCAACCCATGCGACTGGTCTTCCGGCGATCGACTGGGATGGAGGGGCAACTTCAAAATCTATCACAGGGTCACCGCAAATCAGAGAGCCTCACAATGTTCGCAACGGTGTCGATCCCGTACTGTATGATAGACTATATCAGGCATAGCACCCAGGGTTGAAATGGTGAAATGTACTCACAAAGACTAGCAACGTTCTCTCTGACGAGGATTGAGCAGGAGAAGCGAGGAAGGGCGAGATATCCGCGCTATAAGTCCAGTTGTCATCGACAATCCATCTCTGAGTAAAATCTACCCGAGTCTCGTGTTATAATCACTAGTTCGGACAGAAGCACGCAAAGCTTACCGTTAATTCCTAGAAGCGGTTCTGTGATGATATCCGCCGACATGAGGTCAAGGTGAACCTGCGAAGGAAGCGACCCCGGGACTACAATGGAACCATTTTCGTTGCTCAATGACCACGATAGGTCCGAAAGGCTGAACACATCAGCACAAACCAGCGAAGGGAGAAACGCAGCGGCCAGTAAGACTGAGAACGGTGTTCTCATGATCTCAGCGTGAGCGAAGCAGGAAGTAGTTGGGGATCGAAGGTCTGGTCTCACCTGGCGATGCGTCATTTATATACTCATAGTCGGCCCGCCAACAGGTGCTCGAAGATTCACAAGTTTCTCCGCCCATCAAGAAGCGTTCGAATAACGTATAACAGACGGTCACATATGGGCACCCATCTTCTGCACCGCTTGCACTGTCAAACACCTTCGGTGAGCGTACACCTTCCATTTGCATCCAGAATACCTGGCGAATGCCTTTCGCAGAAGACCTGTGCTGTCCATGCCAGCCTAAAAAATGATTGGAACGTGTCCCGCAATGTATGACTAAACAGCGTTCGTACTCTCCGCTTAACAAACGGACCGAGCAGTGAGCATGTTCAGACCGTGTAGGGCAAAGAAGTGGTCACTCGGTGGGAAGCTATTCTTGAAGAGTACAATGGGGTCTGTCAGGAGACCAACATCCATGACGGTCGATCGACACCGGTCTCATGATCGCAGTGTAATCCAACGTTCATGACGCATGTAAGTAACTGAAATGGTTCGAAGACGAGATAACTACCTACGCGACATTTTGAAAGCGCGTCATAGGGCGCTCGTATGACTTGACGAAGCAACAGCGCTAGCAGCACAAACAGATGCCCTATGCTATAACAAGCCTGGGATGGGGTCTATCAAAAATATGAGCAGGATAGAAATTATAGATTCCAGTCGTATATTAGGGATCCAACGTTACCGCATAGTAACATAAGCAAAAACCGACAAGCCTATTCACCACACCCTACACCATTGAACCAGAAGCCTCTGAGATAGACAGAAAATACTCATTTCCCCGAGAAGAAGACCGATTCTTCACTGTCATCCTGATCAGCAGGCGACATTTCGCCATCCGTACGATATGCTGCCCAGTCACCCTCGATGGAATGGTGCAGCTCCCCAATCTTCGCGCCTCGTTTCCTCAAAAACGCGACCACCTCTTTTGAGTATCTCCAACCCGTTTCCGTTTCGACCGAATCGCCGCTCACCGCTCCATTCGTCCCTTCGCTCTGCTTAATTTCATCAACGCCACCGCCATAGAGCTTAGCCATGTGCACCGACGCGTTGACTCTCCTCTCTGATGGGCCATGCTCCAGCTGTTCAAGCAGGCTCGACAACGCGGTGGAGGCTTCTGCTCTCGCCCTCAATACATGTTTCATGACCCTACCCGTTCGCGGACGGCGTTTGCGGCGCATCGAGGGAGTGACTGGTGGCTCTGCGGGTGCGCCAGTGGCCATCGTTCCGTGTGCGTGCGCTGAGGCTGTTGTGTTGGAAGCGTTGGTAGGACTTGAGCTTCTTGATGTGTTAGAGAGCCAGGCGTTGGGTGGTGGAATTGGCGTTGTCGTATATTGGGCGAGAGTGTGTAGTGGATATTCCCAGCTCTTGGGTGCCCAGACGCCGATCAAGACTCGCCACGCGGCAACAAGCCGTTTAACACTATGCGGATCTGGTCAGTCTGAGAGCATCGGAAAGAAATAGAGTGACTGACTGCTCATAGTTATCTGGAGGCGGTGATAATCAGTTTCATGCTCATATTTCACACACCAATCAGAACTCACTGTTGACGAGTTTCGTATGATATATGGCGGTTAGTGAAACTAAGGCGCCACTAAGAACCGCGCCGAAAGGTGTGTACCAAAACAAGGCCCAAATGAAGAAGAATGCTGCAGGATACATCATGGCGAGCAAGAGAAGGCCGAATATGACCTTGTTCTGTGCTTGTGTTTCTTCCTCATCCTCAACGAGACGAGCGCCAACTCGGGCCATAAAGTATGCCGGCATGTGGATGGCGAGAGGAAAGATGAAGAAAGGTAGTCGAACCAGGCATGCAAGACTATCTTTGATGAGGATGAGTAGAGTGAGCAAGCGGCTGGGAATTGGAACGGGACGACTTGGGTCGAGCGATGCGGGGAGGGGTAAGGATGAGAGGACTGAATTCGTCAGCTGGGCGGATTGGAGAAGTGAGTAATATTCAAGAAGGTGTCGCTTGATGGAATTGAAGTTAGGCGTAATGTTGGGAGTCGAAAACAGGTCAACGAGCCTAATGGGACTATTAACGATATTGACAGGGACATGACAGTAACACATACGTACGTTTGTGATATAGCCACGAATTCGTTGCGATTGATCTTGGTGTCGTCTTCCCATAGGAGATCACGGGCCATTCTTGCAGCATATAGAGTATCCCTGATTCCGCGGTTAGGAAAGCTAGAGACTTGGCACAGACAGACTTATTCACCAGTCAGGTGCATTGATAGTGAGCTCTACAAGTCGCGCCTCGATGGTCTTGGTGAGTCGTTTGACAGCCGCCCTAGGCGCACCCTCGTCCGAAGAGAGAAATTGCTCAATGTATGGATCCATAGAAATGGGTGGCCCAAACCTATAAGACAAAACATCAATAAGGAGGTAGCCCGGATAAGGGTTATCGAGGGGCCATACTCCAGAATGACCTATAAATACAGAATCAGAACGAGTATAGCGGTTTAGGCTCCGCAATATAACGCACATAGCTCCGATACTTGGATTTGTTGGTGTAGACTATCGCAGATGGTACGATGACCAGGGGAGCCTGCGTAGCTCGCGAAGGGTTCTCATGGGCCCACTTCGTATACTCGAGTGCTGCCCATGAAGCACCATCTTTGACTTGCATGATGCGAGGCTCGGTATAGCTCGTGCCTTCAGGAAAGAGAGCCACGACCGATCCATGAGAAAGGGCCTCGATGGTTCCTTGGAACAGACCCCGGCGGTCCTTGTTCTTGCGATCGACAGGAATGTTACCCGAGCTGATCAGGATTTGACGGACTATAAAGTTCTTGAAGAGACTAGCTGTACGAGCAGTTCTCAGGTACGTGTAGCGATACTCAGAAGCCAGCACTTGCCTTTGCTCCAGTAATGTAGGATACGACGGTTCGGGAATGCGGATGCTGCGAGAGATTTAGTCCTCGGTAACACTAAGGAGACGAATGTGGAGCTCACAAAGAATAGCAGGGTCCAACATCATGTTATGGTGTGTTGCCGTCCTGCGTGTATGTCAGATTGTGGCGCGCATTGCTTGAAGCACTACCAGGTCACCCATGGCGCTGAACAGTGCACGCACAAAATGGTGGGTCCTTTAAATGGTACATTTTCTCCTCCAATGACGCGGACCTCGGTGAAAAACGAGGTGACAGCAAACTTGGCAATCTGGACTAGGACACGATGAAGTAGATACAGGTTCTTCTGGTCGTCCATGGCGCGAGTGGTATAGATATCCGAGCTTTCTGTGCGGAGTCAGTTGTAGGGGATAAGTGGTGGAGAATGATAGGGTAGAGTCGCCGTCGGGCACAGGCAGCTGCCTGCAATGTGCAGTGTGTAGAGCCAAGGAACGGAACTGGGTGAGTATGTCATGTTTGTGGGCAGCTCGCGTGCTGTGGGGGGTGAGAGAGTCTTTCCTGATTAGGCCACGCGTCGAGCGCGACGTGTGTGCTGTATGTGAGACGTGGCGCCTTGCTCATCTCTGTCATTGCTACTCACGCAACTCAACGCAATTCGCCTCGTCAAAAGCTCAGATCATTGGACTATTCGACAGAGCTAACTTTCAACTACACTGTTCTCTCATCCTGACGATTGGCCATAATGCATAGTGTCTATGCCAGGTTCAACAATATCAGTGCCACGCTTTCCACTTGCATGATGGTCCTACTCGGTGCCATCGCTTGTACATCCCTACTATTCAGTGCGGATCCGAAAGGAGACATCACTGCGTCCGTAAAAGTGTGCGTTCAATTTATTACGCTTTTCTCGCTTTCCCCTTTGTATAGTACAGATCATCTCGCCACTCGAAGTAGAGTCTATTTCTCGGTCAACAATTGTTCTCGGGACAACAGGAGAAACCGTGCTCGTGCCATTGATTCATAAACCACGAAAATGTCCACTGCGGTATTCTTTTTGGGTTGCTGCTAACACGGAACACAATCCGACCGTAGGTGCGTGTGGCACCATGCATTCGTGCTTGTGGCAATGATATGTCACTACTGGTGTTGCACCTCGAACACAGTGCAATATGTCCTTGGTCCTGTTACACGAGTACTCTTCTGTGTCATCTCACCCTGGCTGTAACATACCCCAGGCCGTCTTTTCCTTCTTGAGTATGCCGAGGATCAGTGTACTGGTATACGAGCAGGATGTCTGTAGTAACGCTGACGGACCAATTTCCGATGTTCTTTTATCGTCCGTTGCTCATAACCCTCTCTTCCCCAGATTGAGTGGTGAAAGCCGACCACGACGATATGGCGCCTCCGGTCGGCGGCAAGAGTTTGCCTTCGTAAACTTCAATGTCACAGCGGGTACGTCAACCAATTTCCACCGCCGCACTTCCGTTACTCTGGGAGCCAACCTATAGCCTCATATCATGCTTCATAGCATTCTTTCATGATTTTGGCAGTTGAACTTATTGTACTCATTAACAGACCTTACGCCACTCTTCAACTGGAACACAAAACAACTTTTCCTCTATCTTGGCGCCGAATATACCAATGCTCAAGGGGTATGTAATCATCTTTTTACCCTCTTGGCTGTCGGGACCCCCAGAATCTACCTGCATGAATTTGTCGAACGCCCGAGGGATTTCTTTCCCATTGTCGAGCTGCGAATGCGCAATTTTGCGGTTTCATCTCATGATCTGGTGATGGCGATGAGAAATATTGCGACGCTTGTGAGAGCACGGCGCACACGGACACTCTTCTGTTACTGTCCAGACTTGTTGCGTCTCCCGAGAATCACGCGTTTGTCATTCCCCGCCTACGATCCAGGCCACTCGGGTGGCCAGGCTTTGAGATGTCGTCGGACCAGGTCGGGCCTCGTATGGTACATTTCGAGTTCTAGCGGCGTCCGGCCTTCTTGAGGACTTATGCTCTCCTTTGTTCGCTCCTCGGACATGGTCTATTTGTCTTGTGTTGATGGTCTTATTGGAGGCTAGCGTGTGTATTCCATGTCATCGTTCTTGAGCGCATTACTTATTCCATCTCCTTTCAGCTACTGCAGTACTTCCTCTTATACTTTTTACCTTGTACACGCTAGAAGCCCACGAACGTTCCCAAAGACCCGTGGTTACTGATTATAACCCTATTTATGCCTCTAGGTCCAAAACGAAGTGGTCATCTGGGATAGAATCGTCCGGCGAAAGGAGGATGCGATGGTCAACGTCGAGGGCAAGAACAGCTATGCTTTCCGGGAACTTTCGACAAAATTCCAGTGCGTTCACCTTCTCTTCGGTTTGCTGTCTTAGTCGTTCCTGTTCCCTCTTTGGCGCGTCCAAACCCTATTTTCCCCGATCCAAACCTATTCCACCTGCCTCATCGGGAACAGGCCTTATCTTCCTACTGCTTGTTACGGTTGCCTATCCCGCCGATATCGCTGACTCTTCTCATCACCCGCTCCTTCCCGTGCGGTCAATGTTTATAGGGACATCTCTCCCGCGCACTATACCCTCAAATACAACGTCATGCCATGGGTTGGAGTCCTCACCTACGGCGAGGCAGCGCGCACGACAGAGCCCATACCTTTCCCTAACGCAAAGGATCGCGTCTCGTAACTGCCTTTCTGTCTCGGCACGAGGGCGTGGATGGGTGGTGGGCCGTTCAAGCAAGGGTTGGTTTCTAACCATCGAGGTTACTTATCGGGTTACTGTGCGGGTAGCGAAGCAAATTACTCGGATCAACGACCGTCAAACCGCGCCAGTGTACTGTAGTGACGGATCCTCCATAATATTTATAACTGATGGTCTATCTGATTGGGTTATTAGACGAGTGAGCTCTTGCAGGCACTGAATATATCAGGTCTTGTGTGAACGATGAGTGTCTTGTTCTGTAATGCTGTTACCCTTTATCGCCTTCGCTTATTGTGTCGTTGTTTTTTTGGCTCCTGCAAGTAAACCTTCTTTCTGTGCTATATGTGTTCGGGTTTCAGTGACATGCATGCACGAGTTGTCACTGATTTTAGCACGCTGTTTCGAGCAGGATAGAGTCCATGTATAGTCCACGGTTCACGGACCGGCGCACGTAAGTGTCAAGGCTCTTGAGGGTGTACGCATGTTGCGACTGGTGTATCAGCTAGGCCATTTTCGTGTTAAGGATGTAAGAATGCCTACAGGTGCCTACAAGTCTAGAGGAAGCTTAAGTAGGCTGCCTGAGGCTGTCCGTTGGCCGCATCTTAGCTCTATACCCAAGCGAAGAAGCTCGATTTTGTCCGAAGAGTCTAATATTCAACTTCATTATTCCGCCATGTGGTTTCCCCAGTGGACCTTGTACGATAATGGACGGATAATGGATAAGTAACTCGATATCTTTCACAAAGCCTGTTCTGGAATTGACCGCGACGGAAGTACTCTGGCCTCCGTTGAATGCCACGATTCTGATGCCGTCCGATTCCGCTGAGAGGACTGCTCAAGTGCAACTCAATATGTAATAAGCACTATGACGCTGCGACTGGCTTCATCAGTCGCCACAAGGTCACCACCTTAATGATACCAATCCAAATGGAAACAACCACACCGCTTCTGGATCTTGAGTTCTTGGGAGTTTGAACCATCGATGCATCGATCCCCAGAGAGGTGGTCCGGGAAGCTGTCACGGTCCTCCTGTCGTTCAGAACAAAGCTGAGATGGTTGACAGAGATTCAGTGGGCGGCACGACCCGGACACATCATTCAAGCCAAGCATAGAAACAGCCGGGCGTTGGCAGGCCAGACTTGGGACCCAATTTCACAAAATCTGAGGGTGTTTGCAGGGCCGATGTTTCGGTCGTGCCCTGCGACGAATTCGCTAGAGTGCGCCCAAACTACGTGTCGTCGGACGGGAAAAACTGTTCCGAGCGCATCACGCATCAAGCGGTGCGCGAAATGGTACTTGCAAATAATTGGAAAGAGAGGGGAAGAACCAGCAGGTACGCGAAGCGGTGACGGAAAAGGCAGCGAGATTGCTTGAAGGGGAAGCCTGTGGCGCAGGGGTGAAATGGATCAGGGCTGAGGGAATAGCCTGGATAAATGGTGGTGCTGGATTATTTGGTGTACATAGAGCAGGAAGGGCTACGCGTAGGAGTGGATAAATCGTGGGAGAGAATGGAGTACGTGGGCAGGAAGTAGGCAGGAAGGAGGGACGGAAGAAGCTGCGAGCTGCGATAAGCGTTGTGTGGGCATCAGGTGCTGTAAGAATGCAAATTCGCTAGCGTGGCTCGAGACGACGCCTCAAGCTTAATTCTGAATTGGAACTTCGGACCCAATGAGCTACGGGGCCTGTTCGAATGTGCTAAACCATTCACGAGCTGGTACAAATGCTCGTCCTTCCTCCACACGCGCGCCTCTCCTCTCCGCCGCATCATGTCCTACCACCCGCACGCCTTTTGGCCCTCCTCTGTCAACCACGACGACGACGTGCCAGACTATGAGATTTACGACCCTGCTCGGTCTGTCACCGTAGTCAAGCATTCCGACGAGTACCAGACGGTACGTACATCTATGCCACAGTACTCTGCCGTACACGGTCTGCAGCTCAACGTGTCTCACAACAGACGGAGTCTGGTTGTGCGCTTGCGGGCTCAACCACGTATCTGCGTGATCACCGGGAACTAACAGGACTCAACCTAACGTACCCCGAACCTCACTCGTATCCTATCGCATCCCCAACCGACTCGTACAATTACTATCCAATGTCCTACGCTGCCCCGCTCGAAAGCCCCTCGCAGGATTATTCCAGCGAGAGCATGCAGGTGTACGACCCGGAGGCTGGCACCTACGTGCAATATGCCTCCGTCCCCGCCGACTATGTCGGGCCCGACTACTCGGCGCAGCCAGACCACCTAGCGGCGCCAGTCGACTCCAGTGTCCAGTACGGTTATGTCTACGCAGATCATCTTCCTGCTGCCGACACCATGCTCCCCTCCCTATCACCTGGTCGCCCAATTCCCACCTCCAGCTTCTCCACCCTCGACCATCCAAGTCACCGTGTGGCCAACCAGGTAGAAAGCGGGCACGACCGCGCTCAACAGGTTGACCAAGGCCAGCCCGTCGCCCACGAGGTAATTGCTCACTTTCCCCTGCTTCGGCCACGTTACAGGTGACTCTTCTGACGCGCTGCGGGTTCTCATTTTAAGGAGTCGGAAGCCATCCCCGAATCGGTGTCCACGGCCGCTTCTGCCTATAGTCCGGATAGCGAACAATGCACGCATATGCAGCCGCAGGAACAGCCCGTACCGCCACATCACCCAACCCACCACGTTCCTTCTCCCGAAGACAGTCGATCCCCACCATCTTCGTATTACAACGTATCCCCGCACTACCATGTTCCTTCTGCGTCGTACCAACCCCCCTCCTCATCTGCGCCGACATTGCACCTGAACACGGACGTTCAGCGGCCTTCACCACCGCCGATCATGGACCACTTACCTTACGCGTACCAAGTCAGGTCCGCCGCTCAGGCCACTCACCATGATACCACGCACGCCGCCGTGAAAATGGAGCCCGTAGAACCTCATCTTTCGCACAGCCTCTATAGCATGCCCTCACCGGCCACGACATCGACAACAGCGACCCCCGACAACCAGATCTATACGCACGTAGCCATGCTCCCTCGCGCTCCTGGTGCGCTTCACGCCGAGGGAGGCTCACGCTCGACATTCCGTATGTCCGACTTTACCATCCCCGAGTCTCCTTCAACATACACCCCTCGATTCGTCGACCCCGAGACGCAGCTGTCAACATATGGAGGCGGTCAGTCAGCGGCATTCGCTATCGATCTGACCGGTTCTGTCACATGCGACGACGGTCACGGATGCGGGACAACGCCCACGAAGAGGAAGAAGGTAATGGCCTATCTGTCAGTCTTTCGCACACTGTACTAAAATACAACCCCATCTAGGAACCATTCCTGGCATGCTTTTTCTGCCGAGGCAGGAAAATAGCCTGTGGACCCGCTGTGCCGGGCAGCACTGATAAAACATGCAAGTGAGTCACCGTCATCTAATTTTGAGCTCACCTCCCCCTGTTCTCTACTGTGCGAATCAGTCTATATCCCCGTAAGAATCGTCGAACGTGTGCATGGGTGCAGTGACACCCGCCCGCGTAGATGGGGCGTCTGCGGGTGGGTAGGAAGTGGAGAGGTGGAAACCTTCGTCATGGTCTTTTATACCGTCTCAAATATGCTGAACGATTTATTTGTCGGCATCATGGGGCTGTCGTGTTCCTGTTCGTGCGACGGGTACATTGAAACACTCTCTGTTCTGTCAGCTCTGTCCTCTCATGCTATCCGTCACCGGCATCGGATACATCTTCTTTCGAAAGGTCTCAACACCTGCTTTTCCCATCATCATCTGCCTCATTATTTTCCCCTATGAGCTTCGCACTGACTTCCTCCTCCCCGCGTTTATCCAGCCAATGCGCTCGTCGCAATATCAAGTGCGAGTACCCGCTGAAATCCCGGCGTGGGCAGCGTAGTCGACACCCTCGTCCTGAGAAGGAAAAGGAGCGGGAAGACCAAGTTCTGACGCGGCGTCTTGCGCCCGAGGTTCCGATACCATCTTCGTCCTCTTCGGTGACGCTTTCCACTTCGTACTCTGCTTGAGCATATGGATATTGTTCGCTGTCGTTCTTGTTCCTTCTTGCTTTCTCACCTGGGACTTTCATCGTCGTTCTGTTCCATGTCCTCTGTTTGTTCCATGACCTTTAATGACCCACCCCTCCGCCCACATTGTTTCGATGCCGGCTCCCCTACATCATCATCCTCGCATTGTAATATCCTTTCTTTCACACGTATATATTATTTACTTCGACCTTCTTGCTCTTCCGTGTACGCTCGCAACAGTGCGGTCGCCGTTGACTTGATTTCCCCCCCTAAAAAGCCTTCTTACTTATCCTAGTCACTGTTTGTTGTCATGTCGCTCTCGCATAGTTCGTTGTACATAGATTAGCCCTGTTGTCTGTCTGTCTATTCATCGTGCATGTTCGTTGGTTCTCGGTCACCGATTTATACGAAGCGAGCATCCACTTCATCGCGCCTCCCAGTCTCCAGTGTGCCATTCTCATGAAAGATGTACTCTCGTCCATGTCGTACCAGTGCGCTGTAGATGCACGGCCGTGTCATACGCTGTATATAATTGTTTCCCCTCATCGCGGCCGTCAATCGCCGTTTCGCTTTCCAAGTTGTACATACTTACCGCACCCTGAATCAAATCGGATCCTTCTTGCAGAATCCACACATCTTCCACGTTCGAATCACGTTTTCGAACGTGCATCCTCCCTGTTCTAGCGTCGCGCTTGCTTCAAATTTCAAGCTGCCATACGCGATGGCTTCGATGATGGGTATGAAAGGGAGGATCTCGAAGTTAGTTCAGTTCGATCCCTGCATCTTATGGAACCATCATTGTCGGTTTGTTTCCGAAGTCCTTCAAAGGTTTGGCAAGATGAACCGCAGCGGCGATGCTGTCTCGGAAGCACGCTGTACTTTCTTGGACGGCGTACGAAAAGAAGAGAGCCTTCATCTAAACATATATTGCGAGTGATACAGTACATTGTCCTAAAACACATCTCTTTACACATACATAACAGCTGCGAGGACTGCCGCCTGGCGCTGAGTGGGCCCCAACATATAAAGTAGAACAAGGAGAGAAAAGTCAGTCCAGAGGGTTACACGTACGATACGGGATATATGACGGTCGGATGGCGCGCGATGGTTAGTGGGAGATCGGTAAGGATAGATGACGAAAGGATTCGTGGAGCGAAAGGAGTGTTGTAGATGCAAACGACAGGAAAACGGACACGAGAAGCATAATGGAATAAATATAAGCCCAAAAGAAATATCAACAAACCCTGGAAAAATATATCGGGAAGAGGAGGGTAGAGCGTCAAGTGTCAAACGAGAAAAACACGTCCGAAGGTGAAAGGACAGGGAGAAAAATTAGAATTCCAGAAGCCCCAAAATCTCTTGCAGTCTGACTGCGTCCAGTGGCTTTCCTCTCCGCTTCTTCAACGCATCTGATATCGCCACAATCTCTGGGGTAGAGAATATCGAGGAGTTTGCCAACGACGTCGTAGAGAGCTCAAGCCTGATCATCAAAAATTCCAGGATGGACAGCACTTCCGCCTGGGAAGGCTTATCGGGTATCGCAGGTGTCAACAACGCAGGGTCGGCACATAAGAGCTGTGGAGTGTCCGCGGCGGCTTCGAGTTGTGTTGAACAGCTGCCGTCAGACTTCTCCAGTGGAGCCTGGCCCTTTACTCGTATATCTGCTGCTGGAAGAAGTGGCGGAGGGGGTGGTGGTGGTGGCATCTGCTGTGCGTTGCTCCCTTTCCTAGGAGGAAGGGGACGGAAAATGCGCCCAATAGTGAGCGCCTCGAGACGAAGACAAACCATGGAGAGTTCCTTCAGCTGATCCACACTACACTCTATGGACTCGAGGCCACCTTCCGCCTCATTCTCCCGTGGAACATCATCTGAAGCATCCCCATCCAGGACCCTCCGCCCAGCGAGTGCACGAGGATATACGAGAGATAGCATCTCGGGTACTTCGAGTCCCTTGAGCTTCTTTTCGCCAATAGGTTCCACAATGATGTCAAGCCGGCGGATGGCCTCTACGATATGAAGGGGTTGGTATACCGAGTAGTCCGTGTCGGGTCCCGTCTCGAGTACGCGTGCTTGAATTTCGCGAACGACGTCAGCGCTGAGCATGATCTGGCCTCCGGCGGCACAACCACAGACTCTGGCGGCACGATTGACCATGGGCCCCAAATAGTCCATGCGCTTAGTGATAGCGTCAGGCTCGCATACGGGAGCACCACAATGGATGCCCATCCGAAGGGAAAGCCCCTTAGCGATGATCCTACCCTCTTTGTCGCGAATCTCGCGCCCGTCTTCGCACTCGAGGAGTTCCTTCGGCCACGCCTCGTGAAGAAGCTGCAGCTGAACGTTCAAAGCCCACAGAATGGCAGACGACACGTTCTGGAACGCGACCATGAACGCATCGCCTTCCGTCTTGACCTCGTATCCACCACAGAACCGCAACTGCCTCCGCAAGAGGAAGTGATGTAACCGCATGGCCGTCGGCATCGCACCGTTCGTCTCCCAGAGATGCGTCGAATTTCGAATATCTGTGAACACGAGCGCAAGGTTGCCCACAGGGGGTGGCACTTCTTCGTCCAAACGAGCGATATTCCTGTCTCCGATATGCTCGTCCTTCCGTTTCCTCCTCGCCAGGGCGTACGTATCGGAGTCAACAAGAGACTCAACGGTCGCCTGTCTGTCGCGGTTGTGGAAGAGTGAGGCGGTGGAAATAACCATGATCATCGTACTTCCCTCGGCACCATAACTGATCGCGAAGTCCCTGAGTTTCTGTGAAGCAATCATAGGGTCCGCTCTCTCCGACCTCGCGATATCGACCGCCGTCTGGTAAGATACGAAGTCCCATAGGCCGCTATTCCCGATGATTACGAACTCATCCTGCTCCGACAGTTCGTATTGCCTGATGCTAGGTCGGGCGTTGACAACGGGTAAGAGATGGAAGAAACCAAAAGACCTAGAGATGTCGACCTCGTCGTTGACCAGGCCCTTCGGCGAGACCCAACCCTCTGCCGAGCGGATCCTCGAGATTTCCGTCCTGTCGAACGGGTCGTGCTTCTCCGACACCAGTTCTGCCGTCCCGCGCCTGGACACGACGGCGAGACAGTTCCCAGCGTTCGCGACATAGAGTGTCTTCCCTTGGATGTACAGCACGATGCCGGAAGCGCCGAGATTCGTTGCCTCGGACATACTGAAGAGCTTGGACGACTTTCGGCTCGCCTGAGACATTTTCCGCTGCAGATTTCCGCTCGCCGAGAACAAAGAATCGTGCGTGAGCCTGTTCAGCTTCAAGAACGTCCGTCTCAACGCATCCTGGACCGTCTCTCCCTTATCCTTCTGCAACCCAGACAGGCACTCCTGAAAGATGCCCACGAAGTTATCGTGCAGGTACTTGGAGATCAGGTTATTGTGCGGTGTAGACTGCGCCCTGCCGAACATGGCGAAAATAGCCTCGTCCTTCCTGTTCTGAAATATGGGCTGGACGAGATCGAACATGGAAACAAAATCTTTGTTCCCCAGATTGTCCGCGATACCATAGGCCATGCCATTGACTTCGGATAGCGAAGTACGGACACGACGGTCCTCGTTATCGTCGGGAATATTGGGAGCGAAGGTTGTGGTGACGTCCATGAGACCGAGCACGCGGAGTTGCGAGAGATGGTCGAATGCGGCGAGGTCGATGGTGACCCTGCTCTCTGCAGGCTGACCCTTGCGTGCCTGGTCGGGCTTGATCTCGAGACGCTTGTTTCCAGACAAGTTAAGGTATCGCAAGTTGGTGTTGAAGTTCCTGCATTGACCAGGCGTCCAAGTCAGACAATCGTGGCATACGTAGGAAATCGACGGGGGAAAACTGACCAGTTCCAATCAAACTCCCAGTTGTTGATGTTGTACTTCAACGCGTTGCTGCCCACATCCAACACCGCCAAGCTCGGGATCTTTCCCAGTTCATGCGGCAACGTCTGCAGCCTGTTCCCGTTCAGAAACAGCACCTGCAGCCTCGTCATCCTATGAAGACCCTCCGTCGGTAGACTCGAGATCTTGTTCCCGCTCAGATACAGCTCCTCTAACTGCGTCATATCCTTGAAGAACGTACTCGGCATCTCCTGGATGTCGTTGAACGACAAGTTCAGGACACGGAGTTCCCGCAAGATGGTCAGGAAGGGCAGACTGTCGTCCGCGAGATGATTCTCGCCGAGGTAGAGCTGTTCGAGAGAGTGGGCGAGTGCTGGTAGGGTGCGAGAAGGTGTCGATGGCGCAGGTGGAGAAGAACTGGTACCGATGGTACTAGCGGACGAAAGCTTACGTTCAGAGCCGGCAATAGGGAACGTGCTCGATGTAGGTTCGGGAACGGTGAGTGTTGAAGATGCTGTCGGAGGGGGAGGAAGTGTAGCAGTGGCGATTGGAGGGTGCCACGTTGCGATGAGGTTGGAAGTCATGTTAATACGCGTGAGGGAGGCACAATTCCACAGGGTAGCCGGAATTTCGGTAAGGTTATTGTTATGTACGTCCAGACGCTCAAGCTTCTGCAACTTCCCGATGGTGGAAGGAAGAGCATCGAGCTTGTTATCTGAACATGAAAATGAGACCAGGCGGGAGAGTTCGCCTAACGAGTCAGGAATGAACCGGAATTCGTTGTAGTCAAGATTGAGCTCCAGCAGAGAGGTCAAATATGCGAGCGCAAGATCATCAAGCGAGGACAGCTTCGCGTGTGAGATGTTGAGTGAAGTCAGATTGTGTGGTATCTGCCCAATAGGTCCTGGAACCAGAATGATGTGCGTGATATCGTTGTGGGAGACGTCGATCTCTTTCACGCAAGGGCCTGAAGACAGATCGAGAGCATGGACCGAATTGTGGTTCACGAGCAGAACCTCCAACTCCGGCAGCATCTCCACGATCGTCACGTCCGTGATGGCGTTCCTCCTGCAGTCCAAAACCCGCAAGTTGGAGAGTCGACTGCACCCTTCCGGAAACCTCGACACCCTATTCCCGACCATGATAAGTTTCTCGAGATCTTGCATATCCGAGATCGCCTCTGGAAGCTCCGAGATCATGTTGAACGAGATGTCGAGCTCGACGAGGTGGGTCATCTGGCACAAAAGCTCTGGAAACTCTCGGAACTTGTTGTTTGAGATATTGAGGTGTTTCAGAGAACGTAGGCGAGGGAGGTACCATGGAAGCTTCTCCATCCTGTTGTTCTGTGCGATGAGGCTCGTTAGTCCCGGTATTCGTTCAAGTCCGGCGTCGAGATCACCGATCCGATTACATGAAAGGTCCAGCTTGAGGAGACTGGTACAGTGTCGTACGCTTTGCGGGACTTTCTTGATTGACATGTTGGAAAGGCGGAGTTCTTCGAGCGATGTACACGATTGTACGAAGTCGAGCGGGATTTCGAGCATGGGATTTCGGGAGAGATTGAGGGATATGATCCCTTCGGCGTGGCTGTAGAGAGGTACGGGAATCGTCCTCAGACTCTTATTCGTCAAATCGACGTGATCGTAGTCGACGAATTCCAGGTCGTCCTCCTGTATTGAAAGGTCATGGAAAACTCAGGAGAAACGAGAAGAGATTGGCACTGACGGAAGGACCGAGCGCATACGACTTATAAAGAAACTTGAGAAGGAAGCTCAGATCTTCGCCTCCAAGCTTTTCAAGACCGTCGGCGGCTTCGTAACCAGCCTGCTCAAGCCGCCTTCGAACGATGTCAGCGGGTCGCTCTGTCGCCGCCAACATTCGTTCTGTATGATGTCCAAGATTCAGAGGCGCTCGACGTTATTAATCGGTCTTGACACGTACCTCGCCCTCGCTCTTTGAGATAAAGTTTGTGAATCTCATGACGCTTCTCCCCAGGCTTGGGTTCTTCCGACAAGCCCAGTACCTGTTGGTCGAGATGTGGCGTGAGCTCCGCCACAGTGACTGGAAGTTCGAGGCATAGTTCGTGAAAGGTGTTGCCTGGGCAGTGAACACGTATCGTCCAAAGCGTCTTTGTCGTGGGGGTTGCTGGTTTAACAGCTATGGTCTGAGTCCGCCTCTTAATACGCTTGTCCTTCTTGGCGGAAGCTTCGGGTGACGCAGCGGGCTTTGACGCGGGGCTCTCTTCAGAACTCGAGTACTCCGGTTCCTGCTGGCCTTCGACAGGATCAACGGCCCAACTGTCGGGGGCGTTCCAAGCAGTGGGGTCTTCTTCGGAGGGACCTTCGGCGGTGATATTGAGCACGGGATTAAGCACGGGAGGAGTGACAGCTGGAGCTATGAGCGGTAGTGGCGGGAGGGATTTAGGCGATATATTCCGCTCTCTTGGGTTTAGTCTATGCGGCGGAGACTGGGCACGAAACGGGTTAGTGAAGAGCTCGATAGGCTCATGTGCATTCGACTTGACCGGAGGCAATGTCCTGACACGGGTGTCAGGTAGAGGAGAGTGATCTACTTCGAGAGATGTAGGAGCTGGTGGACTACCGCCGGTTGCCTGCTGGAGAGCATGGGGGTGCACGATGCCATCCATCACATTAAGATCAAGGTCAAAGGACTCTGTCGTGGGAAGTGAGCTTGTGGGCGAGGTCTTGGTATGCTTCCGCCTGTGTTTACCAGCCGGCTTGGACCACTTGGACGGGGAAGTCGAGCTAAGTGGGTGGAAGGAGTCTTGGTCGATATAGGAAGGCAACGAGGGAGGAGAAGAGGTTGATGCGCCAGGAGGCTGTGGGTCGTCCGCATCGAGTCGTGGCTTGCTCTTTGAGCGGCGGAGCATGGAAAAAAGGTTCTTGGACGACTTTGGTTTGCGGAGAACATTGCGCGAAGAGGATGCGTGCTCGTTGTTATACGAATTGGGCGGCGTGAGGGAGTCCGCACGGGAGGACCAGGTGTCGGCGATGGAATGTGAGTCGTTTGTGTTCCTGGAGCCGTGGCGAGGGCTAGTGGAGAAAGACGCCTGCGAATTCTTCTGGGAGATTGGATATTTGGACGACAGAGACGGTCTTGTCGGGGTGGGCGTCGTCGACTGAGGGGAAAGAAAGGGGGAATGAGGATGGGACTGGGAGTGCGGGGAGAACAAGGGGGATGTACTGACCGCGCCCGGGCGTTCGTCGACCCAGACGGTGCGGTCTGGGACCTGGACATCGGACTTGCCGTTGTCTACGGGGAAGAAGTAGGGTCTGTTGGCGGCGTCGACGGCCATCGCAGCGAGCTCGGGGCGCGGATACGACAGTGGCCAAGTTGAAGGTAGAGGAGGACAACAGCCCGTCCTTCACTCCCGTTTGGGCTCCGGCACAGCGGCCATCTTCCGTCGGCCCGGCCCGCTCTCTGCCCTCTGCGCTGAGCTCTAGAACGGACGATCACTTCAAACGCACCAGCAACGATTAACGACCGTGACGCATATCCAACGTCGACCGCAGCTCTTTCCATCTCGTCCATGTCCTCCTCAGCGTCGTCGTCTGCGACGTCGACGTCCTCAGCATCCGCCTCAGCAACCTCCTCCTCAAGCACTCTCCAAGCACCCGCAAGTCTCAAGGTCAGCCATAACCGTCCGTCTCCAGGAACAGACATGTCATTCTCCTTCTGCAGATCGTCGGTATCATCCTCGCTATACTCAGCGGCCTCCTCATAGGCACCAGTTTTGTATTCAAGAAAAAGGGACTACTCAGCTCGCAGGCCGGGCATGTTGCAGGCGAGGGTGTTGCCTACCTCAAATCAGTCTGTACATTCCACTCCTTTCGTTCGCCCAGTGCGCTCACCCTCTCAACAGTGGCTATGGTGGACGGGAATGATAAGTACGCGGGCACTCCATCGCCCACCTATTTCAATGCTTATGTCGTGCTCCAGTGATGATAGCAGGCGAACTATGTAACTTCGCAGGTCGGAAGTCCTCTCACTCTCTCGCCTTCTTAGCTCATATATATCCCTCCAGCATATGCTTTCATCGAAGCTCTCGTGGTCGTATGTCCTCTCGACGATTTCGAGACAAATCATGCATCTCATATCCTTTCAGACCCCCCTCGGAGCAATCTCCGTAGTCGTATCGGCCATGCTTTCCTCCCTTATTCTCAAAGAGAAATTGACATTCTTTGGCTGGCTCGGCTGCGGTCTCTGCATTGTGCGCCCTGCTCACTCTCCATACCTTTCCACCGCCTTACACGTATTTCCATTGTCTGTTCCAGATTGGATCCACGGTCATTGCCCTTAATGGTTCGTATATTCTTTCCCCTCCTCAGCCTCTCTTCACCATCTTCACGCCACAGGTCCCCAGGAGGCTTCCGTAGGCCAAATCACAGAGTTTGAAAAGCTGTTTATTGCCCCGGGCTTCCTGGTCTACATCAGCGTCCTCTTCGCCATCTCCTTCTCCATCATGTTCTACTTCGGCCCCAAGTAAGTCCTGTTCACACACCCGCGTTCGCCGCACCCATCTGTTCTACTCCTCCCCTAACACTGCCTTCATCAGGCATGGATCCAAGAATATGATCTGGTACATCTCCGTCTGCAGTATGATCGGTGGTATCAGTGTCAGTGTCACAACTGGGCTGGGTTCCGCCATCGTCACCACCGCTCTAGGCGACAATCAGGTATGGGCCACACGTTATGCTGCGCACCCTGCGCTTGCCTTCCTCGCGGTGCTGACTGTTGCGGATAGTTCAAGCACTGGTTCATGTACTTTTTGCTGGTTTTCGTGGCCGTGACGCTAGGTAAGCCTCCTGCGCGTCCCGTTGGCGTCTGCTGCCCACTCAATCTGTTTTACTCAGTCACGGAGGTATTTTATCTCAACAAAGCACTGGCTTTGTTCAACACCGGTGGGCCCATCATCGTACTCCGGGTTCAACCTGCAGTGACTGACGCACGCTCACCGTTCCGTTTCATTAGCCATGGGTAAGTCTCGTTTCCGTCGGACTGCGGTCTCCAAAAGCTATGCTGAACACTTCTCCAGTCACACCCACGTACTACGTCATTTGTAAGCGGCTTTCTTCCCCGTCTGCTTCCCCTTCAAACCATCTAACCGATGTACCCATTCCAAAGTTACGTTCTGTTCAATGGTCACCACGGTGGTACGTGCATCACTCACAGCCTCCCAACTATCCGCTATGGCTCGCCGCGAGACCCATATTTGCCCGCTCAATACGCTTTCCACATTAGGTTCTCTTCCAAGGCCTCAAGTCTAGCGCGTCTCAGATTATCACTATCGTCATGGGTTTCGCAACGATTTGCGTCGGCATCACGATCCTCCAGATGTCCAAAGTTGATCCCACAGAACTCAAGACGCTCGACCGGCGCTCGACCATTCTCCTCCAGGCTGCACGACACAACACCGAAGCCATGGACGAAAAGTCCGTCATTGGGATGGAAGATCCGGGCATCGACACGTTACGGGGTTCGTTCGGTACGATGGGAAGCATTATACGTGCACGGAGCGCGAGGAGGATGAGTCAGAATTCGAGACTGTCGGGGAGTAGATTTGGTAGCGGCGGGAGAAGCAGCGATGCGGAAGCGCCTTCTTCACCCATACAGGATCAATACTCTGGAATGAAACGCCATCAGCTATGGGACGCTCCCGTGCCACGGTCGAATTCCTTCCAACTCGCCGGACGTGCTGGGTCCGATCCAGATTTGGAGAGGATGTCGACGACGAGTAGTACGCCCCGAGACCGGAAGCAGACGATCAAGTTTGGGGATCAGGACGTCGTGCATCAGTATCGACCGACTGGACAAGGCGGAAACACTATCGACGACGCGGCCACTCACGAACACCGACTGGCACACCATGGACTCAGTTCGCCGCCTTTACCGCCTTTGCCTGACAGTGCGGCGCGCGACCGGTCCATATCCAGTTTGATTGAGGGGGGGAGTCCGAACGCGAGCGGGTCGAATGTCGCGCTTTATGCGCCGAGCGATGCGGATCCGCCACTGAGGACTGCGCCTGCGAATCTGGGACCGGGAGCGCCTTATGGGCAGTATTCGGATCCGTTCTCGTCAACGGCGTCGAATTTGAGTTCGTACCCTAGTTCGAGCATGGACGACGATGAACGTGAACGGGCGCATTCGCATCGACGGTTATTTGAGAGGGGTTCGACTTCGTCTTCGCGTCGGGACTCGAGTAGGGGCGTGAAGAATTATCCGAAGATACGGGGTTCTGAGGAGGAGGAAGAGAGGCAGAGGTTGGTGGGGGTGAAGAGCGATGATGAGGATGAGTTCACGGGTGGAGTGAGTCCGGCAGATACTCTGGACAGTCAGGCTACGATAGGGGGCCAGGAGGCGATGAGTCCTGAGATTCAGCACATGGGGATTCGGTTAGTGGATAGGGGGACAGGGAGCAGGTTCTAAGGAGTGCTTGGGAGGCAAAGGAGGAGGACCGGATTGTTATGATTATGAGTAACGAATGAACGCGGTCGGTGGTGGTGGCGATGTTATTGCGCGCGATGGCGCACACGGTTGGACTACTACCTTGTTATACATCCTTTCGAACTCTGAGCTATGTATATAATCTCTCCCCTCCTCCTCTTTCCTCGTCGCTCTTGTACATCTCATTTTACTTATTTCTTCTCGTTCGCTCGTTCGCTCGTTCCCGCTTTCTCTTCTTGCTTCTCGCTCTCTTTCTCTGGATTCACGATGTGGAGGACGATTTCTCGTTTTGATCTCTCTGGTACTATACCTATCTCGTCCTGTTGTTGTCTTACCCCTCCCTCTGTGACTCTATCATCACGGCTCACTTTCGTTCTTTCGCACCCTCACTCTCCATCTTTGTCGAGTCAAGCCACATGACGACTCGTGAACTTGCCATTGCTAGTCTTGAGCGGTACAATACACTATTTGATGTACACCCTCGGCCTTCATATCATACTGTAGTTTGTCCCTCGAGCGAATGCATTCTCGTGGTCGTTGACGTTGATCGCCAGTGATTCATGATCTCAGGCGGGCAGTGGGATAAGTATTATAATAGTGAAGACTCAGTCTGGTGAAGACTACTAAAGTATCTCGAGGTTCGTAGAGGTAGGCATAGGTAATAGGAGGGCATAATCGCAGCGTAATATATGGATCTCTAAGTTGATCTATGAACGGGATGCATAATGAAGGAGAGACGGGCATAAACGATGTGTTGCAATAGACATCATAAGTGGCGAAAAGGAGACAGTCTGAAGAGAGAGCAAGTAAAAAGGAATTATTCACGATCTACCAAGAGTCATATCCCTGCTCTAAGTCGCTCGTGCTGCAGTCGTAGTCCAAGTCTTCCGCAGTACTGACATACGGTTCACCAAACACAGTGTCGTACGCCTCCGGGAATGTCTCCTGGATATATTTCCAGTCAATCGTAGAACAGTCAACCGTGGACCAGTCAATCGTAGACAAGTCGAAGTCTTCAGCTTGAGCCTGAGCCTGAGCTGGGTCTTGTGCATGGAGAGCTGATTCGAATTGGGTGTCCGAGTTCGAGTCCCAAGCGGTGTTGATAGAGAGGAAGTAGTCCGCCCAGTGCTTGACTTCTTCATCGGACATTTTGTCGGTGGTCGCGTACAGTTGGTGGTTCAGGAGATCGAGGTCTTGAAATTCAGGCAGGGAGAGTTCGGGTATTTCTTCCTGTTGCAAGGTAGATACAGCCTGGAAAGGTGAGAGCGGGATGAGTGATAGAATCAGAGATAACAGGACTTGGGAAATATAACGTACCTGGCCAAAAGTTCTGTATTCATCCTTGCTCGGAAGGCTAGGAATTTCGAGTGTGGGATAGGGAAGTGTGTCGAGGGTGGGATAGGCAAGCGTGTCGGGGGTGAATTGTAGGTCTGTTGCAGACGGGTATGTAGTGTTCCCATAGTCGCATTGCGTGTCGGGCAGGCGAGGCAGCGGAAGAGAGAACGAACACGCCGAAGGACTGGGAACGAGAATAGGGGCAGCTCCTGGAGCGTCTAATGGGACGTCGAGGGCATCTGGGGGTGGGGTAGAACAAGGAATAGTGGTGTTGGTGGTCGATACGTTGGATATGGTATCCTCGGACGAGCATCGACTAGTCTCCGCCGAGTCAACTCCCCAGCTGTGGTTCGGAGTAGGAGTAGTTGAAGGGCAATCGGCCGATTGATTCGAGTCTTCGGGTCGCTCGTCGATACCTTCCACCCTGCTCTCTGCCTCCTCCTCCTCCGTAGCCCACACCCTCTTCTTTATCCCCTCCAAGCGCTGAAGTCGATATATCTGGCTCTCTTCCTCAGAGGGGTCATGGAGATGCGCTCGTTCAGCGTACGCCTTCCAAACTAACTTGTCGTCTTCCGTCATCTCTCTCCACAGCAAAGAGCTCGCGTTGGGGATGTTCACTCGCCAATTGGTCTTGGCAACATCCGATCTGAAGAGGATGAAAGGATTGCGGCTGGGACGGCGAGCAGAAGTAAAGTGCCCCTTCGTCCGACTGGCTCTCGAGCGTGTGGATCTGACAGGTGCCATTGCGAAGAAAGAGGTGGTGTGGATGTGGGATGATGTGGAGATGGGTGGATGAAGACCTACCGAGAGATGAGACGCACCTTAAATACTGCTGAGGGGCACCGGACATAAAGAGCTTTGTCGAAGAGAAAATGTTGGCACTGCGACGTCGATCTAGTTTCTAGGCTGCTCAAAGAGAAGCGGCCAACGCAATAGCCATGTCGAATATCATGGTGCCAGAGAGCTCACGAAGACTGGCCCGTTGCCAACAACGGACTTATCTTTGTCCTCACAGCCATCGAACGAGCTCGCTTTGTCGCATCGTCCTGCCTTCGATGCACACGATGACAGCCTGCCAATCTCGATCCTCGATACCGTCCGAACGTGATACACAGGATGATAGCTCAGAGTTGACCAGAGAGACAAAGCGCAGCGTTGAGCTATAGACCTCGAGCTGATGGCAAAAGATGCAGCGTGCCTCTTGTTGCTGGATATGGAAGGCTCGACATCGCGGACGTTGAAATTTGAATGAAATATACCCGTCCTTAGTAGCTCAGAACCAGCAAAGCGGCCAAGGTACAGGAAGACGACGAGCTTTGTTGGCCGGAAGCATGAAGTATGAGCTTGGATATTCGTCATCGTTTGCCATGCTCCTCGCCACGCAGTTGCCAGCGGACAGCCTGAGCACTTCCCGAGTCCTGGCGACAATTTTGGGCCTGCAAGTGCCGGTTGACAGCTCCTATGTATGTTGTTCATAAGTTTCTGATTATTGTGAACGAAGCGAGATGGTGTCAGGACTCACACTCAGATCCCTCTTACCAGCTCGCCACACATATGTGGCACAGCGTGGACACCACGCTCAAACTTTGCGCTTACCCTCGAATTCGTCCATTGAGGGTATTGACGAAAGTTGAGCCAACAGCCCAGTATAGAGCTCGTCGGCAGCAATCGAATGTAAAGGGTAGTATTCCAATAGACCTAGAGTCACAGTTAACATAAGCTTCACGCGGTACATTGTGTTGGCCGGAACCTGCACGACATAGGTCAGCAGCAAGGAAAAGAGTCGAAAGGAAGGACGATGGGAGGACGGTCAGTCTCGAGATTTAGACAACTTACGACAGAGAAGAAAGTAGGATACCACATAGAAAATGTCCACCAATTTGAGAAAGAGAAATCGAGAACGAGAACGTAAAGACCGAGAGGAGCACTCTAACGCGTACAAAAGGGGACGAAACAGACCGCGAAGGTAGGAGGTAAAGCATATAAACAAATGTTTGTTCCTGTATCATACGAAAGGTGAGGAGCATACGAGTAGTAATTGAATCGGGGTCAGAGAGGAAAGAAAAGAAAAGAAAGGTAAAGATTTAGGGAATCTACAACTCTTCCGTACCGGGTAGAATAAAAAATCCAACATGAAGGAGAACCGACGGGGGCTGAAACATCGCACATCTAAACAATACAACACCTTGGAGCACCATTCCTGGGCGCGCCGGGACTTCGGTTCCTCAGACGCGCAGGATCGCCTTCAGTGGCGTGACTGCTCTTGCTGAATGTACAGCGATGCGGACACAGTGAAAGAATGCCCAGAGTAAGGCCAGGAATAGGATGGGGATCCAGAACAAGACGAGCATGCGATCCTCTGAAGCACAACGAGAAAATCGCGTCAGCATGAGACTAAACAATTAATACGAGGAGAGAGTTTGCGTTACCTTTCTTCTGCAATTGACGTGCTTGAGGCTTCGCCGGACGGTAGCCATATGCATTCACCTCCTGATCAGTCAATTTCACAGTCTCATACTCCGGCCTCCTGCTAGCAGTGAGACGCTCAGGAACGGCCGCCACATTCGACGGTCCAGCGACAGGCAAAGTCTCCTCCGGTGAATCCTCCACTAGAGCGGCTTTGGACTGACCAGAAGACTCAGCAGGGGCGCCGGTCTCATCGGTCGACCTCGGCGTATACATCGGGGGAGGATCGTAAGTCGGCGCTTCAGCTCCTACGGCTCGCTGTTGCATCAGCAAGCCTTGCATTGTCCACTTCTCCCAGAACGCTCTCCACTCCTGCGGACTGGCCAGAGCGCGGATGGAACCTTTGGGAGATTGATCTAGACCCTCGGGAGCAACACCCTCCACAACACCCTCCCGTTTTCCATCGCCTCGGAAGGAGGTGGGCCAGGGCACATAAACTGGGAAGACCATAGGGATGTTGTTGAGTGCAGCCCAAGGGACTCCGGGCATGTTGGGAAGATGCGGGAGGGGTAGATGTGGCATGAGGCCTTGTTGCGTGGCCTGAACACGAGCGAGCGTACGATGAATCGTTTCCAGGAAGGAGGCGGCTTGTTTCTCGTCGACAATAGCGGGAGGTGGCGGCAGTGCTTTCCCATCTAGCGAAGTGGTGGTGGCGGCAATCTCCGCGTTAGGCTTCGACTTTGTAACTACGTCCGAGTCAGAGGGTTCGGAAGTCAAGGGATCGACCTCACGTCGGACCAGACGTCCAGTACGGCGAATAACAGAGTTGCGAGGGCGAATGTGAATTTCTTCCTCGGACTCTTCTTCGGCGTCGCCCCACCTTGATTCATCTTCGTCGACATCCTCTTCGAGTGAAAGCTGCTCGTCGTCGCCGATATGGTCTAGATCATCGAGGTCAAACGATGCGATTTCCTGCGCCGTCTTTCCAAGCGCGTCCACGATCTCTACATCCGCGCCTGCCTGGATGAGTACCTTCGCACACTCCTTAGCGCCAACGAAACCAGCGACATGCAATGCGGTATACCCGTTCCTGTCCCGTACGTCCAAATCGATTTCGTGCATGACAAGGAACTTGATGAGCGCCGGATACCGCAGGAACGTGGCGACATGGAGCAGGGTCTGTCCGCTTTGAGTCTGGTGCGAGATAGCTGAGGCGAGTGATACCGAGTGCGAGGAGGTTCCCATATTGACGTCGAGAAGGGAAAGAAGCTTGATCACCAGTCTTTCCAATTCTTGGCCAAAGCTGCGCCCGTGAAGCAGAGTATTGAGGTCCAAGGCCAGCGCGTTCGAGACGAAGCTCATGGTGTTGTTCGAGTTAGAGTCCGCGCTACTGTCTCCTGCGGGCCCCACGATACGCATAGCGACACTCTTCGCATCTTCCAACTTGCCAGTCATCTTGAGACCGACGACCTGGAGGGCCAGCTCCATCCTAAAATAGGTAGAAGATGAGTGAGGTTATTCCTAACTGCGATCGTCAGATAACGGGGCAGGCTTACAATGCTCGGTCCGACTCATCCGTATATGTGAACAAACAAGGAGGCGTCCCATCCTCGTCCTTCTCAATTCCGTTAAACCACACCGCCACAACCCCAGAGCATATCCTGGGCGGCAAGATGCATACCAACGTGTTGTCGCTCCACCTTTGCGTCGAACTCGCCACGACGTCCCCGAACAGACAATCAAGCTGTACGGATGGATGGAAGTTTGAACCGAGTACCGTAACTTCAATGCCCCCATATGTCGGGCCTGAAGAAGGTATAAGACGGCTGATCTTCGGCTTGGGTAAGATTGGAACGGGCGGTGGTGGGTCCGAATGGAAGAACATGAACGGCATGGGTTGAAGAGCCACTGGAGCTGCGAGCATCGGTTGAGAGACGGCTTCCGGGGATGAAGGGTCTGACGCCATGAAAGATGAAGGGGAGACAGTGCGTTGGATGGCGGGATCCACCTCGAACTGCCCTTGGTAAGTCTGCATGTCTTCGGAGCCAATACCAGAGTCATGATCGTTCGGAGAAGAGACATGATTGCTGGGAGACGGATTGAAGGACTCCACATGCTGGAAGATGAAGCTGTTGCTGCCGATGGGAGGAGTAGAAGGCGCTGTATGCGTGAACTGACTTGGTGGACCGGAATTGATGAATTGGGGGGTCACGGTCCTCGTGGGTAGCGCAGAACTGAAAGCAGACGGGGAGTTTGAGTGGGCCGCACTGGTCTTGCGAGTCGGTCGCGATCCAGGACCGCCCTTGATTCGCTTCTTGCTCTGCTCCGAAGCATCAGCGAGCTTCCGTTTAACAGGACCCGTATTTTCCGCGCCATCGCCCTGCGAGGAAAATCGGGGCCAGTCGCCGTCGAGTTCGAGGGTCGTGGATGATTTGGAAAGCGCTCCGGTGCTCTTGTGGTCGTCCGTGATCATGATTGGAGGACTGACACCAGTTCCCACGATCCGACCTTGGTGGTCTAGCATTGTAAAGCGGACGTTGAAACCAACTTTCTCCTTGTGATGGCGACAATAACAGGTTATCCGAAGGGGGAGGACGGCGGATCCGGTGGAATAATCGAGCACCTGGGGGCAATTGAATTGAATAATACTAAAGGTACCTCCGGTCTTGCCCTCACAAACGTCGTCAACATCTGGGGATTCGCTGTCAGAACGTGGGGGTCGAACGCGAGCAGCAATTTTGCGGGCCACACGCTTAGCCTGGAAATGTGATTAGCTGTGAAGTTATTGAGAACCGCGACGAGCTTACTTCTCGATTTTGACAATTTGAGCAGCAAAGAACGCGCATGTGCGGGGAAGTAGCACAGTTCACCTCGACCGTTAGGTAGAGCGTCTCCTCGGGCGTAGGTTCTGCAAAGAAGTTGAGCCGTCCTGCTCGATAAAAGATGAGTGGAAGGTACAGACCTATCTTCCCCTCCTTACGCGTTCGTTTCTTCGTCGCTGTGCCCTTTGGGAGCTGCAACCACTTCCACGAGCCTACACGGTCGTACTGACCACTTGACGAACTCGCGTGCGCCAGATCGACAGTGACGCGAACTTGAGTCTCTACGCGAGACTTCGTGCCGGCTGATGGGATGCTCGGCAAGACGACAGGGAGACTGCAGAACTTTTAACATACACGAACTGATCGCAGGTTTTATGAACGTACTTTGAGCATGATTCTTTCGGTGGGTATACCACGGTCTGAGAGGCAGCAGAAACGTTGCGCTTACGAGGTTGCGAGGCAGGAGGGGGGATGGGTTTAGTCTGAGGAACGTGTTCGGGGGCAGGGAGAGTTGTCGGGACCGGGCACTCTTCTTTGAATATCATTTCCGAAGACTGTTCGGGAGATTGTGAAGAGTCCATGTCTTCCGACGGTGAAGAATGTGAAGTTTGGAACGGGAGGTTGCCAGAAGGCGAGCTTTCAATAGACGAGTCAGGACGCTTGCGAAAAAATAACTAAGGTATTTAGGGTCGAAGACGCACTCTTCGTAAACATGGGACTGTATCAGATCATCCAAAGATAGAATGTTTTCGTCCTCCTTTGAGTTCGAAGAAGAGCAGCTGAGGGAGGGGTCACCCCAGAGAGGAGAGGGGTCGCCTGAGGAAGGCTTGTCGTTCTGGAGGGAGAAGTACCAGGAGGTAAGGTCGGAGGGTTCAACAGCGACTGTGTCAAGCGAGTCTGAGGACGCGGGGGTCGCAGGCGACGGCGAGCGAGACGTTGCTGCCGTTGCGGACGACGAGGACATGGTAATGAGGGTTTCACGGTTTGGTAGAAAGCAAGTTAATGTTGCGCTCCTTCTCTCGTTCACTGGCTCACGACCGTGTGCGCCGATTGCCTCATTCAGCTGACGCTGCGGCGTCATCCCATTCGGCGGGATAACTACGTGTCGCTGTCCATTCTTCATGATTTATATCCCCTCTATTTGATGGGCAAATACATGGGGAGCCATACAGCTGAGCTTTATCATACTCAGACACAGATCTGTGGGGAGGGCGCTCCCCAGCTTTCCCAGTCGGGCTCCTCCATTTCGGCCCGTTCCGGCGGTGTCTGAAGGACCACGGGGGCTGCCGTCGGGCGCGTCTCGCGTTCCTCGCGTGGCAGCGCGACGCGTGAACCATCCTTCGAACAATCACTACAATGTCCAAACGGGCAGCAGAAAACCAGCTCAACCAACTCAATTATGACAAAGTCGAAGACGATGTATGCCATTTCTTCTATTGTAATCCAAACATAGCTCACCTTGTATATAGGACAACCCGGGGCAAGGCATCCAGGTCGCAGACGAGGCCACCCTCTCTCAACGAAAGTGCGCACACTCACTCTACGGCTCTAAGTCCATACTCATTCGTTTTCAGGATCAAGGGTCTTCCAAGGCGTATGGCACGCAGTCTAGCGCCCGAACCCTCGCCCACAATTTCTGCTGTGGCGGAGACCGTGCGTCCACCGCTTCATTATTGTCTTCCCTGTTCTGACCAACTGGTCTCTACGTGCAGCCAGCTACATCGTCTATGCCGAAACCCAGCACATTCACAGGTTTCGCAGGTTTCGGCTCATCGAGCACTCCGACTTTTGGCGCCAGCTCTGCTGCACCTTCAACTACTAGCTCCTTCAAACCTCCCGCTTCAAATCAGCCCTCTTTCTTTGGCTCCTCTACTGCTCCATCCGTCTCACCGTCAGCATCGAACGCTACCAAGGCGTTCGCCTCTTTCCTATCGTCACCTGCGCCTGCACCTTCGACTTCTACATCGTCAACAACCGCCGCACCGAAGCCTGTAACCAATGGCAAAAGTGAAGGGCCAGATCCAGCAGCTCTCAAATATTACACCTCTCTCCGCGGCTTGAACACTTCCTTTGTGTCTGCAATCTCAAAAGCGGTGGACAAGGATCCCTTCATCGACATTGCTGACCTATTCGAACAATACAAGAAACACCGAACTTCCGTGCAGAAGGAGTTCGACGACACGGCCAAGTCTGCTCCTTCTTCCTCCGCTCCCAAGACGAACGGCGTGAAACCCGCACCACCGTCTGCGCCTTCGGATTCCTCAACTGCCGATTCTTCTTCCAAACCTTCATCAGCAGCCATGCCCGCACCACCTGCCAGTTTTGCTGGCTTCGGTAACTTGTCATCCACTACAACGACGAAACCTGCCACCTCCACCCCAGGAGGCGGATTTACTCCTGCGAGTGGAACACCTTCTTCGTTCACCTTTGGTGCATCCGCGCCCGCACCCGCACCCGCACCCGCACCCGCACCCGCACCCGCACCCGCACCCGCACCCGCACCCGCACCCGCACCCGCACCTGCACCTGCACCTGCACCCAAACCTAAACCCAACGTCTCTGCAGCCTCATCGACACCTTCCACTACCACAGGCTCTAGCTCTGGCTCCGCGACCTCGAAGCCAATGTCAGGCTTCCAAGGGTTCACCTTCAAAGGCCCCGATTTCAAGGCCGACAGTGCAAATCCGTTCGCCGCACCCCCCAAGAAAGACTCGTCGTTCGCACTGACGATGTTCGGGAACGTTGCTGCTGGCAAGTCTGGTGGTGATTGCAAAGACAAAGAAGAAGACAAGAGCAAGATCGTCACGGAAGCCCCCATAAATCCTTTCACCATCGGCGGCCCCACCACTGGCACCACTTCCAATTTCTTTGGCAACGCCTCGGGTGCGGTGAATCCGTTTGCAGCACCGACGTCGCCTGACAAGAACACCGGGCTCTTCATGAATGCTAGTGCGGGGATGACTGCAGGGTCGGGATCGGCGACTGGGTTGGGATTGGGAAGGCCACCGGCGACGCCGCTGTTTGGAGGGTTCGGGAAGCCGCCGAGCGGGGGTGGAAGTATTGGGAACCCGGTAGGGTTTGGGTTCGGGTCTCCGAAGGCGGATGAGAGCTCGACGGCGGAGAAGAGCAAGAGTGGGTTTGCGTTCGGTGGCTTCGGTGGCGGTAGTGGTAGTGGTAGCGGAAGTGGATTCAAGGGATTCGGTTCGCAGGAGAGTAAGACGAAGACGGATGCGGAGGGCAAGAGTGAAGAGGCTAAGGGTGAACCGTCGGCGGCGGAAGGGGCGGATGCGACGACGGATGATAGCACGTCGTCCAAGGTTACGACTCCAATAGACCACGACGCGGAGGGCGCGGGAGAGGAGGACGAGGAGACGACATTCACCACGAAGGCCGCTGTATACAAGTTGTCGAAGGATAAGGAGGGTGTCCTCAAGTGGGCGAATTTGGGTACTGGTGAGTAGCAGAATTTTCGTTGTTCGCATCCTGCGTGTCCGCTAAATTAGGCTGATGGTGTCCCATAGGTATGCTGAGACTGAAGAAACACAAGGAGACGAGCGCGAGGAGGATTCTCCTCCGAAATAGCTCGACCGGCAGGATTCTTATTGTGCGCCCTCTTTCGTCGTTTCGTTTCTTCAGTTCATCTGATTCTAACTCTGACCACCCATACAGAACACATCTATCCGAAAGAACATCGAGCCGAAACTAGAACCCAAGCTCGACAAGGACAAGAAGGTCGTATCATTTACTGGCCGGGACGAGCAGGGTCTCCCAGCATCTTACAAGATCAAGGCACCTACCCCAGCCATCGCGGAGGAGATCCAAGATGCGTTGGACAGGGAGATTGGACTGGCCGAGTCGTAATTTGCTCGCATGTTCTGTCTTGATATGTGCTTGATTTCGTTGTGGCGATCGTATCTGGGGCCAACTGCTTTGACCTTTTCCTCTCTCTCCGTCTCTGTTCTCTTGCATTTTTCTACATACCTACAGCATAGTGTTCCACCGCTTGTCTGTGACAAAGGCCTGACACTCGTGGTATGAGCGGGTTGTATATTTGTTGTGGCGTGTCAATCAAATACGTGTCCAAACATAGTAGAGTCGTTTCTTTGTCTTTCGCTGGAGGTGATGGCCGCTGGATCCATGGACAGAGCGTGCCAAAACCTAGGTGCTCGAGCATGGAACGTCGACAATCGTGCGACGTAAGTGTTGGAAACCAAAGGTCCCGCACTAGGAGACGCGAGCTCTTGGATCGCAAGCACAGCTCATAAACGAGCTGCAAGGCTATGGATGCCATTGTATATGCAGAGATTGTTCGACTGTCTATGTATAAGTAGGATGAGTTCGAATTTCGGACTTTGATATCCCCCAAGAAATTACACTCCGGATGGTACAACTTTTCCTTTGATAATGCACAACGCCAGAGAGGGGAGGCTGGAATAAATAAAGGGGCGGATATGGACGAAAGTGCGTTAAGCCAATCTGAAAAGGATATCGATATGAGAAAGCAGACGGCTCCCGATGATCATTTGCCCGTAAAATGGCTCTGCGCGTTGGCCCATATCGAGTTGAGGACGAAGGCTTGACTGAGGAGCATCTCGATCTCGTGGTCCGTCCAGTCTTGCGTGGGTAGAGATTGGAGAAACATGATGATGCCCTGTTTGTTTTTCAACGTAGGTCGAGAATGTGTTAATGCAAGGACGGTTGGGTGAGGCTGGTAAGGCGTACCTGAAAGTCCATTTCGCGTAGTTTGTCACTCCAGCGGACGAGGAAAGCAGAGCAGACGTATAGGTGGAATTGTGAGAATGCGTCCGTCCCTTCGGCCTGTGCGTCCCAATCCACTCAATCAGCCATATTCTCACGAAGCCACAGAAACAAAATGTGCCTCACCAGATAGGTATCCCACATCCGAATGGTGTTTTTCACGCTGATCTCCCGCATCAACAAACAGTTCATCCACCTGAACGCAAACTGCATAAACTCGACTCCCTGCTTCCCCAGATGCTCATACAAGGGTACATCAATCCTGGCTACCAGTTCTGCCATGCGTTTGACAGAACGTTGTATACCTGGCTGAGAAGCGATGTAGTTGTCTTGAATTCCATCGAGGAGACGGGACAAGCACCAGAATGAGTCGGCTTCGAGGGCTGAGAGGACGTTGGGAGGTAGATGTGCTGGGTCGAAATACTCAGGATCTGAGTCTGATGGTAGTGATGAACGTAAGTCATATGGTATGGCAGGCATCGAACGAAAGAGAGGAGGGGATGGGCTGCAGGACGAACCGATATAAGCTCCGAGGAAGACTTGAAAGAAGGGGGTAACGAGATCATTGATGCCTTGCACATAGCCACTTGCAGGATGTCGGATGGCCCATACGTAGAGTATTCGTTCTAGACACTATGACAGAGGTTCAGGTGGATAGTCAGTGCGACGACAAGTCAGGGCTACATACCCGTTGTGTTGATGCATGCATCCACAATGGCACACCCGGTCTCGTACGCGGTACATCGATTTCGATTTGATGCCATATTTGCTGGTCAAGGCCTTCCCGTCCACGAGCGAAGGTCAACTCAACCAGAGAAAGGTATTCGCCTCGTTTTCGTTGCAAGACAGAGGAGCGTGCTGGAGATGGGAGGGGAAGATAACCCTAGTAGGGAAAGGAGACATGGACGGTAAATAACTACTGCAGGTCAAGGTAGAGAGAGACTCACGAGAAGGAGTTGCCATGCTAATGGGCGAAGATCATTGGGCACACCTTGCCATGCCAATCTGCGTAGGTCAGCTGTGGCGAAGAGTATGAGTGGCGTAAATATACAATGAAATATACTGAACGCACCCATATCAACATCCTCACGAAGTAGACACTGCACAAATTTATTTCGACGATTTGAGCGAATGGACCGATCGCGCAGCAGTTTCTCTGGGGATTCCGGGCGCCCCTGATCGCGCGGAGGAGATCTTGACCTTGAACGCAGTGGAGAGTAGGATGAGGAAGAGTGCGCTCGTTTTGTGGATATCCTTCGGATGAGATGGAGTGGATCTAGAGGATGAATGAAGAGTGCAGGGAGGAAGTGAAGAAGCAGATAGACATACCATTGACGATCTCCTCCGCATCCTCGCGAACGGTACTAATAGGCATGGACTTCATGGACGTGAACGGTTCTGAGAAATCGGGATCCATGTCTCCAACGACCATCTCGCCATCAACATCATGAACCTCCTCTACTTCTCCCTCGTGAGGCTTCCCGACGGCACTTGTCTCCTTGCCCTCTGTACTAGACCTAGATGATTGCTGACCAGATTTCTGTACCAGTGTCCATCCGTTCTTCGACGGCCTCGCTGCGGTTTGTTCCTGTTCCTGTTTTGGTGGATACGAGCTGGGTGCTGAAACATGGGTGTACGAGAAAGCAAGGGTCGATGATGAGCTATTACTTGATGGACGGGGAACGTTGACCGCTTTGGGAGAAGAGGTCAATGTAGAGGCCGGTGGAGAGCGTGGCCAAGCGCCTGCGGTTTGTGTGTTCGTCGATGGAGAGTCCGAGTCTGAGCCGGAGTCCCATGCATCTTCTTCAGCCCAGGAGTAGGAAAGATACGAGGACGGGTTGAGACCGATATGCGGTCGTGTCGGCGGAGGGCGGGCGGTCATCGTGCAAGACGTCTTGCTCGTCTCTCGCCACGATTGCCTTCAAGTGCCTCTCTCACCACGGCACTCCCCGGGGTCCCTTCTCAGGGTATATAATCCTGCCTTCCTCGCTTTTCTTCTTCTTCCACAACGCACCTCTAGTCAAATTACAGGCCTCGTCTCTCTTCCTCGACGGGTCTGTGCCAAAACAGGGCGGACAACAATTTCGGTCGTCTTAGTGCTCGATGCTCTGTGTCACGCTTGCCTGTCTGTTTTTTCAAGAGAGGGGAGCAGAGCCGGTGGTTCGTACATTCTCTGTCGTGTTACCTTCCGTCGCGTTCGTATCTTGCAATATACTTTGTTCTTTCGTACATTTTTCATATCTACGAGTGCGATGGATCCATCACTGCCAAGGTAGTCAGGCAGGAATCAGTCTTCCACTTGTGACTTATGCGAGGTAATTGAGGGGTGGTCAATGTGAATGAGGAAGAAACCTAATATGTACCAGGAACGTACGAAAGCGATATCCGCAGTAGGCAGCCCAGTGAACAATGATTCGCCGAAAACGAACACGACGATAACCAAGAACGAAAGCATGAAGAATGAAAGCATGAGACATAGCAACAACGCATACCCAGAGAAAATAAATCGTGATGGTCATGATGGGTCGTACAACAGAACTCTACTTGTACACTGAACCGGCCGACAAGATGTCCTTTGCTGAGTATGAAGGTGAGGTATAAAAGGCCATGACCAACGAGAGCCGAAGGAGAAAAATACAAGATACAACAACCTGGGGGTCACCCAACCCATTCACTCCGTAATTACACGGCGTTTGGACCGGTCCCTCAGCGTATAGGTGAGGAAGTAATCCAACGGAGCATCCGGATCTATATTTTTGAAGCAGTCATCCGAAGCCCCGTTCACCCTCTTGTCGAACCGCGCCTTGCCCGTCGCTGTGTCCCGAATCCAAGCCCTGGACTGGCACCTGCGCAATGAGATGAAGAGTTTGAGGCTGGAGCACGCGTTCATCATAGCTTGGGCGTAACGCTGCGTCTTGTCGAAGCTTTCTTCGTCGTCGTCCGTGTCGATGGAGAAGCCGGAGTCGGTCGTGTCAAAGTCCTCGTCTTCGTTGCGCGAATCCCACAGCGGCGCCCAGACGAGGACTTCCAGCTTGTGGAGATACTTCCCGATGACGTCTTTCAGACGCTTGTTTTCTCCGCGTGACTGAGAGAATCGAGAAGACCGGTTAGTAAACGCCTCGGAGATCAACGAACGAAATGAGGAACTTACGAAATCGACTTCGTCGTAAATGGCGAGGTAACGCAGGTGAGGGGCGCTCGGAGCGAAGAGCTTGACCATGGACGAAATGGAAGGAAACTCATCGACGACGGGCCCCGCCAGCCTCGACAGACAGAGACATCTCAAACTCCCCCCCAGGGGCGCGATTGACCGAGCAGCGGCGTACGCGTCCACGACGGACAGGTCCCAGATCTTGACTAGGAGATGAGTAATCAAGGGATATGGCGCCTTCATCCCCCACAGAGTATGTGGTGGAACATGAAGGGTATCAAGTTGTGTGTTTTTGGTCGACATTTCCGGTACGGAGTCCGCGTTGGCCGGAGCGCCACCGACGTGGATGAACTCGCGCAGGTACGGCTGGGTGCTCAGGAAGTCGACGAGCCCTTGACCCCATGAGAAATGGCAGCGGTAACGTTCGAGTATGAATGGAACATTGTCGAGGACCCAGTAATCGTTTTTCCCGACGACCCAGTCCGCCGTCCTAAAGACATTCTTGTCGAATGGCCCCTCACTGATTGCGAGATCAGTCAGGTTGGGGAGTAGTTTCAACATCTCAGCGACGAGTTCGGTGTCGCCAGGTTGTTTGGGACGGTGCCCGGCGGCGGTGAATTCGAGTCGACGAATGAGTGCTCCAAGGGCCGGACGGGAGATGATTGCTTTGCAGAAAAAGAGGAGTCGAGAGTGAGGGACGTTCACTTTGGTGTACATGATGCGCTCTGTTTCAGTTCTCCAAGTTCGACAGACCCGAAGGAGGATGCAGGTCCTGGCGAGATAGCTGTCATAGGAGTCGGCAACATATTCGATGATTGGCCGGTAGAGCTCGAAGGGAATTTGTGGGGAGATCGGTGTAGTCATCGCTGGAGGAAACCTGGAAAGGGAGTCAAGAGAAGCCATTGCCGATGTCAGTATTCTGGGCGTGGAGGGAAGTCAGAGAGAATGATGACTTCAGAGGCGCACCGATGAATGATCAGAGCTCAGGGATGGTCGAGGCTTAGGCTTCGCGTTTCAAGCTATTGTTCCGACATTCAGCAGATTATATCGAGAAGGGGAACGAGATGGGAGCGATGGACATGATGAACAAGCAAGTCAGACGCATGCTCAACAGTAAAGGCATATAATACGCACGTACTTCGGAACAGTTGGGTCTGGCTGCGTGGAGGGCGGGGGTGTTGGGTGACCGAGAGAGATGGGCGTCCTTGCGACTGTCTCTTATATCATGCGAGGGCCCGAGTCCAACGTGGATGTCGATGAGCCAGGACCTGGGACAAGGCGAGGAATAGGGCAAAATAGGGATCCATAAGAGATACAAAGGACGGGAAGCACGGCAAACGCGCTACAGAAGAGAACCCAAAGCCCTAGAGCGCGACAGGCTTAGATAAACCCACCATCTGTTCACTTTGTTGTTGTTCTGCTCTCACCTCACGAGGTCAGGAAGCCTCCCTGCCGGCACTCATTCCGCAGAAGAGATCTGATTGACGCCGACTGCCTATAACATGATGTACGAACCGTGGCCATTTCAGTACTATTTTACCCACCAGAAGGAAGATGAGATGTCTGCATTGATAGAAGATAGGTGAACTTCAGCATGACTATCCTGCATCCTATGCACATTCGAGCCAGGCTTTACGGTAGCATGGTGTGTTACCGTACACACCTGAGAAACGAAGACTGAGTAGCCGGGAACCCTTCAATTCTTCACTTCGAATGATCCAGTATCGGCTGCGGTGGCTAGTGCTGTTTAGCGCTGAGGATATGGTAGATGCTGGGAAGAGTTAAAGATGAGGGATACGCTGTGTGTAAGTTCCCACAGCACCGGTGCGGGTGTTTGGCCAGGGCCATTCAGCGTTCAGTGGCTGCCCTAGAGCGGATACCAATCAACGGTGAAATCTAGATGCGAAGATTTTAGGTACCATCCTGGCGTCCTTGATTGCTTTTTGCACGAGGCTCACCAGATGTGGTTCCTTCTGAGTTGTAAACAATTTTTGCAGATTTCTCCACTTGAACGCCACGACGGGCCGTGGCGTTCAAAAGGAGTCCGAGGACGAAACCGGCATTGCCGAGGGACCCTGAGGTTCGTTCATCACTGTTCATCCTGACCAGCTTTTCGACGTACCATTCCTGCATTAAGCTTCTGCTCTGTTCTCCAGCTTACCGCTGGTTCATCGGACGAGGCGATCCGGTGCAAAGAGTCGTTTAGAAGATGAACATCCTGCATTTAGTCCCCGCGAACCAAATTGGCAATTGGCACCCCTAATGTGAAAAGTCGATGACAAGCACCGCCAAATGGTAATCCGTGAAAATTTGTCGGCCTAACGACCGGGCGACGAGCTCGCTCTTTCCCCCACCATGTTGTGTTGACGACTTCATAGAGCCTTCGTTAGCGATCCTGGTTTGAGCGTACATTCTCTCGTCTAGTTTTGGAAGTTTCTGGCTTATTCACGGTATGAATCTCGGTTTTGGTGCTCATGTGTACGGTGCTCACCAACCGTCGGTCTCCATATATAGCGTACAAAGGACTTCGCCAGATCTGTTGTTGGCTCTTTTCTTTGCGCTCGAAGCTTACTTTCGGTCTTTCCACCATGCTCATGGAAGCCACCAAAATGTACTCCTCGATTGATCCTCCTCAACCCCAAGCTGGTCCTTCTTCCAAGCCTATTCGAAGGTGTCCACAAGCTCTCTGTGGTCACGCTATATTTCCTCCAAAATGGAAGTATGGCATATGTCCGACTTGCTTGGAGCAATTTCGCAACCCAACGAAGGCACAACAGGATGAGGCTCGCGCGAACGCGTCAAGGGCAGAGAGAGATTATAGGGGAAATAGTGCCGTAGCTTCAACGTCGAGGAATACGGACAGTAACGGGTACATGTCGCGTCCAGCTCTTGTAGTGGTGAGTTTACTATCGTTTTTCGCATGTGCTTCGTGTACTGCTTGCACATTTGCTATGAATCTCATGTTGCCCCTAAATCTCAGCCGTCGATGCCTCCGACCGTCCAATTGGCCCAGTGTTACTTCTGCACCACACGGATTATTGTGCCAATCGGCCACCATCCTTCTTCCGGACCGTTGGTCTGCGAGACGTGTTTTGCGTTAGCAGTTGTCCGACATCGAGAGCTCCAGCGTCAGCAAGAAATAAATCATTCGCCAAGAATACCCCAACAACCTGTCGTTCCTCCCGCCGTACCACATCTGCCGGCTTCGTACACGACACTTTCATTACCGGGCCCTCCAAACTCCACCGACGCTCCTCCACCACAGGTCACTACAACAGGTCATCAGCGCAGACATTCGATTGTCTCTGTTCCACCGGCAGAGCTCCAGGTGCGTTTCTTCGCACTGCTTCCATATTGGTGCCTCTATTCATACCTAATATCAGAGCCCTGAGCCGGAGGGTACGGCTTGTATATCTCGGTCCGTTAGGAGAAGCCATGAGACCGAAGGAAACACCAACGGCGCTTATACGGAGGTGACGATTGTTCCTTTGTTTAGGCAGCATTGGCGCTAACTCGCTAGTCTCGCGCAGCCCGCTACGGTCCTGCCGATTCCTGATGATGATATAAATCTCGACGGCCTGGTTCTGCAATACCCTGAAGTACGAGCTCACACCGTCGTTGCATCTATCCGTCTTGTCTCGAACTAACTTTTTCTTTACTTATAGGACGATGCCTTTGTACAGGACTCTTCGGACTTCCCCATGCTTGACGGCACCATGGACGCTGCGGTCGAGGCAAGCAGCGCACTTCCACCCCACTCCCAGTCGTACGACGCCCCAGAGGATTGGGGTAGTATGTCTGAGTTGACAGAGCTTTCTGACCTTGATTCCGATTCCGATTCCGACTCGTCTGATGATGTAAATGTTTTTCTTTCCACCGATGATTTCGCGTTCTCACACGATTTCTAGGTGCCACTATCTAGTATGCATCCTAACAGACCATCGGGCTTGAAAATTCGGCTTCGTATCCCTCCCGGATTTCGCTTCGAACAGCAACCCAGAATCTGTGCCCATCATTCTTGTAACTTGCCCGTCAAGCCCGGTTCCCGGTGGAAGCTCTGCGATTCCTGTCGAGCTCGATATCGACAGTACCAACGTCAACGCCTTGGTATCAAACGACCGCGCCTGGATAACAGTGAGGATGCCCAAATGTTGGGCGACGACAAGGTACGCCAGTTCTAGTTGCTCATCGTAGACGCCAGATTTTTACCCCCAACCGCTAGGCTATCCCTGATCTTGGTGTAAATTCTCGCAAATGTAGCGTCAAACACTGCCATAGACCGTTGCCGCCAGAGGGCGTTTATCATTGGAAGTTATGCTCCCAGTGTCGCACACGTTCACGTGCACAGAACAAACGCTCTCGTGCATTCGGGATACTACGGTCGGCAGAGGGAAAGACAGAAACCGAAATAAGGCGAGATGGCGGTTTGGCTCGATACCTGATCTCGAACTTCAAGAGGCAGAGCAAGTTGCGAAAGAAGTTAGGATTTGATGATACTAGCGGTGGCGAAAGCAAGACTGAGGTCTGTATTCTGCTCACTCACGGTCTCCCTTCGTTAGCATATGCTCAATCTACTCCATCTCAGAATAGCGCAGACAGCGGACGTGATCTCGATCCCAGTGCCTTGGATATCCCAGATGTCAAGGTACCAGAAGTAACTGTCGGGATGAAGGTATGTCCATGACGATTCGCCATTTCACGTATGTGCAGTCGTTTACACCAGTTTCCAGAGTCCCACGGCAAGCTTCCAAGATCTCAGCGAGTTACTGGGGACTATGCGAGCATATCTTTCCGATTTCTTGCACGCACAGCTCCAGTACATATCCCTTCGCAAACTGAAGGATGGAACCATAGAAGAACCACTGGAACCTTTCATCTTCTCCTTTGATGGAGAGTTTTCGATCTGCGCGCAGAACGCCCTGAAAACCGAGCAGACTCTGGTTCGGGTGGCGCACCTGATGAATGAGGTTCGGAGCACACTGGCGATTGAGTTCAAGTGAGTGATGTTTTATCTATTCACCAAATATCGTACTGATGTGCTCCCACCAGGCCCATGGCGCCTCCGATCCTCCGCGAGGGAGAACTCATCGCTCCGTTCGCCTGCATGCATACCTTCGCATTACCTATTCCAGTCTTCGACAGCGATATCCTTCAGACGCAGCAGAAAGAAGAAAATGGACAAGCCTCACCGGTGCTGGCATCTAGCTCAGAACAGGTCGCCGCACCGCGTGTCAGGTCAGAACCCCCCTGTTCATTGGCCTTGAACGCCGAAGATTCACTACGCTCTCGGAAACATCCTCCTCGTTTTGCCTCAGCCCCGCCGTCAACCGTCTCAGTTATGGCTTCATCCGCCTCAACGTCAGTTCTTGATGTGAATGAGGTCGATCAATCCCTCGGTGCTGAGAGTCTCTCGGTCGACCCGCCCTTATCACCTACACCGCCAAAGGAGCCATCTTTGCCCTCTCCGACTACTCTTCTTGAGGCCAAGCCCGTGACGGAGGCAATGCTTCCGCTCTACCACTCGCCGACCTCACCGATAATTCCACCTCTTCAACCGCACTATTCATCCATACCAGGCTCACTAGTTGCGGTCGCAGAAAGCGATCCCTCAACGTTCGAGGTTCAGATGGCGGAAGTTACGGTCCCAGGTGGCTCAGCCACTGTTGAGGTTCCGTCTGAGATTGTCAACGAAGGAAATGCGAATGTAGAATGTGATGAAAAGACTTTCGGTTCATCACACAGCAATATCCCTGTCTTACCACCGGCTCCCGACACCGATTCCGATTCCGACTCTTCGTCCGAAGAACCCTTAGCACGTCGTCTGAAATTGTTCACCGCGAAACCCAAGGACCTGACCAAAATCATGCTGCCCACTTCCACGCAGTCGTACGGTCATGGTCCCATTCCCGAGGCCCTTTCCTCACCAGCATCGCAGACGATCTTGCTCCCAAGGAAGTTGTCCGGAGAACTCGAGATCCGAGTCGCGGAGGATTGGAGTCATCCTTTCCTTGCGGGTCAGCGGACGACCGTGCGGTTGCGTTTGTTGGGTTGATCATTCAGTCTTCTTCATTCTTATTGCGCGGGAGGTTTCTTTACTCCTTGTTACGAGATCATGATTCCACTTAAATGTTTTCCTTGCATTTTTGCATATGCACTGTTTATGCCCTGCTTCTGCTCTACCTTTTATTTGTCATTGACACCCTTGCTGGGAGTTCGCTGGACGGTGTACCTTATGATTCAGTATGTCCATGCTTATGCGTATGGCTTTTGCCCTTGTATCTTATCAATGACCATAGTATTAACGAAGTCTACAACCTCGAGTAGGGCCTCACGAGGATACCCTCTGTCGAATATGTTGTGCTACGACTTCGAATACGCTTTGAACCTCGTCGAGATATGCAGTAGAATTCTGGTCGCTGACGTTCCCTGCGGGAACATCTAAGGTGAAAGATGGCCCGTACAAGGGAAACGCGCCATGATCGGGTATGTGGGTATCGAGAGGGATTCTTCTACCACACTGAGTAAGGATGTTAGGTGCGGAAATCAGTGACGAGCAAACGGGAAGAAATGCATACCGCTATTGATGTGAGGTATGCCCATGCTCGCGCAGTGTTAGGTGTATTATATCCCCCTAGAAAAATTATAGTCGGTGAGCCGCGTTGTACGGATCGATAATCAAAAAAAAAGGTAGATACCAACCTCCACCAAGCAGCAGAACCTTTTTCTGCCACTGTGTCACAACTCGATGGACACACCAGCCCATACCTCCTTCACCACCCAGCTCCCAATTCCATACCTTACAGGGATCACCCGCCAAACCATCCGCGCCACACTGGAGAATCACAAAATCCGGTTGAAAGGCGTCCTTAATGTCTTCGACAGAGTTCCATACTCGAGCGACCGTCCGAGCAGAGGCACCGGCATGGAGCGGAAGCGATAGCGTGAAGGGGTCAAAAGAGGGATCAGAGGGATCTGGGAGAGACGAGAGAGAAGAAACGGGGAAGAACCCAGGAGATGCATGGTGAAGAGAGAACGTCAAGATCTGCGGGTTCTTCGTGGAAGATGACTCGACGAATGCAGAGGAAACGCCATCAGAGAAATGCAGATCGAAGTCGAGGTATAATATACGAGCTTTTCGTTTCCCCGGGCTCAGATTTTTAAGATCAATAGGAAGGCGGCAGCGCTTGAGGACGAGGAGAGCGAGGACGCAGTCGTTGACGTAGCAGAATCCTGATGCTTGTCCTTTATGGGCATGATGCCTGTCGACAAGAAGTATCAGCATTGTATCAACCCTTTCGACCACGTCTGAGAGATGCTCTTTCCTTCCACCATCCCAGCACATGGAGACGTCACATATTCCATTCACGAGAGCACGGGCAGCAGTCAAGGAAGCCCCTGCCACCGCCGACGCATATTCTGACAGTCCCCGAAAGGGAGGGCAGTCCTGTGAGGAACGCTTAGTACTATTGCAGGATATCTATGATTTGAAAGTCTAACAAACCTCTTCAAGACCGAAGTCTATGCCAGCTTGACTATGAGTAGGGTTTGAAAGAGAATTGTGATTCTCAGCATTGAGAAGGAAATCGACGTAGTCCTGCCGATGATAAATAGCTAGCTCTTCTCGGGAAGCGAGCGGAGGTCGCAAAACTTCGACATGGGGGAGGAATTCAGACGTTTCTGGTGGTTTGCGAAGTAGACCAAGGGCTGTGATAAGGCCATGCACGACCAAGGAGCGGTTTCGGTTTGAAGGGAGCAAAGACGACACCTTCCCCAAAAAGAATTAAATTAAAAAAGTGGTCAATAACGCACCGAAAGATCGAGGGCATCCTGTAGCTGTACTAAATAAAGCGTATGCACACCTTTGCCAAGTGTTCCGAGGCAACGTAGCAGATGCGAGCAGGTGGAGAAGAGGGTTCCTCAACCTCCATTTGTGGGGAGTTGCACAGAGCCCAAGAGTCAAGACGCTTACTGGTAAACGATAGTACTAGTATATTTCTGAGTATAAGGGAGTGTTTAGCACGCTACCCGCGTTCAAGACCAGGTTTTCCTTGGTGGGCCAGCGTAATGCGGCGAGTAGCATATGAACGAGTACTTCAAGTTGGAGGAAATTAACAAGGAGGGGCCACACAGGGCCACACAAGGTTACGCGGAGTTTGATCACGCCGAAGGAGGTCATACAGTCCGACATTCCTTGCCTCCTGCCACCACCTTTGCACGGTCTCACCTACTCTGGTCCTGACCTATATAGCTCAGCTTCCGCTTTAAGACACAAAGAGGGGGTATTGGAAACGATTATGCTATGATTCTGCCACCAACAGCATACACAGGGCCTCTTTCATGTCAGGACTCCAGCTACTTTGGTGCGCCCAGCTTCACCCTTTGCCGTGAATGTCATCCAACTCATGTACGGGTTGTCAGGCGTACGAGCTCCTGAGATGCCTACCACACCATATGCTACCCTTCCTCCGTCTAACGTCTTTGCCGCAGAGAGCTCCACTCCGTCTGTTCGGTATGTACATTGCTCACATTTTCTCGCACTCTTCCTTATCTACTCTAAGACCGAAGGCGGAAACCCCAATGATCGCTGGCATAGTTTGTGGCTCTTGCGTAGGATTAGCCTGGATCATCATATTCTCCATGTGGCTGCTCAAGCAGCACAAGAAGAGAGTTGCCCGGCGTAAAGATCCCGAAAGGGTCGCCCTGCGCGAGGCTGAAGCTCTGAGGGAAAAGACAGGCCATACGACGTTCATCATTCCTCCAGATCCTGCCGTGATAAATGGCCAGCGTAAGCCAGGAGAGTCAGCTTTTCAGGATGATAGGAGATCATCGAGCGGGGCAGAGCGACTGGCGGATGTCATGGAGGGTGAGGAGGTTACATCAGCGAACGATTTATATGCTAAGCACGCCGGTAAACCATCGAAATGTGTGTTCTCTTTTTTGATCTTCCTGGGGACAGTATGCTGATTACCTGACAGCATAGTACCGTGGACTCTCGCGTCGATGATATAAGATCTTGCTTAACAGTATCGCTCACGAATCTTTCGCCAGACATTGTCACATCTACACTTCAGGCTATGTATACGTACAGGTAATATGGTCCTTAATATGTACTTCCTTCAATCGGTGTAAGCACCCAGACTGGCCGGCTGTGGGTGCTGTCTGTCAGAATATATCTAGAGAACGGATACTGGGAGATACTCACAGCAACATCCCGCGCATATTTATAGAGTATGCCCCGCTTGACAATGAGCTGGCCCTTATCTGTGCCTTCCCACTCCTTCCTGCGCCTTGCCTTCTCGGCCTCATCGACGTCCCAGTCAATCACACGTCTGTCCGAGTCAATGACAATCTTGTCTCCGTCCTTCACGAGCGCAATAGGACCACCTTGAGAGGAAAACAAGAAAGTGTAAGCCGCGGTACGTTGTGGACGCACCCAGAAAGACTAGCAAGCAGAAATATGAGCCTACCTTCCCTGGCCTCGGGCACGACATGACCTGTGACGCCAAAAATGCTGTTGTCAGTTATCGAGTGGAAACACGGGGAGCAAGATGATTGTCCTAGTAAGTCCTCACCAATGATGAAGCCTCTGGATGCGCCACTGAAACGCCCATCCGTGATGAGAGCCGTAGACTTGCCCAGTCCAGCACCCATGATCGCACTACAGACCAAATCAGACCAAGGCTCGAGCGTGGCGTAGGATCAGACTTACCCGGTCGGACCTACCAAGCAATACATCAATGAGGTCTCAAATAAAAGTCAAGAAAGTGGGTACTACTTACCGAGCATCTCGGGCATGCCAGGCGCGCCTTTCGGACCTTGGTACCTGAAGATGAGGACCATACCAGGTTGGATTTGGCCATTCGCCAGAGCCGGGTAGAACCCATCCAAGCTGTCAAAACATTTTGCCACACCCTAGCAAAAGCAAGGTCAGAGCAACACGATCTCATCCAAACACAAGTCAAATTTACCTCAAACCTCGTGCCCTCCTTCCCCGTCAGTTTTGCTACAGCGGCTCCAGGCGCTAAGCCACCCCTCAAGATCGTCAAATGTCCCGTGGCCTTGATCGGATTGTTCAGAGGTCTCACCACGTCCTGGTTGGAGAAATCGGTTTCAGGGACGCCCTCAAGGTTTTCAGCAAGGGTGCGGCCCGTGACGGTCATTTGGGTGCCGTCGATGAGGTTGGTGTTTGCGAGAAGGTATTTGAGTAGACTGGGTATACCGCCGACCTACGAATGACGCGCGGACTTAGCAGAGATCCAGTCTTGGAAATTATGGTTCCCTATGTCACCTTGTGGAAGTCCTCCATGAGATACTTTCCGGATGGCCTAGAAAAAATAGGGAAGAATGAATAATATGCCTTGTGAAGCATGATGATGAATCGACTACTTGAGATCGGCTAGGAAGGGAGTACGGTCTGCGACTTCTTGAAAGTCGTCAATTGTAAGGGGAATATCGGCCGCCCGGGCCATGGCGAGTAAGTGAAGGACCTATGGAAAACGAGGGTGAAAACCTGTATGACATGAGAGACGAAGAACGTACCGAGTTTGTCGAACCGCCCAGTATGTTGACGATCTAATCGAACCTTGAGCAGGAAATTTCTGCAACCAGACGACAACCGACGAACCGTGATTGCATTGAGGAAAGACTGGCGGGTGAGGATGTCCCTTTTCTGATATGTCAATAATCTATACATCATTGGCCTTCAGGCTAGATCGAGAGAGTCTACCTTGGTTTGAGATCCAACTCCAAGAGCTTCTTCATGAACCCAGCTGCCCTGATGCACTCCTTCACCTTGTCCGAGTAAGTAGCAGGTATACTTGCGGAGTATGGAAGCGAAAGCCCGAGGACTTCGAGAGCTGAGCTCATGGTATTCGCACTGTAGGACAGGTTAGACGAGTCTCATAAAGAGATCTCAGCAGTATACTGACGTGAACATGCCTCCACAACCACCAGGACCTAACACAGAGATGAGTCAATCAGTGCTCCCTGTAAAGAATGAGACCACCGTGTACCTGGACAAGAATGTCTGACTACATCAAATCGCTGCGCCTCTGTGATTTTGCCTACCGTGAATGCACCTGAAGGGAGCGTTTGTATCAATTTCAAGGCAATGAAAACAAGATGCATCATACTACTTGCCGTAAGACTCGAAGGCATCACCGACATTGACGTGGTCTCCTTTCTTGTAACCCATTGCAGGACAATCTTCATGCCGCACACCGGGCTATACGAAACTTCTAGCAGTCTGCGCACGCAATTCATGGAAGAACAACGTACTTCGATCGTTCCACCGTACACAATAATAGTGGGTCGATTGTGGCGCGCAGCTGCTATGGCGCATCCGGGCATGTTCTTATCACATCCGGGGATGGAGATATTTCCGTCGTAGTGCTGGGCCTTTTGTTTCATTATCAGTATGTATTCTGGAGGAGGCTCTGCGGGCATCTGACCATAACTACCTGTGACCGAGATAGATGGATGAGCCGAGGGTTGCATTGAATGACAAGAAACGGACTAACAGATTCAATCGAGTCCGCGATGATTTCCCGAGAGGGGAGCCTGACTCTAGCGTTCAGAGAGCAGATCTATGTATAAACGCAAAAGCTGACTCACGAGTAACGCATGCCTATGTATACGCCCCATGTAAGTTTTCGTGTAAATGATGCGGTCAATCACTCACCGTCCGTTCCCATCGTTATGGCTGCGAGTTTAAAGATAGTCGGTCAGCCTGTTCTCACCATCGATGCTGAGAGAGACAATCACCATCACTGCGTAGACTAGTGAGCACATACAAACGGTATTTAGTTCAAGAAGCATACCTGACTCCAATGGCGGAGAAGGTGAGGCCGACTAGCTCTTCCTGTCGACAGCCTTCCTTGACGGCCTTCGCAAGGTCAAGCTAGACAGCATGGAATTCATCAGTACTGCCCGAGGAGCTGAGCTCTGTGGCCAAATCTTTTTGATAATGTACCAGATGCGAGTTGCATGGGTTGCCTGTAGCCTGACATGAGTATCATTCCGCACACGTACCAGCATCATGAAGCTCGCTACGGACCTTCCCACCAAATCGGAGATATGCCAATCTTTCGGCAGCGTGAACGGTCAGTTATGTTTCGCAAATTAGTTTGACAGTAGGCTCACTTGAGGTTTGTTCATGTCTTCCTCAGTCAAGCCTACCGCGTACACTATTGACAGAGGATGAGTATACCGCTATGTACATGAAGTGTAGAGTACTTACGCATGGCTTGTGCGGCACCTCGGGCCTAACATTGGCAGTGTGATGAATCAATACCACTCAACATCTCGACGAAGCTGGAAAATACCTTGTTCTGAGTGACTTGACTGGAAATCTTGTTCAACACAGGGGCATCGCCGCTTGGGCTCGCTCTCTTCGGGATAGTGTGTCTAGTCCATGTTTGTAACGTCAACTCATTGGTAGATGGTTAACACAACAGAACTGAGAGGCTGGTGCGTACATTTGCACGTCGGACATGGTGATGTAAGTCTTGTTCAGTGGTTAGCTGCTGCTATCGGAAACGATGCAAGTGCACGAAGAAGTGGACTGCCATCTTATATGCTCTCCGACTCTGCACTCAGGGAGCACTCGAGAAGTAACCGCAAAGCTAAACATTCCCGTGAACACCAACGCCCTCAAAACAGGATCCTCTGACTGGTCCATGGCATCGATCGCACTGGTGCGGTCCGGGTCGATAGAACGAAGACATCGTCACGAGTGTGCACAAGAGTCCGGAATCCAACTACGGGCAGCCGTGGTATATTTTACTTCCGTTCAGATGATATTGGGCTTCCAGGCAAAAGAGCTGAGCCATGGACAACATCTAGAGGCGGCGGTGTAAGAACAGACCGGTGAATGGACACAAATAAACTGCAAGGACGATCTCAGGGATAGGTTACGTACTTATGTCCGGAAAGACCCGGAGAGTCCTTCGAACGCCACCAAGACGCCACAACGGACAGTTTGGCCTTCGAATTCACCACACTCCAAATAACTCGCAGCATACTTATATGGAAGAGTATCAAATATATTTTTGATTAACCATAATACACCCCGTCCACCCAAAAGCACATAAGGGGGCAAGCGAGAATAATAAATTACCCCGAATAGCAGAACACGCAAGTACGTTTTGTAGCGCTATAGTGCCAACTAGATTGAAACCGTCAGCTTCAAGCACTGGAGCTTTATCCATTCACGTACCAAAGCTAGGTGGCCACCCGCGACAGGCCTTGCTCTGAAACCATCTGTTACACCTGTCAAAGTATCGTACCAATCCGAGAAAGGCTCGGTATCGTCGCTCAGAGCGGCAGATGCATAAGTGTACACTCCAGAGACAAGGTTGTCGCGAACCCTATTGGGAAATACGTCAGCTCCTTGCCTCCATGAGGCAGAATGTTTGATACTCACGTCGTGGAAGTCGACTCAAGCATTGCAGCTGTAAATATCTGCCAGTCCGACTTGGTGTAGGTATGCCTCGTATCGAGTGGAACACCGTATTCGTCTATATGAATCTCGTTGAGATCCATCGCGCCTATGTCCTAATCACAAGAACGTACTTTTGACAGTCGGATACCAGGCAGCCTGCATGTCATAGACCGACTGGGGGAATAAGTTCAGACCAAGCAACTTGTCGCCGAAGAGGTTGTATGAGAGACCCCAGCTGCTGTCATCGCCATACTGAAAGCAAGATCGTAAGCGTCCCAATATACATTGATAGATACGCGTCGACTCACAGACAATGTCAGATGATCACCAGAGGTCGCGGTGGCGAGAGTCTGCCACTGAGTCACATAGCTGGAAGCGATTGACTGTGAATAATTTCCAGTTGATCAGAAGTTCGCGTGAAAGGGATTAAACACTAATGTACACTGTAGTTTGCGCTCGTGGCAGAGTCACCGAGTTGACTCCAGATGTTGGCCATGGCTTGTATACCAATTATTCCCTTGATGGCGAGGTTTGTCTGGTTGGCCAAGGATCCAGCGAAGTCGTCGGTGCTGATTTGGTCAGCAGGAATCAAAGCTTCTGCTATCAGAAATTGTGTCCACTGGTCTAAGAGCGCGGTCTACAGACAAAATTGTGCATAGCATCAGGACCTTTCTCGAAGGTACGTCAGCTTTAGAGGAAGGAGACTCACGTATGTAGTGAGTAGACTGTCATCCCCGGTTTTCTGGAAGTGACTGAGTGTCATGATGAGCATGTTACCTATCGACGGCAGTGAGCATTGAGATAGAGCAGTAGGAAACCGGCCGGGGCGCACCAGATTCTATGACACAAATACACGAACGATCAGTAAACGATAAGACGAGCATTGTGACAGCGCAGAAACACACCTTCCAGTGGCATAGGCTCATCAGCACCTGTACTGTCTTGTCAACAGTAACTTTTAGATGTGCGGAACGGACATAGACAAACCATCATTGTGGCCCAATGCTTTCGGGTAGCTTGCGCCTGAAGGTCCATCAGCAATGGATTTGAGGATACGGATAACAAAAAGCGCACCCATATCATGCACAGCCCTATTTCACGATGTTCAGTAGATTTCCTCGAAGTACAGTCATATTATGTGAGACGACGAACCATGCGTTAGGGTACTAGTTGAGATGCCTATGTCAACAAAAGAAACAGAGGATGCAGGGAATGCGGTGGGCGTACTTGTCCAGTGGCCTGTAAACAGGACGGATTCAGTTACGAGACACATTTTCATGATTGATGGTCCTCACCTGGTACTCGAACAATGGTAAGAGAAGATATTTTACCAGGTCTGGGTTGGTATAGAGGAACGCGGGGAAAGCAGGAAATATGACATCCTGTAAACATATGAACCATCTTCTCGTCAGGAGGTGCGCTATTTTACGAAGCAGCGTATGGATCTTACGACAGTGTTGACGTTCTGGAGAGTATGAAATATATCAGCGCAGAAAGACAGTAGGAGTCAGCTCAACCACATACACCATCACTGGAGATCTCCTTCATGAACATGAGAATATCGGACGTGTCGAACGTGCCGTCAGAGTTCTAGGTATACATGACGGTGTTAGAGAGCAATTGACGAACATGCTATCAGAGTCACCTTGGAAATCGTAATCTCTGTGGCACCGAAAGCTTGACGAATGGACGCCGCCACAACACCTGCGTACTCAGTAGAAATAGTGCTGGCGTCGCTGGATACTTGAGAGTCGAAGGCTTGGGCTCGGCTGAGAGCACCGGTGTAGTCGCTGATGAAGTCGGAGATCTGAGCACTCTAAGATAAGTGCGACGAACGATCTAAGCGGGTTCGATGGAAACTTACGAGATCTGCTGCAGACGAAAATTGGCTCCAGAAGTACAAACTACGGTCCTGCAGAGCTCCACCAGCAATGATGTATTCAATCGCAGGGTCCCGGATATGGCCTACAGTAAACAACACTGGGTCGGAAGATGCGCTAATTGTACCAAGGTCGTGGGCAAATGCAAACACGGGCCTAAAGGCAATGTTTAGTGTCAGGGTTTTGCACAGAATCTTTTAAATCTCACCAGTCGTCGGATACGGCTCGGAAAGAAGTATCCTCAGTGTTTGGGAGGCTACCGCTGCTAATGAATTGGGCACGAACAACGACCTATGGCGGTATATAAGCCAATATTCCAGAACTGACCTGTTCAGACTTACGTCTTGACCGGTCTGATATGTCGCTCCGGATGTAGTGGAGTAGAAAGCAGATCCCTCTAAAGGATCGAGCTGATTAGGTATTTGAGACAAACAGTTCGAACATTCAGACTTGCGTTGAATGTGGTCTGAGAACTCTGTGTACTCCTCTTGAGTCTGGAGCATGACCTGGTGAGTCACGATAGTTCCGGTCGTAGTAGTCCAGTTGACAGTCAACGAATCATCTCCCGAAGCCCATTCAGCAGAGATGTCAGAGTATATTTGCACCGAGTGGGAGGCTCCATCGTTAGGGGCTGCCGAAACAGCCACTGTACAAGTTGGTCGTCCATGAGTAAAGTATTACTAAAGGAAATGCAGGAAAGGCAACTGACTATAAGAGAGTGGCGTAGATTGTTTTACCATGTCGGTAGGCTATCGTTTTATGAATGAGTATCATCGCAGCAGGATCGGAATTGAGAGAGAGAAGGGATACTCGCCTCCACGGGACTTAGGAAGGTCACGGTGAGATCAACACCACCAGCCGTCAAGATAAATATGCTTTGCGTGGCCGTGAACTAGCAAGGTCACAATGAATATACAGCGTGTTGCATACGGTTTGCACTGACGAAGACCGATGGCTTACCGTAGCACTTTGTTGAGTGGCTTGACTGAACGTCGACCCAGAGACAGCAGCGGCACCGAGAAAAGAGTAAGCTGTCCCGTCAACCTTGACGAAGCCAGCCCATCCTAGGGTCTGGGAAATTTCAGTCAGTTTTCCCTGCATCATCAATAGAAACGAACAGCCGTACACTTCCCGTCCAGAACTGAGGCCAAGCACCGTTCAAGGAAGTGCCTGGAAGGATTTTTCAGCCTGAGCTCAATGTCTTGATACAGTGAAGGGCGAAAGACGTACCTTCACCTTGTGGCAACCACGCTGATAGGTATGGAGACCTCACGGCGAGAGGATAAGAGTGGGGAATGAAAGGTGTAGCGGTCCATGACGCAGCAAAAGCTGCACCAGACAGCGAGGCTAGTAATCCTGTCAAGGCCGGGAGTTTCATCGAGGGAAGTAAAGAAAGCCTTTCTTGTTGGAATCAGGACCATCGATGTCATCGCAAGGTTATAAGCGATCTCAACCGTCGGGTCTCCAAGTCATGAGTGCAATTAGACGCATGTGGTCCTCAGGAAGATGCTCTCAGAAATCAATGCCACGGGCCCACATAACAGTACATACAACTAAGGAAAGATCAGAGGACGCATCGACGACAGTGATCAGTTGCTATGCCGGATGGTGCACGACGGTGATGCCGCGTCCCCATGACCGCTGATGCATGATGAACACTGGTACAAATATTGTGCAAATGCCTTTCCTAGCCTGCAATGCCCGCGTTCCGATGACTTCAGGGCTTTCCAGTTGGCCTTCGAGTTTGTAAATAGAATCATTGCATGCGGATCGCTGGCCTGGGCACACTCGCCCATGGAATGTCCTTGCGTGCTATCAGTCATGACCAAGTTAAAATGAGCGAAGTCTCGCAGTGATAATACGCTGCATAGGTGTACGGTAGTCTTCCGTAGCTCTTGCGTCGAGGTTTAAGATCGATGTAAAGATGGACGTACCTATATATCCCGTGTTCGTTTGAGTAGAATATTGCACGGACCGTCGTGATAGAAAGAGTATAGGTGAGTCAAGAAAAACGTTCACCGAGAGTAACGGCCAGTATTCAGCAGCAGTCAAGTCGTGCACTTCTGCACATGGGGGCTCATAGAAAGGCGACACTTGGCTATAGGTCTGAGTTACGCCCATCGCGTGGAGATCGCATCCATATTTCTTTCCGTTCCATGCTCTGCAACGACACAAGTATGCTTTTGAATGTCGATAGAGATGGTGTACAGATTACAGTGTGGGGACGATCCTAAGTTCACTTGTTTACTGTTTGAGTTTCTCAACCAGCTCAGGGACCGCGTCGTACAGGTCAGCGACAAGGCCCGCATCTGCAACCTGGAAGATTGGTGCGTCCGGATCCTAGAGCATGTCCGTTCATCATTGAAGAGCGACATATAGAGGCGGCGCGACCTACCTTGTTAATCGCGACAATGAGCTTTGAATCCTTCATACCCGCCAGATGTTGGATTGCCCCTGAGATCCCAACCGCCACATACAACTCTGGCGCCACATTCTTACCCGTCTGCCCAACTTGCAATGAGTTGTCCGCGTACCCAGCGTCAACGGCGGCGCGGGATGCTCCGATAGCGGCTCCTAACACGTCCGCAAGAGGCTCGATGGTCTTGTCGAATATTTCCTTGCTCTTGAGCGCCCTTCCACCAGAGACAACGCGGCTCGCCACACCAAGCTCCGGTCGATCGGACTGAGCAATCTGGGTCTCGAGGTGCTCTGTCGGCGAGTCCGTAACCTCCACGGGCTCCAGCTCCTTGAGTTCGACAGTGGCGGCGTCAGAAGATTCGGCCGCTGAGAACGACGTGGTGCGGACGGTGAAAAACTTGATGGGGATAGAGGCAGGGGCACGGACGGTGGCGATGGCGTTGCCTGCGTAGATGGGACGTGTGAAGGTCGTACTGCCAGAAGGGTCGTGTTCTAGAGAGGTGACGTCCGAGACGGCAGGAAGAGATAACTTTGCGGCGATGCGTGGTAGGAGAGCACGGGCGGAAGAAGAGTGTGCAGAGACGAGGTGTGTGTAGGGCGGAGAGTTGGAGAGTAGTTTCTCGAAAAGTGGAGACACATGCTCGGGAACGGAGGCAGAGTATTTGGGAGATGTAGCATGGAGCACGGTGGTCAGGCCCTGAAGCCTGTAAAAGTGCAAGAAGAATGTTGAGGCACTTGCAAGCTTGATAAATGGACGAGCTACTCACTTTTTCACCTTTTCAAGTACCGCCGGAACCTGCTCCTGACTGCCCACAACAATTCCAGTTACATCTCCTCCAAGTTGTTGTGCCGCACTGATGGCAGACAAAGAGCCGTTCTCGATGCTGCCATTTCGATGCTCAAGCAATACGAGAGCGTGAGGAGATGGAGAGGAGGCATAGTTCCGAACGAGTGCCCTCTGAGTGAAAATCAATGGCCTCGCGCGCAGCATTCCAGCCTTTATGTATGGGAATTATTGATGGGAAATACGCAAAATAATTGTGTTGCGTTTGCCGCCAACGAGTCGATGTCAAGAACGTCGAAGACAGCGCTCAATGTTCAGAGCGGAAGAGCGGGCCCGGACCGCTACTCCCGTTACTTTCACGTGCCTCTTCCCCGCTCCGAATCTAGTTCCGAGCCACATGAAATTCCAAATCGACCTCCACAGGACCACAGCTCAACGGCGCTGATGCGTGGCGGCTAGCTTTGCTTATAACTCTCACAGCGACGATAATATCCTCTATTGCAGCGATCATAATGTCTCTCCAAGGTCTTATGTCTGGTGCCGATTGTGCCGTACAATCCAACCCGCTCTCCCAAGTCCTCAAGCATGCGGAGGGAGATCGTAGTCTACAACAGGTTTGTGGCACCCTGACACCAGAATACTTTCGTGTGTGCTCATTCATATCCAGGACAGAATTGCTGGACCTTCATCCTCGAGGGTATGTCCCCATTGTTATTACCAAGAACCGGGACTAATTATTCCACATAGCTGTATCACCTCCCTACCTCTTCATCCCGAGCAGCGGCTGAACAGGACATGGCCATGGCCAGGCAGTTCTTCGAGGGCAGCACCCAGGAAGCGGTTCCTAGCTCATCAATCCCTCCGGGAGCTTTCCAACTAACTCAACATGCGCCTCTTATGACTCGAAGCAATGTCCATTCTCCGAACTTTGGTGATGCGTGGGTTGAAGTCCAGCAACGCCAACATGCCTCATCAATCCCTCAACGAGCATCTCCAGCGGCATGGGCAAACGAGTTTCAGCCCTCGCAAATGTCTATACCTGCTTCCTCTGCACAACATGACCCACAACAGCCCACCCGTACGCTCTGTGACGCTCACCCTGCCCGAGTCTTACTAAACCCTGATTTTTAGTTGCCCGAAATCCGTACATGTCGCCCGGGCTCTATGGGACCACGGGGTTCGCAACGTCGTCTATGTATGCAAATGGCATGCCACAAACGTATTTCCGAGGCATGGAGCAGCCCGTCATCGAGCAGGGTAAGGGTAAAGGAAAGATGAAGGAGGAAGACTTTGAGGCTGCTTTCGCCCAGGCCGCTGCGTCGCTACAGAGTGCTCCCCTCCAATCAGCTCACGTTGAAGAGGTCGGCGAGCTGGGAGAAGCACTCGCCGAGACCTCATTGGATGACGGTGTTACTGACTTCAAACAGTGCGTCCTTCTTCGTATCTATGCTTTACTTCCTCTCAATGGTCATGCAGGGTGTGGGATCAGTTGCAGAACTCTGATATGCCGCCTCCTTCGAGCGATATGGCAAAGTGGGAGGCCGAATTCAATCAACTTATGAACGCACAACGAGACGAATACGACCTTGATTATGGGAGCGCTATGCAGAACGGATGGGCGGACTACGATGGTAATCTTGACGAGAATTCGGTCAAGTTCGATAGCGAAGGACTGCCCATTCTCTCCCCATACAGTTTCGGTATGTTATCGCATCTCACAAGAATGCCCACTGGTCGTGCTCATTCTTATCATGATAGAACCAAACAATAAATACCTTGACCCGTCGACATCGACACAGTCGCATCTCAGCGAGGCAAAGGCGCTTTTAGAACAGAACGGTTCGCTTTCAGAAGCTGCTCTCCTGCTTGAGGCTGCGATACAGAACGGAGATCTCGGCAACGGCGGCTATGAAGCCTGGATACTACTGGGCGAGACGAGAAACATGGACGAACGGGAGGACGCAGGAATGAAGGCCTTGATGGAAGGAGTGAGGATAGCGGAAGAGGCTGGTGCAAATGGAGAGGGCATGCTGGTCCGTTATGTCCGCTGTTTTCTCAACTCCCTCTGACCCGAGCACTGGTAGTCCCTAGCCATATCATTTACGAATGAATCCTACGATCGCGCTGCCCATGGGACCCTCCTTCGATGGCTTCGTGCTCGTTTCCCAACGTATCCCCTCTCTCCAGCTACGGAAGAATCGCTCGGCCAGTCTTCGTGGCATTCCAACGAAGCCGTCACGTCTGCCTTCCTCGACGTCGCCCGAGCTCAACACGAGGCAGGAACGCTGGATCCGGACGTACAGATCGCGTTAGGTGTCCTTTCCTATACTCAAAACAATTTCGACCGTGCACGAGATTGTTTCGAGAGTGCTTTGTCAATGCGACCGAAGGTGACTAGTGCCAAGCCTTTATACCGGGCTACACTAATACTATCGAACTTTCCAGGACTATCTTCTGTGGAATCGGCTAGGCTCGTGTCTCTCAAATGGCAACAAACCTGAAGAGTCTTTAGGAGCCTATCGCGAGGCACTCAGTCTCCGTCCTACGTATACTCGGGCAATCTACAATGTCGGCGTTGCATGTGCGTATCTTCGCCAGTGATGACGGAGATCTTAAGCTGATTTCACAGCGATCCAGGTCTCAACATTGGAGCCCACAAGGAAGCAGCGGAGCATTTTTTAAGCGCACTGGCCATGCAAGAAACCACCGGAGAAAAGAGCGAACAGCTCTGGACCACACTCCGAAGGGCATTCGCGGCGATGGTATGTGGCGCTCTATACTCTCTGCATAGAAATTTCCTTGGGCAGACGATCTCACCTGTCTTTTCTGGCTTGTCACAGAATCGAACCGACTTGGCGGACGCAGTCAAAAATAATCCCAGTCTTGACATATTCCGTAAGGAGGGCTTTGATTTCTAGAAAGGCTGCCTATGGCTATTGCGTGGCGCCATGCTGTGATGTTCGTGTATTTCCAGAGTCGCTGCCCCGAATGCTCGATAGCTGGGGCACGCGCTCGATGTAGCTCGATTGTTATTGTATCAAATTGGAGGTACCGTTCACTGAAGGGAATTGTTACACGAACGTACCGCAACTGCATGGTCGTTCCGCGAGGACCTTTTTGGATTGTGGTGGCTTGTTAGCGGTTCATCTGCCTCACCTGTGGGTGTATGAACGTCCTGTCTACAGCTGAAAGCGTGTTGAGGTTTACCTACTAACTTATGTGGTGTCTTGGATCATTCGATACCAAGTCATTAGCCTACGGGGCGCCGCCTTTTTGGAGAACTAATACGCTCATTTACTTATCTGCATACCGTGGTTCTGCTTACGCCCGATGCGGAGGGACGAATCGTGCCTCGATGAAGCCTAAGTATGATACTCCTTGAGACGGTCCGTGAGCCGGGGGAATATCGGGACGCAAGGACAGATGTCTGAGGAATGTGTAGCGCACTGTAGTCAGCATCTATGAGACAGATATAGGTGAACGACATCTTGCCTGGTACAAACGACGTACAGTGACCGCCGGAAGGTTCGATGGTCCGTCACTTGTCCGTCACTTATCTCCACCGAAGATAACGATACGTGCACAAAACCTCTGAGTGACCCACAGAGAAACTTCGGCTAGATTTATATAGATAGTCATCGTCCAGACTAGAGAAGGACTACTGCTCACGAGCATGTGCAACGCGCAATGATTCAATCGCCAAGCCTCGAGCGCTCAACAGAGTCGGAGAGTTGAAGATGACGATTGGGTGGCCCAAGGGAGGCCGAGGGAATAAAAACACAAGGAAGGATCGTTATAACCCAATAGTAATTATAGGATCACTCCAATTAGTAGTACGGCTTGCGCCCAGTTGAAAATTCCATATATGATAAGTATGAGATTGTCATGGGGTTTGCGAGGCATGTTGAGCGAAGAGAAACTCCTTCATCAGTAGAGGCCAATACTTGAAGAGACCTTTGAAGACTTTTAAACATTTCCGTCGAGCTTTTTCTATGCCAAGGCAGGGTACGGCCGTCCGAGTTCTCAAGTTGACCTTCGAATGGAGACACATGCTTAGTAAGCATGTGTCTTCCGGTAAGTCCCGCGTCCGAGGCTGAGCGCTGAAGCGCTCAAGAGACTCGTGTCTTCAACGTCAACTTCAATACTTACTCTGGCTAGTTTCATACACAGCGCTGCGAACGCGCATGGAAATATGGTACATCCATCGAATTAACTCTGGAACTGCCTAGTTCTCACGTCGCCGTCACTAGTTCAACTCATCATGTCTATGGGTCCAGGGACCGTTTGGCAACTTACTAGTACCGCCGGTAACTTGGAGTTCGGATAGAGTACTAAGATAGTATCGCTTCGCACATGTGGCTATCTACTACTTGCTACTACTTTCACTCCTTGGTGTGGGCCTTCGACTGGCTAAGGCGACAGGCTCTAAAACCTGAGTTGTGTCGACTTTTGAAACAAAAACAATGCATACTAGGATCAGATCCTCGAAACCCAAGCCTTGACTCGGAGGACTCTATAGTACTGGCATGGCATCTCGTGCATTGTGCTGCAGCGGTATTTGCAGACGTTCCTAGAGGTTATATCACGGTATCTTCTTTGTCACGGTCGGTCCATGACACCCCTGCTCGGCTGCATGGGCCTTGACTCTAATGTACCGTTAAGGGAACTCAAGCAACTGAAACTGCCTAGCAGTTGCAAAACATGCACGTCCATTCCTTCCGCGGGCGGTCCGAATCATATCTAAAGGTCAGCGGTTCTATCTTCCGGTAGATGCTTCCTCAGGTCCCCTCCATATGATACAGCAGCGCGCTCAGGGATGCTTATCTGCTACTTCTTGACAACTTCTTATCACCCGAGAATATACCAAACAAGCTGTATCTATATAGAGCATTGCTCAGATGAGGTCGATATCCTCGCGACTTCTGAGCCCCCTAGGAGCACTCAAGTCCGACCCCGAGATGGACGCCTTGCCCAAGGTCGAAGGTGTTTCGCCTACTGCTGGTTCGCTTGACGAGAAGGGGTCTCTCAAAGAGAAGGGTGGGTTTGCTCCCGACGAGTTCGACGTCGCTGTCGTCGGCGATGTATATGAGGATGTCCGGGCTATAGACCTCGGAGAGAATGGCAAGGAAAGACCCATTGGTGCGCATCACTTAGCCACACCTTCTGTTCAGAACTGATATGAATATTCGCCAGAAACGGACGTTGATTGGTCTCTACGCCTGATCTCGCTTGAGGTTCGCTGTTTCTGGTTTGTCTGGAGTTCGACATTTCTCTTACTCTGTCTAGGACGATCCAAGTCAACCCGTTTGGACCTTCAGGCTCTGGTTTCTAGCCGTCGGATTTTCCTGCTTCGGAGCTGTGCTCAGTGAAATATTTGTGAGACGTCATCATTCTATATTCGTGACTCTGCTCTGAATCTACCTCAGAACTTTCGCCCTCAACAGGTGTACGTTTCACAGCTTTTCCTCCAGATCGCGACTTATGTCACTGGTAAGCATACCTCTCGCCTAAATGGCTCTTTGTGGAAATTCTGCTAGCAAATCACCAAGATTCGGAAGATGGGTTCATGAGTGCATTTTCGCCTTTTGTTGAGGTGAAAAATCAGAGGGGTACTCTTCGCTGTACCCCACTCTGTTGGTTTGAGAGTACCCTGGTCGATGACCGAGACCAGTATCATGCCCTGTGCTACAGATTTTCCTTTGTCTGGTCTTGAATCGTATCCGAACAAGAACATTTTCATTTTATGCAAAACTTGGACATGGTCACTTCGCTGAGGCTCGCCTCACTTTCCTCTCGGTTTTCACTGGGCGGAGAGTTTTTGGATCTGAAATTTCTCAATCGTTCGTTCGGCTCTGATTAACGTTAACACAGGGAAGATCATGGAAGAGATCATACCTGGTCCCGGAGCTCGATACAAGATATTGCGGACATCGCCCACAGCGTTCTGGCGCTTTATGAACCCTGGGCCCTTCAATATCAAGGAACATGTAGGCTCTTTAATCATGGCGGCTGCCGCGACACACGGTGCCTTGGCGATTAGCATATTTGCCGCAGACGTACTACCATTTTCACTTCATCATGTTCATAGTATCAGCGGCTAATATTTCGAATGATAGGACTTGTTCTATAACACTGAGCCTAATGTCGCTATCGCTATATTCACACTTTTGGGGAGTCAACTACTTGGCTATGGACTCGCAGGTGAGCAGCTAGTCTTTCAATACCTGCTCAGATCTTGGGTTGCCTCTGTCACGGTGGCAGCGTTGAATATAAGTATAGATGAGTGTTCACTACCCGGGATATCCTGAAACGTCTCTATAGTGCGCCGCTACCATGCGCGGTGGCGGAGTCTTAGTTTCTCGGCGCAGTGACAATCGACTCTCTGTCTTTAAAACTATTCTCTTCTTCGCTATCATGAATTCCATACTAACATCTTGATCATTGACAAGGAATGATGAGAAGCTTTTTGGTATATCCCACCTATTGTGTCTTCCCCAATGTCCTTCCCACAGTCAGTGAAATACTTCCTCGATTGAGTCGATGTGCTTCGCAACTAATTAAACCCTCTTTATTCGCACCAGGTTCAATTGTTTGATGTGCTTCATCGGGGACAAGACAACATGCTGCAGAAGAAAAGACTGAGGTTCTTCTGGGCCTTGTTTGTGAGTGAAGCTATGTTTCTGGCAAGAATGAGCGTTGATCTTTTCTACCATCAGATAGGCATCTTTGTCTGGGAATGGTTCCCAGAATACATCGCTCCTTTGTACGTTGTATGGTCTTGATCACCCATAGTGTACGTGCTAACGGTGTTCCATAGATTGACGGGTATATCTGTCTTCTGCCTGTCACATCAGGACAGCGCTTGGGTGACTCGAGTGTTTGGTGGCGCCTCTGGAAATGAAGGTTCGCCGTGCAGTCATTCCGAGTCCCAGCCTCAGAGATTTCGTCTGATATATACTATCCCATCGAACAGGTTTAGGTCTCTTCAGCATTAGTGCGCGCACCTCCATCTTCATCTTGCTACAAGCCTTACTGAACCATCTCGACGTTCAGATCTGGACTGGAACTACGGTAGGGGATTGCCGTGACTAATGGTCGGATGAGCTCATGTTCATTTGCTGCAACAGTTGGCTCCGGGGGATCTGCCTATGGCGCCCTCTTCCAACCTATTCAGACTCAGATTTCGAGCTATATCGGCATAGTCATCTGTATTCTCGCATTCTGTGGGGTGTACGCTCGCAATGTGTGGAATGCACAGAATTTCCCATTTTTATCACAGCTCCTTTTCTATGAGGTGAGGGTTTCAGTGGTCGCGCGACTCACTGCCAAATGTGCTAACGGAAACCAGAATGGGACAGAGTACAACCAGACCTTGATATTAAATGACGACTACTCGTTGAACGAGGAGAAGCTCGCTGTTCAAGGGCTCCCTTGGTTCGCTGCCACACAGACTGTCTCCAAGATCGGAGCTGCCTTGTCTTTTGGCGCTACCAGTACGATCCTCCACTTCTAGGACACATTATACATACTGATGTGGTCGAAACACAGTCACTCACATCGGACTATGGAACGGAAAACAACTATGGGCCGCCTATAAACAAGGTCGGAAAAATAGCATTCAGGACCGTACGTCTTGTCCTTGATCCCTCCGAAATATCATATTGACACTGAATTCGTTGGGTAAAGCTCATTTCGAGAAGATGAAGGTCTATAAGGAAGTCAGTGTAACAATGTCGGTAGGTATTCCAACGTCTAACCAGCATTCAGGTCCCCATCTGGTGGTGGCAACTGGTTTTCGTCGGAAGTGTCGCCATGGGAATGGCTACGAACTACACCGGTGGATCCGAACTTCCGTGGTACGTTCAAAATCTATGTCTCTACGTTATACGCTAAATCGCTCGTCGTCCTTTGACTTTAGGTGGGCCTATCTCATTTGTGGGTGAACGATATCGGCATAGCGTTAGTAGGTTTCCAACTGATTGACATGCCTCGATTTAGCTGTTGGATTTGCTGCCGTCTTCTTGCCTATCATTTCTACTCTCTATGCTGTTATTTGGTGATTATATTCTCCAATCATTGAGGTCTGATAAAGACTAATCATGGCAATAGTTATGTGCCCGGTACAGAGGATGTTGCTAGGGTTAGTACGCATCTTGCTCTTTGATGCACCATGTACTAACCTCCACTTCCCCGTAGATGCTCATCGCCGGTCTTGTCCCTGGAAACACTCGAGCAAACATGTACGGGACTTTATACGCATACAATACCACGGAGCAAGGAAGGTCGATGACACGGGATATGAAGATAGGCCAGTACACCAAGCTCCCTCCCAGAGTGACGTTTACCATGTACGTCACGTCTTCGCTCCAAGATTACAGTAAGTACTCATCGTCATCATATTTTGTAGGCAATGTCTCGGCGCTGTTGTTGGAGGTATGACGTATCAGTGTTGATTATTGAGTCGACAGAATATTGACCCGACATTTATAGCACTCCTCAACTATGTCATAATGAAGGCAAATTCTTTTTTTCTCCGTATAATCCGTGATGTTGATGTCTCTTTCAAAGATCGTCATCGACGCAAACCGAGAGATCTTACTGTCTGTTCAAGGAACAAACGTCTGGTCAGGCGCTTCTGTTCAATCATTTAACAGGCAAGTCTCGAGTCATTATTGCTGTCTATTCCACACCCAGTCCATTCTGTGCTGATATGACAACGCTCTCCCAAAGCGACGCTGTCGCCTGGGGTGCATTGGCCAAGCAATTGTACTCTCCTAGCTCACGATATGGAGTGAGTCGTTATACTTTCTTCTTCTTTTTTGTAATCTTATGTACTCTGTTCCAGATTGTGCCTCTTTGTATTTTGATTGGACTAGCCATCCCTCTCCCATTTTGGTACCTACACCAGCACTATCCAAAAGCTCGTTTGGATGGTTTCATCACTCCCATGGTATGCACACAAATAGGGTATTTCTCGACTGGTATCAGCTCTGCGTATGTGTCTCATCCTCAAAGAGACATCCACCACCACGCTAACTTTGCTTTCCCTTTAAAGGACTTTCATGACCTTCCTCCTTTGTATCGCCAGTCAATATTGGATCCGCAAATATCACCCAAGAGCATTCCGCAAAGTCTGTAACACACATTTCTCTTGCTTCTCAGGAGCTTACCCATTCCTGCTCGACAGTATAATTTTCTAGTCAGGTAAAACGCTTGTGTGTCACAGTTAATCGCACAGTCTTACTAAAAGTATTCTTCTCCAGCGCGGCTTTAGACGGCGGGACCGAGGTGATGGTGTTCGTTTACAGCTTTGCAGTACGTCTTGTGCTACTTACCAAGTGTCTCAGTATCCTCACAATTTTTGTGTCCTGTAGGTCGGAGGAGCGGGAGGCAAAGTGATCCCCTTCCCTACCTGGGCTCTCAACCCCACGGGTAACCTAGACTACTGTAAACGTTTGACGTAGTGGGGACTCGGATGCATGCCATAGCTTCCGCGTCTGTCCTCTACTTCCACGTTAATGATCAATTTGGGATTGGTGCTTCAGTCTTGTGTTGAGGTCGACTAGGTGCATTTTTGATAATGTTACACTTTTCTGGATTGATGCTTTAGTTTTGTGTTGAGGTCGACTCTGTGCATCTTTGATAATATTACAAGGATTTACGCTACTGTGTCTGCCTTCAGACGAGTCAGAGACGGGTCAGACAACGAAGAATCGAAGACAAGGACTGTTCAGAGCATGGAGGTAAATATCGATGCATAATGTACCACACTCGCACTGTGTGGCGTTCTGCTATAAACATTGTCCAGCAAAGATGACAACTTGCTCCGGTGGATCGTGCCACAATTCAAAGCATGGGAATGCAAGCAGCTCATGCACATATTGGACACAAGGACAATACAGTGGCATTCTAAGTACAGAACATGAGGCGACAGTCGTACAAGTTTGATCCTGGACTTCATCTACAGACACTACCCCATATCGTAACTCACTCACTATATGAATGAGGTCCTATGTCAGTTGCATTCCTCCGTCCCTACAGGTCCTCATCCATTCTAACCCTCTTCTTACATCCTCCTCCGCACTCCCCTCCCACAGCCACCTCCACTGCATCTCTATTGCCGGTCCCAAAGCCTCGTAGTCCTCGCCAAATTCAAATTCGTACAGCTGACCGCTCACACGCGAACCAGTTTGGACATGATGAGCTAGTGGTTGGCGGATGTGTTCGTAGGCCTCGAGAGCGATGGAGAGACTGTCAGGGGTTACGCTGGGTTCGCCGAGAAGAGAGGAAAATAGATAGGCGTCCTGCAGCGAATGAGGATATTAATTTTGGAGTCGTTGCAGGACTCGGAGAGCATGTCACCTCGATCGCTACGCCAGCCCCTGCGCCTTGATGTGGTAACATGGCGTGTCCCTTCGAAACATCGTCAGAACGTGCGTGGGGGTCGCGAAAACGTACTCAACGAACAGCATCTCCAATAAGGACTACGTTTGTAGTATAAAAAGTGGGCAATGGTTTCGTCACGTGCAGCGCCCATTTCGTCGGGTTTTCGACGCACTGGTAGTATTTGCGATCAACAGAATGAATCACGAACGAAGGATTTGTTGGCCCACATTCAAGAGTTCCTCTACCTCAGTGTAAGAGGTCGGGGTGTTTATCTTGAGGTCCTTCGTAAGAGAACAGAACCCGTAAGCCTGCAGAGGCTACGGAAAGTGATTCACTAAGCGTAAAGGTGTACAAGATAAAGCTAACTACTCCGAACGCTCGATGGTCCAACACCAGCCCCCGCGCATCAGCCACAACTATACAGTATTACGTCAGACAAGATAGATGGATGCGCTTTCCAGCACACCCATCTTATCTTATCCCGGGAACGCCCGCCGGTACCGCTAAGGTATAAGGCTGTCGCCTTACATCCTCCCCCACTGGACCAGGCCCTGGTCCACCGAAATCAAGGCTGCATGTCCTCGTCGTTATCCGGGCGTGGAGTGGGCGACCGACGCTGAGTGGACGGCCCAGATGCCGAAGCAGACGAAGAGGAGGACTGAGCGCGACCGAGCCTGGTGAGTACTTGAGATAACAACTGCTCGTTGTACTGGATGGGCTGGCTATCGGGTTGGCCAGGGCGACATATCATCTTCGCT